GTGTGTGTGTGTGTGTGTGTGTGTGTGTGTGTGTGTGTGTGTGTGTGTCTCCTGTGCCTACAAAGCGCTGAGCGTTGAACTGCCCACAACGGCGTCGGAGAGATCAGTGAGCATGAGAGACCCAGCCTACAGTAGACGAAATGAGCCAGTGACTTTGCATGCTGGCCGAATGCTTCACACATAATCCGAGCCTCATTGGCGGGAGAGAAAGCCTTAAATGTGCACAAGGTTGCTGCTATGCATTGCCATGATTCTTTGACGCAAGCGCACGAGGAGCCGATCTGTTTCGGATGCCAAGAAACTCCGCTTCCTCAGAGCGCCAGATACAGTCCGGACCGCTGGATGCGTATGCGACATGCGTGAAAAGCAAATTGCCAAGTTGCTATAGGCCAGCACTACAATGTAGTTGGCCCAAATCCCTCCTGCGTTCGTCCTGCCCAAGAGTTTCGCAACTGTTGTGTACGGAGGCAAATGCAGACACACTGAAAGCACTTGCGGCACGGTCCCGCGCACGATTCCTCTGGAATCCAAGTTAACAATCTCGTAGGTTCTCAGGCTCTTGTCTAAGTTGTCCTGGCGCAACGGGTTCGGAGGCAGCATGGAATGATGAGTCTTGCAGCTCACCGCAGCAGAGGCACAACCATGATGGCACCGTCGGCGCCAGTGCTGGTTGCAGACTGAGATATGTTACGTTGCTCTAGAACTGGCACAAGATGTTAAGGCTGCCGACATAAAACAGCTGCTGCTGCTGCTGGTCTCAGCACTGAGGCCAGCACCATGACAATTCGAAAGTACTCAAAAGCCGGGTTGTTCGGGGCGACCCAAGTCACAGTTCCATCGATCCAATAGCCATACCCAGTACTAGTGTCTGTGAAGGCTACGGATGTGATGGCGGCCTGACGACATTTCGCGCAAAGCTCGCACAAGCTTTCCCCTTGCAAACAACCCCTAAAACACAAATTCACGCGCCTGGCTGGGGTCGATGGTGACGGTGGATGTCAATGTGGTCGTTACTGTGGCTGTTGTTACCTTGCCGACGCAGTCTCTAGTTTCAAAAACAAAAGGGCAAGGACTGTTTGGAGACAAAGTCAGCCCCATCCCTGCGCCTATTGACAAGCCCCAAACTGGGACCTCCCTTAAACCCTGCACACCAGCTGAAATTCCAACCCCTGAAACCAAAATGGAACGAACATGGGGGCGAATGAGGGCAATAAGCAAGCCAATGGCCAACCAACGCCAGTGAGGGATACGCGCCGAAGCTGAGTATTCTTCTCATTCCCCTTGTTCTAGCAAAGTCGTTGTTAGTGCTGGCCACAGCCGCTCTTGTTGTTGTTGATGTTAGTGATGTTTCTCTTTCTGCTGATGGATGTTGCTATTGTTGATTTCGATGTTGCTGCTCTTGCTACCGGATGGTTGGCGCCTCGAAGCTTTAGGGATCATGACTCAACAGCATGGAATACCGTACAGCGAGAAGTATCTCCACCCATGTCAAAGTGCCTTACCATGTGCCTTGCCGGTGGCATTAAAAATTGCTGCTGCCCAACCCGAGCTCTCGAAAAGCTGCGCAAATACTGCAGCTGAGGTGTTGACATGACCTGCCTGTGCGTGGACAGCAGATTTGGTCATCCAAGGTGCAGTTGTAGTGGTGGAGGTTCCGTCCGCTGCTTCGAAGCAGTGGCCGAATGATGGGGTTGCAGCTTCACCGTGGGAGTTGATTCCGTACATCCTGGGCGATGACGCGTTTGCTTGCTGAGGGTGGGCACCGGAAAGATGTGCAATCATAAACCACACAGAGACCCGGGGAAGTGGGTCCCCTTTTCCGTAGGGGGGGGGGGGCGGGCGGGGGGCGAAGACGAAATTCGAAGACCAAATTTGAAGACGAAATTCGGCCCCTGAAGCCTAAATTCGGCCCTGAAGCCTAAATTGGGCCCCTGAAGCCGAAATTCGGCCCCGAAGACGAAATTGCCCCGCTGAAACCGAAATTCGGCCCTGAAGCCGAAATTCGGCTGAAGCCGAAATTCGGCTCCTGAAGACGAAATTCGGCCCCGAAAACGAAATTCAGGGGCCATTTTAGGCTGCAGGCCCAAGGGGGACCGAAACCGAATTCAAGCTTCAGGGTCCGAATTTAAGCTTCAAGGCCGAATTTCGTCTTCGGGACCGAATTTCGTCTTCAGGAAGCCGAATTTCGTCTTCGGCGGCCGAATTTCGTCTTCGGGGCCGAATTTCGGCTTCAGCCGAATTTCGGCTTCGGGGCCGAGTTTCGTCTTCAGCGGCCGAATTTCGTCTTCGGGGCCGAATTTCGTCTTCGGGGCCGAATTTCGGCTTCAGGGGCCCAATTTAGGCTTCAGGGGCCGAATTTCGTCTTCAGTGCCGAATTTCGTCTTCAGGGCTTAATTTCGGCTGGGCCGAATTTCGTCTTCAAATTTCGTCTTCGAACTTCGTCTTCGTCCCCCCCCCTCGGAAAAGGGGACCCAGTTCCCCGGGTCAACGCATCAACCGATTGCAAGACCCTGGCAGTGGCACAGGTAAGGCTGCCACACGAGACAGGCTGACCCTGACTGATCCGTGTTGTCTGGGATGGTGTAACCTATTGCGAGGGGGCAACATCTCTGATTGAAGCGTTTCGCAGTATTGTTGAGTCTGGACGCAGCAAAAGATGAGCTGAGTCGTAGCCAGGGAGCTAAGCAATCCAGGTTGCACTCTGGCAATTTCGAACCGACTAGTTCCACCGGTGTCTAGCGACAAATAGAGGGCATAGTGCGACCTGAGCTTGACACAACGCCTCTGAAACTCAGACTGTTACTAAAGACTGTGTTGAACTGTGTGTAACTATGGACAGGGAGCAGCGTCGTGTAGTCAAAGCCTATGTTATATGTTCCATCCACAGTCCAGGTCAGAGTTCCCCCAACCTGCCAGACTTTGCAACTGCAAGTTGGACAACGTCAAGAAAAGGTCTCGTGGGCATGGCGGCTTAGGACACGCTCGGATGCCTGCCCCGCATCTGGATCCGCGTCAGTGAAGGAGCCAAACAACAGCGGCGGCGGATCGGGCACGGTGCCGGAATTCGCCGCGCTGATGTGGTCGTAGCCTCTCAAGAAAAAGCACCCGACTCCGGGCCTATGTGCCAACAGCTCCCCCGATGCTGAGTTGTGTCTACTTGCCAACAGGTGAAAGATGGTGAAGACCAAGCTCGGAGCAATGGCCCACTCCGTAGGTTGAGGTACCCCTGAGCCATGCAAAGTCTTCTCAGAGATCCACCGCGGCTTTACGGTTTTTTCAGAGGCCAGGTGCCCCACGCATCTGGCATTGGTACGACCACGAAGTACGCGGCCTTTATGGGAAGAGGAGGAGCTGAGGCTCCTGGAGGCTCCTGGACGAAGCTGAGCTAAACTGAGGCAGGGGCATAAGGATCTATGAACTGGCCGGCACCTCGGCTGTCCAGGGCTCAACTCTTTGAAACGGGGGAGGCAGCGAGACCTAAGACCAGGACTGGAAGAACCGCAAAACTTCCAGAAGAAGCCGCCTCCACCCTGGACGCCATATATCGAGTTCGTGCCAACCTGTGTCTCAAATCTGGCTCGCGTCTGGCTGTGGTGACCACTATATTAGGCACGGCAGGAAATGTCCTCAACCTGCACATGACAGGAGCTCAAGTGAAAGCAGGCTAGCTTCTCGGAATGCGGCCGGGACTTGCCAACTCTCGCCTTCAAGCAAGAGGAAAGACATGAGATGATGGTTTGAAGATTCTGAGGCAGCAACTCTCATGATAAAAGTAGGCAGTGGTCGCTCAATGTTGGGATTCGGGATCAAGAAATCGTGTTGCAGGGCCTAATAAGGGTACAAACAGAGTCGACGTTGCAATCCATGGAAGGCCTGTGCCACCATAATGGACGATGGGAAGGTCAGCTTCAGAATTGACATTGGGGAGCGTCAGGTCATAGGCGAGATCGGTGCTACATGCCGTATACACCTTGGTAAGCGAGCTCTACACAGACTTTGAGAGCATTACGGGCAGCGATGCTCCAGGCAAGTGGCAACATAGTGAGTTATGCCTGTAACGTCCGGCGGCGGGTCCCAACTGATTGTTCCACGCAACTTCCCTTAGATGAGATCCACATGGGTCTACGCAGACAAATGATAAGAAACAAGTATCCTCCACAAGCGACTCCACTACGAACCAAGTCGCACTGTTCGTCAAGATCATCAACAAACTGTACATTGGTGACCTGGCTCAACATGCAAATTGTACACTTCTTAAGGACAGCGTCACTTTAAGGCAATCACCTGATTCCCAGCGACAATGGGCCCCGAAGCCCAAAAAACGATGCAAGCAGATATCCTCGGATGCCCAAAGGGGCGTGCATTGAATGGTGACACATGGCATGGCATGGCATGGCAAACGGCAGTTTCGCCTCGTTTGCTGGCCAAGCCACAGCCACCGAGCTGGCAGCTTTTGGCACCGCTGTTGCAACTGCCTTCTGACGCAAACCACGCCTGCAAGGGCTTGGGGCGTTCGGGCGCATTGTAGCGGCTCAGCGTGCTGCATCAGTGCCTGTCTGGCAGGCCTCGACTCACAAGCTTTGGAACAAAAAACAAAAAGGAACACACACCAAGCAGCGTGAACGCACGCCTTGGCAAATTCCTGCAATCCTCTGTTTAGAGTAAGGCAGACCTAAGCAGGCAATTGACGGCATGGCTCTGCCACTGTGCAGTGGCACGGCTGAGGGCCCAGCATCATTGGGTGCCATTTCCTGCTGAATGAGCCCCCACTAAGCTACTGAGACGGGAGCCCGTGCGCGGAAAGACCACGACTACGTCTGTTCTCCCCGTCATGGCTTCCACCTCGAGAGGTCCCCATGTGGCTGCCTTGCCGAGTCTACCCTTTTTTTCAGCCCACTATCCATCCCGCTCCGATGGGCTGGTCTGCACACAATGTCCCCCGAATGAAAAACGGGGGTGATGCTAGCAACACGCCCGATGTCGGCTGAAAATTGGAAATATGTGTTTTTCCACAGGCCAAACCCTGACACTGAAAGCAACAAAGCGCCATGAAGCTGAGACCACTTCAGCCAAAGCCAGCCGCAAGGTCCCGAGCATCGGCTTTTCCAAGTCTGATGCATGGTTTTGCACCGCGACCACGCCGAAACCACAGGGTTGTCCGCGCAAAGCAAGAAACGTAAAAAAACGACGGTTTTAGCACCGCGACCGTGCATGCCGAAACACGCAGAGGGTTGTCCGCGGCCAGCCAGAAACATAAAAAAACGACGGTTTTAGCACCGCGACCACGCCGAACCCCGCAGAGGGTTGTCCGCGGCGCGAAAGAAACGTAAAACAACAACGGTTTTAGCGCCGCGACGACGCCGAAACCCTCAGAGGGTTGCAATCCCGATTGACGACATCAACCCAGCCCGCCGCCTTAGAAAGAGTAATTTTAATTAAGAAATGTAGGACTGGGTACGAATGTCGATTAAATTCTACTAAAATCTCGTAAATTCTCTGAAATTGTGCTAAAATTGTACTAGAATCTTGTAAATTCCACTCTGTTGTACTAAAGTCTCGTGAATTCTACTCTGTGCACTTCACTCTTGCACTAAAATGCACCTCTATGCACTTCACTCTGCGCACTTCACTCTATGCACTTATCTCTGCGCACTTCACTCTATGCACCTAACTCTATGTACTTAACTTTGTGCACTTCACTCTATGCGCTTAACTCTAATTATGTACTTGACTCTATGCTATTCACTCTATGTACTTAACTCTATGCACTTGACTCTGTGTACTTAATTCTATGTTGTTGGGTCGGAGGGTTTCGCACGGAAGAACCCTTCGCGATGCTTTCGGAAAAGGACAATTCTGAGTCTGGTGGTTGAGCAGCGCGGGAGGGGCGGGACTTCCGTGGCTGGAAATTCGACGTTTGTAGTACAAATGTAGTACGCCGCGGACGGCCGGAGCTTCCGTGGCTGGAAAATCGATTGTTGTATATTGTTGTAGTACAAACGTAGTACGCTGGGGACACCCGGAGCTTCCGTGGCTGGAAAGACGACTTTTGTAGTACAGATGTAGTACGCCGGGGACACCCGGAGCCAACGTGGAAATATCGTGGGAATCCAATTCCGGATATCGAAACCCTCGCAAATATCGTGGGACTCGAAGTTCGGGGCCTCGAAAACTTCGCAAATATCGTGGGACTCGAATTCCGGTATGTCGAAACCCTCGCAATATCGTGGGACTTGAATTCCGGGTTTTCGTAACCCTCGCAAATATCGTGGGACTCGAATTCCGGGATTGGGACCGGAGGCTCTCCGCTCACACGCATCCGACGCGGAAACGGTTTCGGACACACTGAGCGCCCGCACACCCCTTGCTTCGCCGCAAGCGTCGCCCCGCGCCGAAACGCCGCTGCCGGAGGCAACAGCATCCACGAGGCCGATTGCCGTGGCGCCGGTGAGCGTGCCCGAGCATCGCCCGGGAGAAGTCGCGCCCACACTTGCGGAAGCACCCACGCCGGGGTTTACGCCTCCAGGCTCCCCGGCACTGCTGCCGTGGCAGGAAGTGGCACTGCTGCCGTGGCAGGAAGTGGGCCCGCCCCAGGTGGACCCCGGAGATCGCGGATGTTCGTGGCTCTATACGCCTCTTCTGCATGCGAGCGCCGGGCTGCTGGCCGAGGCGGCGCGCGCTAGGTGACAGGCACACCCAGTGGCGGGCCCGCAATGGTGCGAGCTGGTGAGCGCCCTTCGCGCGTCCGAGCCGGTAGAGCCTGCTTGCTTCGCGCGCTTGCTCGCCGGGATTGCCCATGCCGACGGCCTGATGCGACCAGATACTGGTATCCCGCAGCTCGTCCAACGCATTCAGGCATGCCCATCCCAGGTCGTGACTCTCTGTGACGCGCTCGGCTTGTGCACGAACGACGCTGGCTACGCCCCAGCAGCCGCACAAGGCGCCTTACTTGAGGCCTTCGGAGGCGCGCGCCTCGCGTGCACGGCGCACGCGCTAGCCCAATCGCTGCGCGAAGCATGGGCATTTTGCCGCCCCCCGCTGTTTCCGGCCCCGGTCGCCGCAGTCGCGGCCGGGTTCGGGGGCGAGGCCGACGCGCAGCGGCGCCCGCCTGCCGACCCCCGCACGCCATGCTGGCGAGCCCTGGACGCGGTCGAACTGCGGGCAGAGTTGCGGCGACCGGTGCCCACTATCCAGGACATCCCGGTGTTTATTATTATGCGAGATGCCCTGGCGGCCGCGCTGACTCTGGCCCTGCGCGCCATCCAGTTTGCCGGCGACCACGGGTTCGCCCGAAACAGTCCCGAAGCTTTGCGACCCTGGGAGCTGTTCACGCTTGTGCCACGCATGTTGCTGGCGCGATGCGAACAGCGAGGCCGCGCGGGGCGCACAAAGTTGTTGGAAGGCGACGTGGGAAGCGCTGACGGATCCTGCACGTCGACCCCCTGCACCGCGCCGCCGCCTGACGTCGTCTCCTTGCAGCCCGGCTCCCTCCCGTCCTTGTCCCCGCGCGCGATCGCGACAGCCTTGCGAGATGCCCGCCGTGGCGCTGCCCCATGCAAGCCTGTCCGGCATGCGGGCGGAGCACCTCAAAATTTTTTTGCTGCAAAGCGAGGACTCCGTCGAGCTGTTGGCGCATTCCGCCACAGAGGCGGTCGCACTGGCACGGATGACGGCGTTGCGCAAGCCTGCGGGCGGCGTGCGCGGGATTGCCACGGGCGACGTTTTCCGCCGCCTCGTGTCGCGAGCGCTCGCGCACCTCTGGGTGCCCATCTTTGATGCGGCCGCGCGCCCCTTCCAGTACGTACTCCAGGCCAGGGCTGGGTCCGATGCTTTGGCTGGCCAAACGCGCGCAGCGCTGGAGCTCCACCCAGACTTCAGCAGACTGCACGCTTGTGTCCCTCGACGGCCGCACACGACAACATCGCGTGCGGGGCGAGCACGCTCCGGGCCGTGTGTAAGGACATATAGGTCGTTCTCGAAGGCTAGCAGGCATTCGTGCGGCTGCAAATGGGATGCGGCCGCCTGGAGACCGCCGTGTTGGCCAAGGGAGAACAGGGCAGGGGCTAGGTGATCCCCCTGCTCACATCCCTCCCCCTGGCTGATCTCGCGGCAGCGACCGTGGCAGTCACACCAGCAATAGGTGGAGGGCTGCCCGTAAAACAAGTGCACGAATGGCAAGAGTTCCGGCGCGACGTCGCGAAGCGCGGTGAGGAACGACGCCCGCGAGATGGCGTCAGACGCGCGAGGCCGTCGAAACCCATTGCGGCATAGCGTCCAATGAGGGCAAAAACCAAGGTCTTCCGCTTTGCCGGTGGGCCCACGCCGGGGGGGCGGAGGTGTGGCGAGGGGACCAGCCCCCCGCTGCGCGCGGCGTTGTCGTCATGGGCACGCCCCTTGGCTATTTGAGTCGTTGTCAAAAACCCGTTTTAACATATTAGTTTTCGTTATTTTACATCTAATCCTAACCAAATCACTGCGGCCGCCTACTAAACATACTTGAAGGTTTGAAAATATCAAGCTAGGTCTCATGTACCCTCAAGAAACAAGCTGTGAAACTCCCAGCCTAACTGTAACACCAGTTCCCCTTCACACCTAAATCCCTCGGTTCGGTACCTTAGGCTGCTTCGGGGGTCTGGGGCCAGTGGATGGCTGACTGCCCTGGGTTGTCACGGGTAGAGTCTCGGTAGGGCAGCACTCAGGCACCCTGCTGAGAACTCGATCCTGCACGGTTTCTATTGTTGAAACCTGCTTAGGGTTTGGGGCTTCGGCTCTCACAGAGGACAAGCTATGCTGAGCACTGTTAAGGGTATCGGGCGGGGTATCAGTAATCGACCTGGCTCACACAAACCGCCGCGGCTCTTCTGTTCCGCCCGCACCCCCACGCGGCCAGCTGCGGCGGGGCCTCGCTTTGCCGAGGGGCGCTGGAATGACCAGGCCCGCACTTTCCTGCGGACCCTGACGTGATTGCGGGGCTACGCGGCCGCAGCGCGGCGAGCGGTTGGGCGCGCCGTTGGTGGGGGCTTTTGTCCGTCGCGGTCCAAGTGGCCGTTGCCGAGACCGCCCTGGGCACGCCTGCAGCAGGACTGCTGCCTTCCGGCCCAGCATGGTGCCGCCCCTGGAAGCCGTGCTGTCGCTGGCTGCGCTGGGCCCGCTGCGGCCGTAGGCGCCAAGCCCTCGAGACCATGACGGCAGAAGAAAATCAAAACTTAAGGACACTGAAGTAGAACTAGAGGACACGGAATTAGAGGACACGAAACTGTCGCTACACTAAATAAGTAAGTAAGTAAGTAAGTAAGTAAGTAAGTAAGTAAGTAAGTAAGTAAGTAAGTAAGTAAGTAAGTAAGTCCTGCATGCCCGTAGGCGGCCTTTTGGAGGAGCAGGCAAGGAACGCAACTTTACATGGTGTCAAACTGCATTTGAGCATGACGTCACGTCAATGTTAGAATCATTCTAAACATCGACGGCTTTTGACGAATCATCTTTGTTCAATTTTCTCAATGCTGTACAAAGTCAATGAATGCACCCCGCGCGATGTCAAAAAAATTTGTCACGTACTCAGTCCAACAGGTATTTCCATTGAAACGCGCAAAAGCTTCAAGCTGCGTGTACCAACAATCGCGAGGTCTACCAGGAACGCGAACTCCATTTGGCGACCAACTCATCGAATCGCACGCTTCACCCACCTGTTTGCTGGCAACTTTGCCACATGATGTGCGAAATTCCAATAGCCATGGATGCATTTGTAAGACCAGCTCTGCAAGTTTAACGTTTGAGTCATCTGCTGGACATGTTGATTCCATTCGTGCAGTACCTCATGCCAGGGTAACGACCAATCAAGTCCCGAAGGCGGTCCAACCATGATTCTAAGCAATCATCGCCATTCTGAATCCAGTTTGCGAAGATGATGCTGCCGTACTTTGCGATGCCCGGCACCAAAACATGCAACCGGTGTCACTACACTAAATCACTAAAGTATAACGACAGGACTCTGAACTACACGTGGTACTCAAAGAACTGTGTGTCATGGAACAAAGCTGCGGCATCATGGTAAAGTAGTGTCGTGTCATGGAACAGTGTTGTCGTGTCATGGAACATGATGATGTCTAAACATGTACGAGCACGTGCTTCTTCGTCCGCATCCGGGGCAGTCGGGCGGGCACCAGCCGCCAGTGCCGACCAAGAAGGGCAGTCAGCCCATCCTTCGGCTTGGAGGACTGCTCTAGCACCCGCGGCGCTGCGGAGGCAGGGTGCAGTGTCGTCCCGGGCCTGCTCCAAGGCCTGAGCGCAGGTCCGTGCCGCATCAGGGCAGCGGGCCTGGATGTCCGCCAAGGGGACGGGGAGGGCAGGCATCGTCCACCTTCCCAGAACGGCGATGCAGACGGCGCGTTGCACGGCCACGGCGAGGACGCCCAGCCTTGCGCGGCGGCTCCGCGCGGACTGCGGGTGGCGCACGTGCAGCGCGCAGCCGGACGAACCGTCGACGAACCGTCGTAGGAGGGACTCGCAATCCGCGCTCCACCTCCCTCCGACTCCGACTTCGGTCGCAAGGACGCACAAGCGCTGGGCCCCTCCGCGGTTGAGCTCGCGGTACTGGGCTAGTTTGCGCCGCCGCGCTGCCGCCAGGACGACGCCATCGCGCCCCGGCGCCCCGCTAATCGGGCTGCCGTCTCGCCGCAGGGGCGAAACCAGGGTGGCGTCGCAGCACAAAGGTTTGCCTCCAGGGTTGAGTGCAGCCAGCATTGCGTCCTCAGGACGACCAACAGCTGCATCAGCACAGGATGCTCAGGCGAAGTCTTTCCAATGCTTTCCAAGATTTCTTAGCTCAGACGTTTGTAGGGGCAGCTGTTGACATGCCGCCAGAACTTGCCAGTGCATGTGCGCAGCTCACATCAGGGGCATGGGCGTTGGATTCTGGCGCATCGTTTTTTGTGGTCAATGCACAGAACTTTTTGTCCTCCGCACCTTCTTACGCCGGTCACGCGGCCCCTGTGCAAGTCGACCCAGTCCTGTAGGGGAGGAACTTGGTCGGTCAGGGCATGCGGGTGGCAAGACGTGGAGAGGCCGAGGACTCGGCGAGGAAGTCGCTGAGGAGAGGTGGATCTCTATATACCTCCATCAACATTGGCGGCACCGGCGAGTGGCAGGGAGAGCAGGCTGGTCGCCAAGGCACGGGCAGGGGCGAATGCAAGGAGGGCAGACCACCGAAGCACTTAGGCCGAAATGCATGCACTCTGCATTGGGGCAAGGAGACGGAGGAAGGTAGCGGTTTCCGAAGACCACCTGCCACCGGTCTCTATGAACGGACGACGAGGCGGCTTAGCCCGGCACGCATGCCGCAGAGCTGCTCCGGCAGTCCGCCTTCCTTGCTAACTGATTATGATGCTGCACGTGCTGCAATGAAGAACGGCTACAGCCATAAGATGAGATATCTCAAGAAGACTCAACGCATTTGTTTGGGATTCATTGGCGATGCCTTTCAAGAAGCTTGTACTGTGGAACGTGTAGAGACAGATGACAACGATGCTGATTTGCACCCAAAGCCGCTAGTTCCGTTCGCAAATGGGCGTCTGTGACGCCTCATGTGCATGAGTAGCTGATTCACGGTCCTACGGACCTGTACCGTGAACCTTTGTCGAGGGGGTGATGTGTGACAACACGCATTCATGTCGAACGTTCGCCATCATGATATCAGAAAGGTTTTCGGCCCTCCGTCCGACGTCCAATGGGATACGCCGTGGCACCACGTGCTACACCGGTGGAACACGAAAGCGTTGCGGTGTTGGGAAGCTTTGCGACGCCCTACACGGGGACAATTTTGTTTGCGTTCCTATTGGAATTTTGCGAGACAACTTGCATGACGCAAGATGGGTTAGACGTGCTTTGGAGTGGCAGCCGGTGGGCGTCCTAATCCTGGTAGACGCTGTAGCATGTGGACGACTTGCTTGGAGAACTTTGCTCGCCTCCCGCGCCGGGACAAGTGGGAAACAGCAGCTACGAACAACAAAATGTGAAATGAATCGCGCGATGTCCTTTGCAAATTTGTGATGGGGCAGCCATCCGCATAAAACATGCTATGGACTTATAGACCGATTCACCTGTACCCTAAAGGGGACGATCAGGCCTCGACTCAACTCCACCCTGCCCTAGTCTTGCGCGGCTAGCAGCAAACGACTCGGCTGCTCCATAGATCACGCATTCCAGGCAGCGCCTATCATCCGCAGCGAAACCAGGATCAGAGCCCGGCACGACACCTGACCGTCAGCCCAATCATGCTCCAAGGGCTTCACACGCACCCTCACTCAGTTCGACGATCTTTGCTCGCCGAGCCAGGAGCCCGCCGTGGGCCGCAACGAAGGGAGTGGGAGGCGCAAACGGCGGCGTAAGGCGAGCTGCAGTGCGCGCGGGCGGCAAAGTTGGCCCAGGCTCCGTTGGATGCATGCCTCACAACAGCGGGAAGTGTCAGCCCGAGCGGCAGCAGCGTGAGCAGCGTGGTTGGCCCGGGGCGATGGGCACATAACGAGGAGAAGCCACGCACATTGTAAGTTTGGGAGGCTCGGCAAGAAATCCATAAAACATCGCTGCAAAGGCAGCAGCCCTTCCAGCGTTGCCTGGAGATATCAGGGACAAAGGCCCTCAAGCCTCAAGTCCCCAGTGTCCCAAAACAAGACTTGTAGACGAAAACTCCCGCAAGCTCGACAAGGAGCTAGCTTTCGTGATTACTGTTTGGGATCAACGCGGCGCCATAGCCTTCACACACCCACCCTTGTATGTACTGCCCATGCTCCTTGTGACAGTCTACACAAGCGTCGTAAACATTCGGAGAACGGATGTTGCTGTTTCTGGGATCTGCTAAACGACATTGTCACCTCGGACAAGCTGAAGTTCCGTGATGAATGGCACGATATGCGAGCCAGTCGCAGCTTGGATAAAAGTGCTGATGATCCGATATGGCCTCTTCCGACAGCTCGACTGGCGACTTCAGCCAGTGGCTTACAGCTTCTGGGACATGGCCAACGCTGCCCAAGCGACCAATGCGCTTGCATGATTCGTGTAGTGGGCGTTTGCAGCTTCATGTTTCCATGTGCAAGAACGCCAGGTTTCGACGTTTTCCGGGCTGCCCAGAGAGTGCTCAGCGTGTGCAAGGAGCCACACAGTACGACACGTAAACATCATCTCTGGCTGAACCCGATGGAATCCGATGGGGTTCTTGTGGCTTCATGGGAATGTGTTGCTCACCCAAGAAGCCTGTGTTGCACTTGACCCACGCGCAAGTCCCACTGACCAACAGGGAGCGCGTATTGCGCTTGAGTGCTTCAACAAGTACATCGTCGAGGAAGGCAAACGCGGCGATGGGCCGCTTTGCTCTTTTGAACTCTTTTTGAATGGCTTAAGCATGTTCAGGATGGCGGTTGGAGGAAATTTGGGCATTTCAGGGGGATGTAGCTCCATTACGGCTTTCTCTCGTGCAAAGGTGCTCAGCGCGGAGGGCAACCAACCCCCTGCATTGCGAGAGCCTGGTGCCGGGACGCGCTTTTCAACAGTGAAGTCGCGGGAGGGGACCTTATTGGTGGGGCTCCCAGCCCGGCAACCCGGCAACCCGGCAACCCTTTTGTCAGGATCCATTGGCAAATCCATTTTGGCATCCAGTTGCCCCTCATTTCCGGACCCATTTTTTCCGCATCGCTGTCGGAACTTCAAATTTGAATGGTGTTCGGAAGTTCCTACAGTTCGGCAGAAGGGGGCTTCAGAAGACGAGCAGTGCATGACGACTACCTGAGCTTCCACCAGCGCACGCTTCGTTTTTCCTGAGGTCTTTGCCAGGCAACGTCTTGCCTCCTGAAGCTGCGAGAAAAAAAGCGCAACCAAACCAGAGATCCCTAAAGTGAGAATTTCTATATAACTTGATGTCAGACATATGAAGCGCGCAGCTCCAGGAGAAAAGTGTTGGTACAGAGTGTCAATGTTTGACACCGGGCCTCGAGGGGGCCTCTCACAAAGCTGGGGGAAGGCCAAAAAGGCTCAGACTCCGTAGGGAAGCTCGTTTCGCAGAACTGCTCTCCAGCCTTGACAGGAAGAATCAAGCCGCCTTCTCAGGGTGTTTTTGAGGTCCCTCAACGCGCTTAAGAATCGGATTCTTAGGGGTGATCTCTTATAGCTTTCTTATAGAACTTATAGCCGATGCTCCGCACAGGGATACGCAGGGCACCCGAAGTTCAGGGGCCGCCGCTTTTCAAGAGGTCTGGGTCCTTCTTGATGTGCGCCGGGAGATAGTCCTGGCGCGGGGCTCCTTTGAGTTCTGCGCAAGGCTGCGTACTGGTGCCACCTTATAAGTGGACTCACTCGTCACTCCCAGCCCTCCCTCTCCCGTTCTCCGAATATGCTCCGTGAAAAAACCGCAGGCCGAGGAGACCAGGGCCGTTCTCTGCGCTGTGTCCCTGAGCGAAGCGTCGGCGCCGGCCAGGATCAAGGCCTGAGGAGCTTAGTGAGTAAGGAGGGTCAAAGAGGTTGCTGTGCTTTTAAGCAGGAATGTGGTGAGCACGAGCGAATGGCAATTAGGGCACAAGGTCAGCTCGCCTTGAACACGTCGAGGTCGCCGGAAATCGCAGCGTAGTGCAGCGGAGTGGCGCCGTCCTGTCGAATGCACTTTGTGACTGAAGGATGCTGGCAACGCTGCAAAGGGCTAGGCCTCAATCATGAACAGCGCAAGGTGCTGGCTCCATAAACCACAGCGTGTAAACAAGCATACTCACACACGCATAGTATACATAATATGCATCATGATCATACATAACATATACATATCTATGTGCTCCTCGTCTTCTGCATCCAAGGCAGCACGCGAATCCAGCAGTGCCATGACGCACGTCCTATCACTTTGCGGCGCAGAGAAGGGCTTTGATTGAAGGGCTGATCACAGTGCCGAGTATACGGAGGGAACTGAGCGTCGGGCAGATGACCTCCTTTGGCAGCGTGCATCAGTGCCGTGAGTCCCAAGCAACTCGGCACAGGCTCAACACATCGACATGCGATCAGGAATTACTGGGAGACGCACCAATACTCACATCCATCTCTTGAAGCAGCTATGTGCATCTCTTCACAAACGATACTTAGGGGCGCGCTTGTCGGCAACGCCGCGTTTTACAGCGCTGCTAGATACCGCCCTGGCAGCTGACCAACTTCCAGCAAGGCTCGAAGATCTCGCACTCGCCCGAAGGCACAAGGACCCCCCGCCTTATCTCTGTTGCAGCTCCAGCATCGAGTGCCTGCAGGGCAGCACAGGTAAGAAAAAATTGGCGCTGCGCGCGCTACCGCTACCGGGATACCGCTGCAACTGCCTCCCGCACCAAGACAGGGTCTCCTTCGCAGGCCCCCTTGAGCAGCCTCGAACCAAGCTCTCTTCTGCCCTGTTACAAGTGCAGGTTGAACAAGGAAGATGCCAGGTTGATGGGGCTGAACAGATGGCTCTCAGTGATTTTGAGTGGGACCAATGATTCATGAGAGCTTGCGAGGTCCTTACTCGCTCAAACATAAACTACAAGGGCCGATGGTGGAAGTCTCCAACACCAGGGCCCCTGTTTACCCTCTAAGCGTAGTATAAACCCTGCAAAAAGAAACCGACCCCCAACTCCATTTTATACCCTACACGTAGTATATGCCCTGCTCACACATGTGTTCGCTTTGCTTCGGCGTCCCGCCGGCTGAGTCTGCCACGCAGAGTTCCAACCCGAGGCGGATGCGGGTATGAGCGGCCTGGGGCTTCTAGGGCTTTGGCTTCGGGTTCAGGGTTTCAGGGTATGGGGTCTATAGGGTTTGGAGGGCATATAGGGTATACACGGTCCATTGGGTTTAAAGGTTTTGGGTTTATGGAGTTTAAGGACAGTAGAGCTTAGAGCAGGCATGGACAGGACTTTCTGGAAATTGCCCATACTTGAGAGGACACTCAGCTCCCTAACACCAGCAAGCTCCTACCTTCAACCCTCAACCCCTTTTACTGCCCTAGACCTCAAACTCTTAAACCCTTATAGGCCCCAAACCCCTTGGTGCCTTAACCCCTGAGCCCTAAGCCCTAAACCTTCAGCATTCTCTCGGAGCTCGGAGGATGAGTGGCAGACCCCAGGCCCCGTGAGTTGTCGGCCCAGAACGCCTCACAGCACAGTGGTTGTCCGAAACTCCGGGCCCAAAGGTTGACTTTGGGGGGGGGGGGGGGGGGATTTAGATGGTTTTGGGGCTGTTAGGGGTGTGTCCAAGGTTTGGGTTTAGAGCTGAGGGCTCAGAAAGATGTCTGCCGATGTGTTGTGGCCACAATACAGTCTGCAGAGTTTGGCCGGGTCCTCTCGGCAAACATCCTCACGACCACAAGGCCTGCAACAACAAGGCACCAGCATCTATGCTGCACGAAAATATGCATGGAAATAAATATATATATATATATATATATATATATATATATATGTGTGTGTGTACTTTTTTATTTATATTTCTGTATATTTATTTTTATATCTATATCTGCATCTATATCTATATTTATATTTATATTTATATTCATGCATATACAGACAAGCCATGATATTAAAGAATCGAAAAACATCCTGCTGCAGCGCTCTTGATAATCATCCGCAACGAGTGTGCCTGCATATGCTGAAGTCATCCACTGATCCAACTGAGCCTTGGCCCATGCTGTTGCAGGTGCTCGTCGGAGCCCTATCGGAACCCGAGGAACCAGGATGTATGACATTCTTCGGGCTGATCATGGCTACCTTGTGCCATTTATGCAAACGTCTCTGCCATGGTAATGCCTCTTGTTCGAGATAGCTGCTCTGCAGTAGGCCGCCGACCCATGACACATGTCCACCCGAGACGCACCGACTCCGACGCCCAGAGCTCAAACAGCTCAAGACAAAGCTGCATGGCGTGAAACTCGGGTAGGTATTTGGAGGCCACTTGGGATCAGCTACTTAGGCAAAGCATGGCAAGTGGACTACTTGCCAGCGTGTGCTTGTGCAAACATACGCTGTGCCTTTTTGTCGCTAGACGCGAACAGCTTCGCCTCCGATCCGTACACGGCCATTCCGTCTGCGCCAGGTCTGACTGTATCCCAGTAGCATGTAGCAGTTCGCCTGGCAGCTAGAAGTACGGCTCTTTGCAAAGGGGGCATCGCGGATTGGCTCGCCATGATGGAAGCGGCACGAATCACGGCGCAAACGCTAAGCCGTGCACGTAAGCAGCGAGGCCGGCAACCAATGACACCCTGAGCTTTACGGGAGGAATGTTTAGAGGATTCAAGTGTCGTAGGGAAGGTGTTTTCAGGGGTGGCCGTGTGTTCTTTGCCATGTTTCTCCAGGTCTCTCCGCATTTTTTGGTGCCTCCTTGACTTGGGGACCTTGTGAGGCTCGCCTGGCCCTCAGGCTTATTGTCAGTGTCAGCAGCTGAGGGGAAAGCCATACGCACCAGACCACGAAGATAGCAACGTTGGCTCTCACGGGGTCTCTCTTTGAGCGCTGTAAGAAGTGCCATTCTGCGAGGACACCTTGCGCATGGCATGCACCACTCAACACCCTCACAGTCCGGCACAGCGCGCGTGTGGTTCTTGCAATCTCTTGTAGAGGCAAGGGGCTGAAAGCAGCGTAGAGCAGCATGACAAAGGCAAGGAGCCAGCCCGCGTGCATTCGAACTGAGGCCTCTGCGAAGCAAACCGAGTCACTTTCATTTCAGAACAGCGCAACGCCCTTAGACGAGGTGGGCTGAGGTGGGCCTCGTAGGGACAGAGGTAGTCATCGTGAAGAGGGCCTTTGAAGCAGAGCTGCAACCAGGCAAATGCAGCGGCAGCGCATCCAAGGCCACCAGTCGTGCCGAGAACCTCGCATCTTCCAACAGAAGGGCTCGGATAACAATCATTGCGGCGGTCAGTGAGTTAGTGTGCCTCATAACCTGCCCGGACAACTCGGCCCGGTGCCCAGTAGCGCGCGCTGGGCGGTGCCGAGCAGAACCAGGCAATGCCGAAAGGAACCGCCAAGCAGATGTGAACCCATGGTAGCGATGGGCTCCTTGCACACCGGCAACGTCACACCGTGCTGTTGCTGAGGGACCAGGGAGGAAGCAACAGGGCCAAGGGTCGAAATCAGCCGCAGGAGACCGCAGACAAGCCGAAGGCTTCTGCCTGAAAGCAGCTTAGGGTTTAGGGGTTTGGGGGTTTCGGCGTTTAGGGTTTAGGGTTTAGGGTTTACGCCAACGTGACCGTAGGAACGTGAGACAAGACATGGGCTGCCAAAAGCGATCTCGTCACTGTACTTAGACTCAGGCTGTACTTCACTGTGCTGCACAAGATGCTCGAGCAGCACTCTCTGCAGCGATGTCGCACCGCCTGGTGCTGCAAGATGCCACAGCACTCTGCCAGCACTCTGCAAACCCCCACTACATCCCACGCTGCTGCATTTCACGGGTATGGTCCTGCGCAGAAGCGGAGCAGGTGCTAGCCATCTGCTGCCAGGAGCAGCCACGCAAAGTGACGCAGGTATGTTTCCTGGCAGCGCAACCCCACGGCAGCTTAGCCACCCTGCCTCTCCCATACACTTGCAGCTGGGCTGCACAAGGGGTATCAGAGGCGGCACCGCCAAGATCCCCACAAGCCACCAGGCGACCTCGCGGGCGAGGGCCCCTCAGGCCTTGAGGCGATCTAAAGAGGCGTGCTTCCGAAATCGGGAATCTGGGCCCTGCACGGGCGCGACCTCGCATCTCGTGACAAGGCGTGCATGAAGTAGGCATCGAGTGCAGATTCGTGTTCGAGTGTAGGTTGTATACGTCACTGTACAATTAGTACGATAAGTATGTCTGCTTGCCGAGATGCCTTGGGGCCAATGGAGGCGATCCGGATAAGGCAGCCGCAAAGGGCGGAGATCAGCGGCGCCATCCACAAATGAAGCCACAGAAGAAGCACGACAGCCTGCACGTCCGGAAGGCAGCTTCACGCGATTTCCATGAATTCTGCCACTCCAGGGGGTACCTTTGAAGTAGGCGAAGGCATGCCAGGCACATGATGGAAGGCATGCCAGGCACATGATGGCACAATGCCGCCTGCGAGTTCGGGTCGGTGGCAGGGATGTGGAAAGGCCGCAGGGCCGTGCAGCTGGGTGGCGTCCCCGAACAAGGAAAGGACGCCAAGACGATCACCATCCTGGGAGGGACGGCAGACCTAGGGTATTGCCCGGGATGATCCAAGACTGGTTGTACCGGGACCACCTTTAGTTGCTTTAGTTTCAGATGTCGCCCCAACTGCAGTTACCCATCATTGTGAATTGTGACGTCTGCCACGCGTCCCACTAGCTTGGGCACGCCAGGTGGCTCCATACGCGCAGCATCCACCGAATCGATAGGCATCTTATCGAACTCGTCCCACATCTGATGGCCGCTTGTTTTTGGTTGGTTCCTGGAAGTCCTCTCCAAGTTGCTGAAGCAGCTTCGCTTTTCGTGGGCTGCTCATAGCTCCCCACAAGCGCTGATGTGTTTCGACCAGTGCTCTGTACAATCAGGTGTGGTTTTGTCAACTTTTGAAGAAGCCAGTGTCTAAAAGAAACACGAAGATACGATGACATGGCAGCTCAGGCAACGAACGCCACTTTGTCCAAGCGTCTCGAACAGCAACGTTGCCAGGCAGACGGCCTCCAACACTGCTCTGTGTACCACTTCTGCATGACGATAGGGTTTCTATGGGTTGCTCAGTCCCCTGCCGTCACGGACACTGCTACCCAACACGAGCTCCTCCGGCATGCCTGCAGAAGGCAGACAATGAGACGCGCAACGCGTTGCACCGTTTCTGAAGGATCAGGCCTGCAGCAAGACGCCAGCCACCAGCTCAGAGATGGCCAAGAGAACAAAGAGCATCCACGCACCGAGGGGAATCGCCAGCAGCACCTCCACCACACTCACAGCCATACGTGAAGCGTGGGCACGCGTCCGTGGCCTGTCGCGCGCTGAGTCCCGACTCTGTGCGCAGCTCCTCTATGCAGCCGCGACAATGGGCCTTCAGAAAAGTACATGGCGAGAGAGAGACAGAGGGAGAGAGCGAGAGAGAGGGAGAGAGAGAGAGGGGGAGAGAGAGAGAGTGTGAGAGAGAGAGAGAGAGAAGCAGAGGGAGAGAGAGATGGAGAGAGAGAGAGAGAGAAAAAAAAAACGGAGGGAGAGAGAGATGGAGAGAGAGAGAGAGAAACGGAGAGAGGGAGAGAGTGTGAGAGACAGAAACAGAGGGATAGAGAGAGAGGGAGAAGAGAGGGAGAGAAAGGGAGAGATACGGAGAGAGATACGGAGAGAGAGGGAGAGAGAAGGAGCGGGAGCCGGAGCCGGAGCGGGAGCATTGCAACAGAACGTGGCCTTCACACATTCGCAGAAGTTTGCAGGCTGATGTTCAGCCTGGTAGGGCTCGCCGCACCTCTCACAGTAGGCCACAGCACTCAGGAACAGCAGGCCCGCTGCAGACCACGTAAGTTTCGGACAGGTCGCAGCAGATTCTTGGCTGAGCACTATCCCCGCCCTGCAGGCTGAACCCACACCAAGTGCGTCATACTTCGCTGCTGTGACAGCATCAGCACATACCGGCCTGCATCTCCGAGCGCATCCTCTGCTGTGTGCGTGCTGCGACCCACGACTCGATGCAACTCCTGAGTCCATCGACACAGAAACTTAAAGATTAAACTCCACAGAACTTGAGCTGGGTATGGCGGAACCTATTTGTGAAAAGCGGGATTCCTGAGAATTATAGCTTTACACAGGACTTGCCAGGGCCCACCAAACAATGCATACCAAGCTGCGCATGTACCCCACGCATGCTGCCACGGCAGCGACATGGAGCCACCAAAGGCTCGGCCCTGGGCATCATCTTGCTTGCTTACATGAGTGCTTCCATATACTTCTCTGGAGATTTTGGGCGGTTGTGCTTTTGCGCCGTGCCGCTTTGCTACAAGTAGAGTTGGCGAGTTCATGCCTGTTCGTTGAGCACTTTTATGGAGCTGCCATGGACCATCTTTGGGAGTGTCTTGCATCGGCGGACTTACAAACCTTCTTTTGGTGGACTTCGAAAGCGCCTGTTTTGCCTTCCTGGCCGTGCAGTGCAGGTTTGCTGCTACCGACTAACCATGCGTGTAGCCACCTTTGAGTGCTCACCGTCTTTTCTTCATGTACCATGGTCAGGGGAAGGCCTGTCCGGGTCTCTGCAGATCCAGCAAACGGCTTCCGCATCGCTCGATTGGCGCTGAACCTCGGTGCCCTCGGCCATGTCGTTCAGCTCAACAGTTCGGCTATCCGCCGCATCCGTCGCCATGGGCAAGCGCTTGCCGCTCTAGGCTAGGGTACGCCAGGTTCGTGGCTCTGAAGGCATGTCGGCTGGCCTCTGCTTACTCGATTTGCCTTTCATGCTGACTTTTGCTGGGACTTGGCTGCTGCAGCTTCCACTTAAACCAGACTGGGCGAAGAGCAAATCGCCAACACATTCAGAACCAAACCCAGCGCTGCAGGTCATGATTGCTCACTTTGCATGGAGCACAAGTTGTGAACAGTCGGCTCAGCTGCCTTTCTTGTGGCGAGCATGGGGCCCCCGATATGTATCGGGAATCAGGGCCGCCAGCAGAAGCCGAGGCTGGGCCTTGCGACCGCTTGCCCACTCGTGTGGAACACAGTGGTCTAGGGTTTAGGGTTTAGGGTTTAGGGTTTAAGGTTTAAGGTTTAGGGCTCTCTTGGGGTGGCATCGAATGGAGATTTGGAACCGCCTTTTGGGTGCCTGCTGTGGTCCTGGGCTGCCAGGTGTGGCTTGGAGCATTTTCCTCTTTTTGTTCCTCTGCCATACTCGTCAGCCAGAAGGTGGAGATCCGGGCACCTGCCCTACCCTCAGCGTCCAGCTCATGAGCCCTTGGTCCGAGATGTAGCTCCAACACTGGAATAGGGAGGAAAAATACTCAATGTGATGCTAAAAAAGCAGCAACAGGGAATGAAGACACAAGAGCGGTAGTAGATTCATGCACCAAGTGGTAAACACTGGCCATGTGCCGAGATGCAAAGCCTGCAACGCTTGCACAACTTGCGCTTCTATCCTGGGCGGCGGCGATTTAGGAGTTCTTGCCGATTCAGCAGGGCTTGCTCGAGTTGGGAAGATTGTTGCGAAAGTTTTTTACGTGGCTTTTTTGGCGGTCCTTGTATACGACGTACGCGAGGACTTCGAACAACCCCAGAAGACCCTCCACCCCCTCGCCCCGATTTCCATCCGAGACCTCCGCAGTCCCCATACCCCCCGCAACACCGGCGCCTAGAGGAGAAAGGACATGCCGTTCTGGGTGATGCTCTAAACTGTGCGACTATGGGCCCTAAAGATACTCCAAGACGATGACCGGAACAGAAGTGTGCGACAAGGCCGATAATTCGTCTCTAGCCTGAAAAAATCTCCAAGGCTCTGCGGCGGGTGGGCCACGAGAATTCCGGAGCTTTGCAGCGAAGTGGATTCGGACGTCTCGAAACCAAACTCCACAACCAGCGCATCGCCCTGGCCATCAACACAAGTCCTAACAAAGCTCCGCAGAACCCCATATGTACCGGCCTTTGATGCTTTAGGGTTTAGGGTTTAGGGTTTAGGGGTTAGGGGTGCCTCCAAGGCCCTTGAACCCCGAGGCTCGAATGGAGTGAATGCTTCTGCCTCGAAATCAGGGGACCCCCGTGCCCCGTGCCTTGGTCAGCTCTGCAGCCCGGCGGTAGAAGGGCGCGGGGTCGACGCCATCCAGCAATGGGTACCACACCACGCAGCAGGCTTCCTTGAGTGGAAGGCGTGGGGGGGACTGAGGGCTTGCAAGGGTTGATAAGGGCCTATAAGGGTTTGCTGGACACCACCGTCCCCCTTGACCAGGCCTTCGGCTTCCCTTCATGAAGCCGAAACCTGAGCCTGACCTCTAGCGAAGTCAGCCCCAGGAAGCCTTCATAAAGAGAGCACCTCATAACTGTCAGAATTGGCCACCTCCAGGTAAACCGGTAATCTGGACCTTGACATGCTTTGGGGGCTCGCTGCCGCCATGTTTCATGTGCCTGCTCCAGCAAAAGCAAGTTGCAAGCCATAGAGACATCGTAGGGCTCCTGTGCGTGGATATTTCTCGGAAAATCCCCCCGCATCCTCCCCGTGGTGGAGAATTCTCGTGTGTGCGTCTTCAGACCTGAAGCATCTGAGGCCATTTGATTCTCTTGAAGCTGAGCGTCGTATGGCGGATCCGTGAAGATGAGCCTTCTTGGAGGAAGCAAGGCATCGGAAAGGTTGTCCAGGATCCAGGCATATGAATTCGCGCAGCGCAGCTCCACTCCAGACGTGTCCAGGCCGCGTAAGCCCCTCTCTAGGTCTGCAAAGGTGGGCTCCTGGGCGCACCAGCGCCAACAAACGCCAACAAGAAATTGTGAGAAGCTACGAGCTAACGGCCAAGCCAGGCTTCAGAGAGCTCGAAGAAGAGGCCGTGGTCTTGGGGCCGAAGCCAGTGTAGCGCAATGGCCGGCGAGCCGAGATACTGCCGCAGCGCCCCTGGGCAGGAATCTGGCTGAGACTCTGGACCCCAAACTGGGAAAGGAATTTGCGAAATCCTCGCTCGAGCCTTCGTTGCCCTGGAACCCGCGCTGCGTCCGATGGAAGGCATCCAAAACGCCATCGGAGGAAGACAGGTGCTCCCCCAGGCGCCTCATGCTGAACACTGGAGCTGGAATGAGCCTTCCTGAACTGCCGAAGGGACTATATTTTTTTACAGCGGAGAGGCTGAACTCCCCACTTGGAGGTGTGTTTGAGCATTGGAACTTCCGCGGTGAGGTCGTACACACCTGCAAATGCAATCGCCGTGAGATTCAGTGAGCCTCTGCAGAAAGAAGCATAAAGAATCCCGACTTGACGTTGACTTGAGTCGAGTGGCCTCTGCCAGCATGTGTGTCGATGAATGCAAAGGGGCTACCGTCTCTGACCATATGCTGCAGTAGGAGAATCAGTACCTCAGCGTTCCGGGTTGGGCCGGAATCCCCCAAAGAACTCCAGAAGCCTGCCCCTTTCTGTCCATGGGCGAGCATGGCATCGTGAATATCAGGATTGAGGGTGCGAGAGCCAAGTTACCAAGTGCTTGAAGCAGTCCACTGAACTTCCCGCTTGCACTGAATGATCGTAGGCAGCGATTGCAAAGCCCCCGCTGGACCTGAGCTCTAGGCTCAAGCCATAAGCCGAAACCTGTAGTAAGTTAGTAAAAACCCGAGCCCAACAGTACACTTGGTCCTGACCAGCCCCCAAAAAACCAGGGAACTGCAGCGCCGATCGCATGAGCTCGCCGACGATGGGCCACTGTCCTGCGCCGGAGCAGGCCTCGATGGCGGCGTTGAAGCTGACCGCATCCGGTTGCCTCGACTCAGCATTTTTTTGAGCATGACCATGACAAGGTGATCTCATACAGTACTCGGTACTCGGAACCAGCGTCAACGACTCTCCGTGTTTCAGCAAGCTACGAGTAAGTATATGTAGAGGAAGATACAGTACATCACCCATGGCAAGCTTCGTTTCAGCAATGCGGCCGAGGGGCAAAGTTCTCTGCACCAGCAGGGACAAGACAGCCAAGGCATGCTCCCAACGCATGCCCTTCTCACAGGCACTCATTGCGGAGCTGCATGTGAGCCTGACGCTGCAGATTCCAGAGGCTTGACTCAGACAGAATGGACTGCGTACCCGATGAGTTCCAGCCGGGAAGCACATCAAGCTGCACGCCTTCCGACTCCATTGCATTGAGAACCGTGAGGGCCTTGGGCAGCTTTCACTAGTTGAAAGTTCGCCGAAGCACAGCGCCAGCCACGACCAGCAGGCACGGACCGCTTAAGGCCGCAGCGTGCTCCCAGCAACCGATGTTCTCCATAGCACTTAGCGCTGCATTGTAGACAGCCCTCAGTTGTCAACCGCGTCGCTTTGAAGAATGTTCTTTGACCGATCTACGAATTTCAGAAGCCAACTGGCTGAACTACAATTGCTGCAACACGGAGACCGTCCAATATCCCCCTCCCGTCCCCCCATGCCCCCATGGGTCACAAGCCAGGTGGCGTGCTGGCATCTGACCCAGACCGGAACTCGGTCAGAAGCATCAGCGCAACCTCCCAGCAGGCTGCAACCGCTGTTGCGGTCAAGGCTGAAGTGTGGGTTGCGACCTGGGCATTACAGAAAGGTGGACTTGGCATACTTAAACATTCGGAATCCCATTCACAATAGCTTGGCAGGAGATCCGTTCACAATGCTGCTACCGCTGCACCGAGCGCTCGACACTTTGCCGGATCCGTGAAGCCTGCCTGGAAGGATGGCACACGACATGGCAAGGCAACAATCCAGCAGGTATCCTCTCAGATTCTCACCCGTTTCTAACCAGTGAAAGTAAGTTTCGATGCCCAGGGACATACGCGCCAGGAGGGCCAGGCCAGCAGCCCAATGCCCCGAGCCAGCGCAGGCGTTCATGGCAGCGTTGCAGCTGATGGTATCCAACCGCAGGCCTCTGCAAGTCTGTGGCCAGAGGAGTAACATCGGAGGCTTTAACATAGGCCCCCCCTCCCCCCAAAACCCCTCTAAGAGGACCTCGGCACTCCGCCATTTCCAGAAGCACCAGGGCCATGGCCCAACCGCCCTCGTTCCGGAGCGCGTCGATGGCAATGGTGTGGCTGACTATGCCAAAGTCGTTGGGGCCAGCTAAAGCCTTGGGTGCGTTGCTGCGGTCAGGCTGGACGCGCAGCAAAAGCATCGAACACAACTCGGTTTTGAGGCCGTGAGACACTCACGCATTGTTCCCACTGCGCCGCTGTGCTGCAGGCCACCAGGACGGCTTGGTACGTCAGCTCGTTGCTCTGCAAGGCTTTGCGTGTGCAGTCCTCTGGCAGTTGCAACGGGAGATCACACGTCCCGCCGCGAAGGATTTAGCTGCTTGGAACCTTGTGCCTGCAGTGGTGGCAACTACCGTGTGGCGAGTCAATCACAAATTCGCCTCGGCTTCCTGCCGAGAAGCGTCTGGAACAAGCAGACCCGGATCGGGCCTCCTTCCCCCTAACCCAACCCTTCCCCCCTGCCAAATTTTCTGACGCCACCCCCCCCCCCCCCGTGGAGGGTCCCGCCTGTCGGTGCCTCCTACAGGGGAGTACCCATCCCCCCCCACACCCCCCCCCAACCCCCCCCCTTACCCCCCCCCCACCCCCCCCCCCACCCCACCCCCCCCCCCCCCACCCCCACCCCCCCCCCCCACCACCCCCCCCCCCCCCCCCCCCCCCTTTAACCTCTCTGCCCTTCCTTTTGCAAAACCCTCTTTCCTCCTTTCCTGTGCTGGGGCCGGCCCGGCTGCCGAGGCGGCGCGCGCAAGCGTTTACAATTATAGACAGCGAATCGAAGGCGGTGCCGGTGGTGCCCTCGGGAAAGGAAAGCACAAACCGAGACGGTTCTCGCAGCCCTCACAGCAGCCACGCGCAAGAACTCTCCTCATTTTGGGGCCCTCTGCAAAGGGAAGGCACGAAACGACGAGGGACTTTACACCCTACATGACCCTATAGAGCTCGGGGCACCCGGCCGACGGAACCCACCCCTTTGAGGAACCGTTCCAATTACAACAGCCGCTCGCGCTCAACTGACGAACCAGACAGGAACATCACCGTGCAAGATCTGCAAGCACACCGTCCTCAAGCATGGCAATGACGCGCTGCCACTGAGATTGGCTGCCACATGCTTTCATGGCCGTGTTCTGGCTGGCGATGTCAGGCATTGCATCTGGTTCAATGTCGCCCAACACGTGGATGGCGTACTGCCACTGACCAGCCTCAGAGGCAACAGGACACAAAGACCCCAAACACAAGAAGAGCGCCTGTTTGGAGTTTAGAGGGCACTGCCGGATAGGATGGGGCACCCATCCATGCCGGCCCTGGCTGCACCTCTGACTCAGCCAAGCCGCATGGTGGCATGCCAAGATGGCGGCATTGAAGCCTGAAGCAAGCGCTGTTCAAGTCAAGTAACCCTCCAGAAATCATCAGCCTTGCCAAGCGAAGTAGGACTTTTATTGAAGTAGGCTTTGCTTGCTCGTATCCCCCAAAGGACAGCCTTTATGTACAGTCACCAATTAGTTAAAGGAATCATACATAATTGCCCTACCTCACATGCAGAATGCAGACATGCCGTCAAGGCGCATACCACACTCAGAGCAACCGGTGGAAGCCCGCGCCTCATCAAACTCACGAGGTCACATCTTTGTTGCACTTTATGAGTCCTGAAAATGGTGCTTTCAATGTTCTTCCAGCCTGCACTCTGCTAGCATGGACAAAGCCCTGTCCCAGGATGCAGAGTTTGCAAACCTCAGACAACGCAGCAACTCGCAACCATGGCGGCACGACGCTCAGTACGGTCCCCAAGCGGCAAGAAAGCTGGGGCAGGGAACGCCGTGATCACTGCACCCATTGTCACGGAGTTGGGTGTCGTAGATGTCTCTTGCATCCGTGCCTTTGGGCGCTGTGGAGCTAGCTGCTGCCTCCACTACAGAAGACACCAGGATGCATTCGAGAGTCCATTATGCTCAGGGCCAGGTCCCATCGCCCGACTTTCGCACAAGCTGACACCGCCGCTGTGTGCGAAAACACGCTCCTCGCAAGGCAGTGCGTGGTGGTGGCTGCTACATTGTAGCTGAAACCCTACACCCTACACCCTCCACCCTAAACCCTAAATCAACCCTAAACCTTGTCGTCCTCCGGGCACTGTGGTGAGGCATGTCCGCAAAGAGCGCAAGAGCATGCTGCCAACGCCCGGCTTTGCCACACGCAGAGATGGCAGTTCCGCAAGTCGTGTCGTCCTTGCAAGCCTAAACCCTATGAGCACCAGGAAGCCGAAACCCATCTAGGTACCAGAAAGGCAAGAGTGTTTTGTGTTGCTGTCGTGGGTTTTTTGCTGTCGTGGCGCGCCACAACAACAAAACAGGCCAAAAGAATGTGCGTTCACAACTAACCCCGGCCCCCCACCTAAGAATTCAACAAATATACTTGTCAGAAACCCATCGGGGGATCTTTATGCCATTTAATACCCCTTGAATGACTTTCTCATATTGCTGAGGCTCCGGTCGAAGTTGCATGAGGATCATGTCATGCAGCAGCTGCAATGAGGCATCCCACCTACAAGTCACAGCAAACAAGCGCGCTGCAAGGTCACCGATTTTTTGGTTTGAGGGTGTGGCTTTGGGTTCGGGGGTTTAAGGGCGCAAGGTTTTCGGGCTCGCGCTGCCTCTCTCTTGAGGGTGCGAGTGTTGAGAGTTTCGTGACAATGAAGTTTCATCGTCAGTACGCAAGACAATGACGACATGCTCGTTCTGAAACTTGCATTAGTACTGTTAAAATGTTCAAAAAAAACTTGTACGGGTAATGAGTCACCTTGCTGCAAAAAAAAAACTAAACATTTCGGGATCCCCATGAAAGCCCCCTATGTTTGGCTTCCGGCCTGTCTCCACCCTCGCAGGCATTCAGGACGCAGTTCAGGCAATGCAGGTCTCTTTCAACGCCTCTCGGGTTGAGGCTCCGGCTCTCCAAGCTCAAAATCTCTTCAAAGAGTCGCCCCACAGCCAAAGCAGGCCCGGTGATGAAGCAGTCTCTTACTCGATGGCCCTACCTTTGCCCTGCATGTGGTCTAGCACTTCCAACGCCGCCTGCGACACGGCCCAGCACAGCTCAGCACAGCTCGGCGGACTGACATGCACCCATGCACTTTCCAACATACTGCCCGGACAATCGACCTGCCACTGGATGCGGCGGCCGCAGGCCTTAATGATGCCCGTGTACGTAACCACGTCCTGAAGTTCAAGGGGCTTTGGGAGAGTTGGTAGAGCGTGAGGATGGATGTGGGTGGACTGACAGACCATAGCCCACCTGCAGGACAGAGGCCTCCTGCATCTGCTGAAGAATTGCGACTGCCACTTCCCAGTTGTCTGCCTCTAGTGGCTTCGCGGCTTAGCAGATGCGCAATCATCATGAGAATGCCAATCACATTCTCGCTGGGGTACGCTAGCAGCAATGGCAGCATTGAAGCTTATTGCATCCGCCCGCAAGCTCTGCTGCAGGTCAGCCAAAAGCGCGATTGCAACAGCCCACTCTTGGCACGAGCGAATGGCCTGGGCGGTCGATTCCACCCAGAGACCTAAACGCTAAACCTCAAACCAAACCAGCACGATCGGATTATGTATTGATACATACGTACATGCGTACATACGTACATACGTACATACGTACATACGTACATGCATACATACATACATACACAAATGTACAATATGCATATGCATATACGCATACACAGATGACACATACATGTCATGTCAATCAAAACGACGAACAGCGAAGGCCGCTTTCAAGCCAGTGGCAGAGTTGAGAACCACCACGTTCGGCTGAAGTTGACAGGAGGCCATGTCTTCCAAAGCCCTCAACACCCAGACCTTGGTTGTGAGCAACCACTGGGAGGTTGAGGGCTTTAGAGGCTTTAGAAAATCGTTCGTATAATTATATTAGGAACTATATTTAAAGGGCCTTTGCCTTTGGTGATTTAGGCTCTTACGCTGCTTTTGGTTGATTTTCTTGAGGGGGGGGGGAGGGGGGTGAAGGGATTTTGTCTTGGGGCTTGGGGGCGCTCAGGGACGTTTAAGGGAATTTGATGGTCTAGAGTTTTGGCTTCAGGGTCTTCAGGAGGCTGTAATGCTTTCTGTTTCCGGCATGTTGCTTTAGGGGCGTGAGGGCGCTAGGCCCACTAATCTCCGAACAGCCAGAAAACATGAACTGAAGTTCTCGTGAGCTATCAGGTTGAAGCTGACTATGGTTAGTGCAACCCTCCGGCGTGTGATACAGTATGTTTCATTTCCCGGGTTGTTTTGTCATAGGCCAGGCTCTGTCGTACACATTCTTCTGGCCGTCCGAAGCTTCGGCGAAGCAGTTGCGATGAGCTGAAGCTTTGAGGCTCGAGAATCTCGTGGTGACGATACCATGGTGGGTTCGAATGTACGATGCCTTACGGTGCTTCCGAGGCACCCACTGCGCATCGGCGGCAAGCGCCGACACGGTGCTTCCGTAGCTCACGACACTCGCCTCGAGGCCGCTGCGCATCATGGCAGCGTGCAGCCCTGGCTCGAGATCCCAACGGCACTGGGTTGGGGATGTACAAGTACGATCTAGGATGGCTTAGCATAGTGTAGGGATGTGATGATGTCAGGGACGCATGCTACAGTACTGCGCTGCTGTGAGGGCAGTGGGGCGCCTAAAGCAATCTGCCATCGCCCACCGCCCTTGCAGGCTGTGATGCAGCTGGTCCACGCGGCGATGGCGCATGGGTGGCCCTCTGCCTGGCAGAGCCGGCCCAGTGCCTGGACGAGGCGGAGCCCTCATCGGCAGCGCATGACCATGCGAGTTTAGAACCAAGCACTGCAAGATACTGCACAGTTGCAATTGCCACGCCTGCTGCCATGCACGCTTTTGTCCCAAGGTGGTGATTCCAGAGATTGTGGCCTGTGCGACAGCCAAGCCTCGTGAGCCTATCTTATCCAACCCTTGGCCGTGTCTGATTCTCATCTTTGGACAGCCTGTATGTCCGTCGGCTGATGGCTGGAGAGCATCGCAGCATCGCAAATGTGGAGCAATCTTCGCGCGCAGGGACGACGTCATATGGAGCCGAAACTTGCGGCTTCGCGCTTTCCATGTTCAATGCTGCACGCCAGTCTCCCGGTAAACTGCTCGACCCTCGATTTGGGAAAAACTGCAAAGCACACATCGAGGTCGCGGCTGGGCGAGATCTTTCCGGCTGAGGCGTCGATAGCGGGAGGCCGCCAAAACAAAACAGGAGCCTTTGAGTGATGATCCTACCAGGTCCTAAGATGCGTTCCCACCGCGCAGCCAACTTAGCCAACTTAGCCTCTCTGCGGGAGGGACTGCTGCTGAAATCTGTGAGCCACATGCACCGCCGAACATGGTCTACCAACGCGACCTAGGGCTGTCCGACAGGGTCGACGGGCTACTACAGGGAGTGCAGATGGTCATCACAGCCTGGGGAGTCCTAGTGAAGGTCCTACTTGTAGTGGATTTCGGGACGGACGGCCACCTCGGACTCTTTGGCTTCGGGAGGCTTAAGGCTTAAGGGCTCTGACACCAAGCACATCTTGTACGCAGCTGTTCATCTTCGCTGCATCCCAGACTTACTACCGTGAGACACAAGAGTTCCCAAACTCAGCGCCCCCGGCTTCTTGGACAAAAAACTAAAGCTACTAAGTGAGTCTTGCCCATCATTGCAGGCTATGGCTCTCACGTCCGCGACCACCTCAGAATCCAAATCCGAATATCCTCCGGGAGTCGTCTCAGTGGGTTGGACGGCAGCTGCTTCTCTGTGGCCTTCTCCGGTAGGTCTGCTACCTCGGCAGGGCCCAGAGCTGTTAGAGAGCCACGCTTTAGTGGTTCCATGTGCCCAGAGAAGAAACCCCCCCCCCTCTTCAAAAAGTCGAGTGCTGCCAGGAGCACCCACTTCTTGTAGATGCGATCCACCACGCTTTCGCAGGGTCGAAAGATCTTGGGAACATCTTCCGAACCGCTGAGTCGCACGAGCTTCACTTCCAGCAGGCGGCTGAAGGCTGCCGTCAAGGTCGCATCCGTGTGCGCTGATAAGACACCTGCATGCGTGTTGGATGCACTAAGACCATTCCTATATGTTCTATGTGCTTCTTCTTTTTTCTGACTATTTTCTTGTATTGCTATGAACTTCATAGGAAGGAAAGAGCGGACAAGCGATGGTTCACCGAAGGCACCTTTGTCGGCCACCAGCCGTTTCAGCTCGTAAAGTGTGGTGCTGAGGGATCGGGTCTTCTTTGGCGCTCGATCCCATTGTTGGAAAAGTGCCAGGAGGACCAAGTGCTCGCACTCGACCAAGCCTCCAGAGGCCGACCCACGATGCTACTCATGCAAGACTGGAATAAGGATAATGAGGATTGTGATTTTGCACATTTGCGAGCTTCATTGTCCAACTTCATGCCCCGCCTGACAGCAGCACCTCTTGCCTGTGCTCCTCACTGTCGATCAGTGTGTCCAGGGGGCCGCCGATCCGCGGACATTTCTGAGGGCTTTCAGAGCTCTGACAACTCGAGTCCAAGGCCACCGAATTGCGAAGGAAGCCTGCAACCGGCAAGCATCTCCAAAGAAACCAGCTTGGCTTGCAGCCGCTGAGCACCTGCCTCAGTCCGACATAGTTGCCCTCAAAGATGAGCAACACTCGGGACAATTCAGGGCTTAGCAAGGCTCACGATAAGGTCCATGTGTCGAGGCGCTCAGTCCAATCAGGCAGGCGCGCTTTCAAGGCCAGAGTCACTTTGGCATTGAACTCCTTGACAAAGTCGTCGTCCAGACCCTTGCTGCCTTCCGGTAGATGAAGCTTGCACTCCTCAGCTCGAGCACAACTTAACTCTGCAGAAGGCGCACGGAAAATTTGCAGCATCTTCAGCTTGGGGTGAGAGGAGAGTGTGCTGTCAGAAGCCGAAGCACCAGCATCTCCAGCAGTTCGGCTGGCGTGCGCGGTAAGGTCGCATAGATGCAATGCATCTGGAAGCGGGAATGAATTCGCTTCCTCAGCACCACTAGACTGGGTTCGACTCTCCGTGCGCAGCCACACTCAAGGCACCCAAGACTAGCAGGTCACCAAGAGTCTCAAGCTTCGAGACCACATCGAATTGCGAGGAGATGCCTATGATGCATAAGCGAATACCTCGCAGACATGCGCGGCAGATCTCGACAGGTTACGACAGATTGATCTAGCAGGATGCAAAGGAACACTAGGAACATCCATGAACGCACCTCTGTGCCGACACGGGGCTCATTTCTTGTGCCAGGTTGAAGAGGTTATAGAGCAACGTCTGCCGCGCAAAGGCGCAAAACTTCTCGAACTGATCCAGGATGATCACGACAGCGCTGTCATGATTAAAGCTCACCTGGAACAGTCGGCTCTTCCGCCATCATCGCATCTTACTTCCCTACTTCCCGTTCGGACCCCCTACTTAAACCCCAAATGGTGACCCTAAACCCTAAACCCCAAATTGTGACCCTAAACCCGTCCTTGAGGAGGTTGCGAAACCACTCCATGGATCCTTCGAGGCAGGAAGTGGGTGGCGTTGTGAGGCAGTGCACGGCGACTTGCGAAGCCAAATGCCGCAAACACTCCATGTTGGAGTTGTAGGCGCCCTTGGGCAAACAGAGGCCCATGGGCATGGTTGCATGTTAGTGTTCGGTGGTACAGGTGAGGGAAAGGGTCCCCTAAACCCTAAACCCTAAACCCTAAACCCCAAACCCCAAACCCCGAATGCCTAAATTCCAGAGGGCTTAGGGGAGGACATGCCCTGCCCATGGCCAGTTCACTGCCCAGGTGCGCCCGAAGCCCTCAGCGCAACAACGTTGGAGCGCTCCTGACAGCCACAACAGTTGGTTTAGGGTTTAGGGTTTAGGGTTTAGGGTTTAGGGTTTAGGGTTTAGGGTTTAGGGTTTAGGGTTTAGGGTTTAGGGTTTAGGGTTTAGGGTTTAGGGTGTTCACAAGGGTTTAGGGTTTAGGGTTTAGGGCCAGGTCTGACGATCCTCATTCCCAGAGCATTTGGGGTGCCCCCCCCCCCCCCCCTCCGTCCATCCCCAAGCCCCCTCTCTTGAAGCTGTGCAAGGTGGCTTCCTATGAAAGCCAAGAGGAAATTCAGCCTTTCCTGTTACAATCTAGAGATTATGATATCGCAGGCTTTCCTGTTACAGTCCAAGGAAAGGTCCTTGATCTGTTTGAGCCTGGGTAAATTTGGTTTATCTCCCGCAACCGTTCGGAGTTCGCAGCACGCACCAGCCCCCGGAACGGTCGCAGACAATTGAACCTAAGACATATGTGCACAACTTGTTGATCTTCTGACTTAATTTTGTTCGCTCTTGGCAAGATGCCTTAATCCTTCACACACACACACACACACACACCAAATCCTGCACAGCCTTTACGGCTCTCATTAGTGCAGGCGCGCCATCCCGAAAAATTGGATTTCGTGCCTAGGCCCAAATCCACTCCTCTTTGAGGCGCTGCAGGCACCAGTCCACTGCCTGCGTTTTCCCGGAGCTGCTCTCGCCCAGAAGCAGCAAAGACTTGCTTTCCTGGGCTTTAGGGTTTCGGGTTTGGGGCTGAGCTAGGCACCACGACCCGAGGGCTTCGGGTTTAGGGCAAAATGTGCTGCACAGACCTTTCGCCGCATACATGGCAGCACCTTCTTAGTGCCCCAAAACCTTTGTCACCTAACCCTAGCCTAACAATCCTATACGGGAAGTTTGAGAGCAATAACCTACAAAAAGAGTGAATCCGGGGTCCTTAAGGTACCGTGCCCCCAAATGCAAAGCACAGTCGCCGCGTTGGCGCTTCCTGTGCCACCCAATCCGAGAACCTGCTTCATGACCTGAAGCACCTGAAGGGGTGAGCGCCCAAGTCCTGCAAGCCATAGATACCTAGTCGACAAGGGCTGCTTCGTGCCTATTGGGCTTGGTGGGGTTTAGCTTCAATCCTCAACACCCTCAAAAAGAAGCTCCGTGAGGAGACAGTGAGCTACCTCATCCAGCCTCCTCGCAAATCTGCATGCGCTCATTGAACAGTGAAGGGTTTGCCCACCGAGCACCTCAGGACCGTAAGCGACGACCCTCGGCAGACTCCTACTCCTCATGCAGCAACCTCTCAAGCCTCTTGAATCCTCCCCCTTTAAAACCCGGACAGAAGCTGCCATTATCACCACTGCCAAAGCGCTCAACAGGCGCTCTGCCTGATCCATCTTCGTTGCATTCCGGAGCAACCTCTGGAGGGTTTTTGACTAGGTGTAGGGCACATCTAGGTCGTACACAAGGCCAGGGACATGCATTAACATTGCATCAAATATGAAACTTCTTACTTCTTCTGAATTTCACAATTCCACAACATAACAGGTTGTGTTGCGGGTTGAATGCCACAACCTCTCGGAAAGAAAGCAGCACTTGACTTGACAACGATCACATTCGGTCGTGGGGGTCTGCAGCAGAGCAAATAAACAACAAACCCTCAACCCTCAACCCTAAACCCTACACCCTGAACCCTAAACCCTGAACCCTAAACCCTAAACCCTAAACCCTGAACCCTAAACCCTAAACCCTGCTGTTTTCTCCGGGGGGCCATGAATGCATGAGTCGATCAGCCCGCGCTGCATCGCTCGGCTCCTTCTCTGCGCTGGCTGGCTCCTCAGACCTGGGTTGAAAGGGTTTAGGGTTACAGGGTTTAGGGTTTAGGGTTTAGGGTTTGGGGTTTAGGGTTTAGGGTTTGGGGTTGAAAGGGTTTAGGGTTACAGGGTTTAGGGTTTAGGGTTTAGGGTTACAGGGTTTAGGGTTTAGGGTTTGGGGTTGAAAGGGTTTAGGGTTACAGGGTTTAGGGTTTAGGGTTTAGGGTTACAGGGTTTAGGGTTTAGGGTTTAGGGTTTAGGGTTTAGGGTTCTTGGTTTAGGGTTTAGTGTTTAGTGTTTAGGGTTCAGGGTTTAGGGTTTAGGGTTAGGGAACTTTTAGGGTAAATGGAAAGCCATGTAGAATAGCAGGGCTAGGAAAGGCTTTGGGATTTCTGAAAATCTGGGCTATCGGACGCCAACTTGCGATGATGACTGTAAACCCCAATCCCCAATCCCCAAACCCTAAACCCTAAACCCTAAACAACAACCCTAAACCCTAAACCCTAAACCCTAAACCCTATTTAAACCCCAAACCCTAAACCCTGAACCCTAAACCATGTCCATTGCACCGCAGAATCTAAGGGCGGCACTTTCTTTTTGACCGCGGGGGCGTGGCGAAGGGCTGCATCTCCAAAATCCCTCTGAGAGCCGAAAAGCAGCTGGGTCTAGGGGTTAGGGTTGAGGGTTTAGGGTTAGGGTGCAGGGTTTAGTGTTTAGGGTCTAGGGTCTAGGGTTTCGGGGTAGGGCTTAGGGTTTAGGGTTTAGGGCTTAGGGTCACACTAAACTTTAGTGTTTAGCCAATAGGCGTATGTGACCTAGGATACCATCCTTTAGCACCCATAACGATGCTGTCATTTGCTTGATTTGCTGCATCTCTCTTCTCTATTTACGGAGGGTACATCACAAAAGGACTTGGTGACGGTGCACGGCAACTGTGTTTGCAAGTCGTTGCGTGCTCACATTAAACGGGACCTCTCCAAACACATTATAGCCTAGCACATTCACCCAGAAAGGATTGTTTGCCGGGGACCTCGCGCATGTGCACAATCCAGGCAAGGTGAGACATCCAGAAAAAAAGCGCCCTCAGAACAGTGATGAAACGTCATTGATCATTCCTGGCGCAGTGGCAAAAGGGGGGGGAGGGGGGGGGGGGTGACTCTAAAGTACGAGCCTCATCGGGAATGAATGCGCTCTACTGCACAGGATACACAGACAAGAAAGTATCAGTACTGCCCACATTCAGGATGCCGCAGCTTAGCTGACCAGTGTTCCTACCCTTTTTGTTCGACCCCACCTCCTGAACCGCTGGAAGCGCCTTGCCCGAACAGACTGGAGGCATCAGCTCCTGACGCCACCAAGCGTGAAAGGGGGACCACTGATATGCTGAGGACTGTGACAGGAGGACATGAAGCACCATACAGCTCCGTTCTGAAAGTTCAAGCGCGACACATCACCAACTGCACACATTCAGCTTTGAACGCTGGCCTGGAGCACTGGCGACCTGCCCGAAGAGCGAAGACGTGTCGGCCACTCCTGTAGCATGTACTGCGGTACTGTTACCAGAACGGGCTTTCAATGTCAAGCTACCATTGTCCCAGAGACCCCGAAGTTTCATCATGCCAGCAGCGCCCCTACTTTGGAAAATGGGCGTCTCGGCACGGTAAGACTTTGTGTTTCATTCTTGATATGCTGGGTGCACTTCTGCTGTGCCGCGCTGGCCATCCGCTTCACACCCTTGGACCATGTTGGACACGGGCCTAACCCTGACATTCCAGCATATGGTTTGGAAGCCGGTATGCTGCATGCTCGCGAAAGCACGTGACTCTCGCATGTCTTCGAGGAGCTCTTTTGACTTGGGTTGCACAAGGCACTCAATTAACCGGTATCCCTCGACACTCTCACGAACAACCCCCTCAACTCCAAAACTCAATTAAAACCTGAGGCCACATTAGGCCACGAAATAACATGTTGTAACAAGCATGCGCTTCTGACAAGTCGGTTTGGTCACGCTTGGCTTTGATGCCGCACAGCATGAGACCTCTCCTGGCGCACTAACAGCCCCGAACAGAGACGAAGCATCGTTGGGCTCTCCTGCGTCAGGCCATGAAACACAATACCGCTCCGTTCTGAGGATTCAGCGAGCCACATCGCCAACTATGCTTGGACGCTCTCCTGGAGCACTGGCGACCTGCCCGAAGAGCGAAGAGGTGTCGGCCACTCCTGCAACATGTCACTGGGCGGAAACACTGGGTAAGGAGGCTCACCAAAATGGGATTCCGATACCATGAGGTTGCCTGCAACACTGGCGACAGCTTCCGCCAACAAAGCAGTTGTCTGTTCGTACGTTGTGTCCTGAAGCGCCTCCCCCAAACAGACTATCAACGGCGCTTGTTGCTCCTGCAGCATGCCACTGCCATACAAGGGAGTTCCCTCCTTTAGCTGCTGTCCATTTCAACCGATGCTCCTTGAGCGTTGGCAGCGCCCTCCCCAAAGACAGACGCTTCGCCACTAGGTCCTCGTCATGTCATGCGGCGAGACTACAGCTTCACTTAGCGGCAGCCACCTAGACCGAAGTCTTGTTGCATTGCATGATATTGCATGTGTCAGTGACACCTACTGAGCAAAGAGAACGAGCTTTGATGCCGCAAGGCATGAGACCCCCTCCTGGCGCACTAGCAGCCCCGAACAGAGACGAAGCATCGTTGGGCTCTCCTGCATCAGGTCATGAATGTGCGGGTTGCAGCAGAAACCGCGTAGGGGATGCTCAATTTACTTCTGTGTGTGAACAGATCGTACATCGCCTCGCCTTCAGAAAAGGACCCAAAAATCTGGACTATGTTGTACTAAGTGAGATTGAGTGATAATAAGTAGTAATACCAATAATAAGCAATATCAAGCAAACCGATCCTATATGGCGCGGGAGCCCCCAATAGACCACTTGGGGCCCCCAACCAAAAAGGCTCCCCCTGATACTTAATAATACCTTTCATGTTGCTTCATATGGGCTCATATTTCTAAAACGTATCCCCCCAAAAAAACGAACCCAAGTTGAAAGATAGAAACATTCGGCAAACACTACCAGCCGAGACTTCCCCAAACGTGTTTCGTGTGTCTAGATTGGAACGGACTTTTGGGGAACCAAACACACTGCAACTTCAAAAAAGCAAAACCCCTACAGGAGGGCTTCTGTTACAGTCCCCCCGGGCCTGCCAGCTCGCCCCAGCTGCATAGGGACCCAGTTTCCGTTGCGGTTTGAGGCATTTTGCTTCAGGTACAGCCGCCTGTTACTGGCCCCAGCTTTCTGCTGGGAGTTGTAGGTCTGGCTCAATGACAAGCAAACAGCTTCTGAGACACTCTCCTGGAGCACTGGTTACCTGCCCGAAGAGCGAGGATGCGTCCGCTGCGCCTGGGGGAACATGCTAGTGGCTAGTGTTGCGCCACTGCTACCCCGAAAAGACTTTCAAGGTCCTTCTGACATGCCACTTGCCTGGAGGGCCAGCAGAGCTTTGCGAAAACACGGCAGGTGCTTCGTCACCCGGCGCGCCTGGATGGCGTGTCACAGTACAAAGAAGGATTTGACTTTGTGCTGTGTGATGCTGCGTGACGCTCGCCTGGTCCGCTCTCCCCGAAGAGGGAATCTACGCCATTCGCCGTTGCTCCTGCAGCATGTCATGAACATGCAAGCTTTCCCTGCTTTGGCCAAAACTGTCAGTTTGGTCGGTGACAATCGATGAGCAAAGAGACCCTCTCCTGGAGCACTAGCAGCCCCGAACAGAGACGATGCATCGTTGGCCTCTCCTGCATCAGGTCAGGAAGCAAAATATGGCTCAGCTACAAGCATCCACTAACGTCCAGCTGCTGAGACACTCTCCTGGAGCACTGGTTACCTGCCCGAAGAGCGAGGATGCGTCCGCTGCGCCTGGAACCACGCTAGCGACTAGTGCTACGCCACTGCACACACAGAAAGACTTTCAAGGCCATTCTGAGATGCCACTTGCCTGGAGGGCCAGCAGAGCTTTCCGCGAACACGGCAGGCGTTTCGTCAGCCGGCCCTCCTGAATGGTGTGTCACAGTACAAAGAAGGAGGGTCGAGCTTTGCCTTTGTCCAGGGTGATGCTGTGTGACACTGGCCTGGACCGCTCTCCCCGAAGAGGGAATCAACCCCATTCGTCGCCGCTCCTGCAGCATGTCATGAACATGCAAGGGAGCTCTTGAAGGCTGTCGTGCTGTTTAACGCTCCTTGAGCAATGGCCGCGCCCTCCCCGAACAAGGATGCTTCGCCACTGGGTCCTTGTCATGTCATGCGGCGAGACCGCACCTCCTACTGGTTGCGACCTACACCAAAGTCTCGACGATGTCTTCCACACTGTTGGGATTGGTCAAACTGTCACTGTGGTCGGTGATAATCGATGAGCAAAGAGACCCTCTCCTGGAGCACTTGTAGCCCCGAACAGAGACGATGCATCGTTCGCCTCTCCTGCATCAGATCATGAAGCACGATATTGGCTCAACTATGCACAACTACTAACATCCGGCTTCTACCACACTCTCCTGGAGCACTGTGCCCGAAGAGCGAGGATGCGTCCGCTGCGCCTGGGGCGTGTCCCGACGTGGCTCGAACATGCTGGCGACTAGTGTTGTGCCACTGCTACCCAGAAAAAAACTTTCAAGGCCATTCCGAGATGCCACTTGCCTGGAGGGCCAGCAGAGCTTTCCGCGAACACGGCAGGTGCTTCGTCCGCAGGAGCTCCTGAATGGAGCGTCACAGTACAAAGGAGGGTCGAGCTTTGACCTTGTGCTGTGTGATGCTGTGTGACACTCGCCTGGACCGCTCTCTCCGAAAAGGGAATCAACCCCATTCGTCGCCGCTCCTGCTGCATGACATGAACATGCAAGGGAGCTCTTGAAGGCTGCCGCGCTGCTTAACACTCCTTGAGCGTTGGCGGCGCTCTCCCCGAACAAGGATGCTTCGCCGCTGGGTCCTTGTCATGTCATGCGCCGAGACCACAGCTCATGCTGGCGGCGAACCAGACCAAAGTCTCGCATGATATCTTACACACTGTTGGGATTTGGCCAAAACTGTCACAATGGTCGGTGACAATCGATGAGCAAAGAGAACGACATGCGACCCTTTCTCCTGGAGCACCAGCAGCCCCGAACAAAGACGATGCATCGTTGGCCTCTCCTGCATCAGGTCATGAAGCAAAATATGGCGAAGCTACAAGCATCCACTAACATCCAGCTACTGAGACACTCTCCTGGAGCACTGGTTACCTGCCCGAAGAGCGAGGATGCGTCCGCTGCGCCTGGGGCGTGTCACACTATGTGGCTCGAACATGCTAGTGACTAGTGCTGCTCCACTGCTACCCAGAGAAGACTTTCAAGGTCATGCTGAGATGCCACTTGCCTGGAGGACCAGCAGAGCTTTCCGCGAACATGGCAGGTGCTTCGTCAGCCGGCGCCCCTAAATGGTGTGTCACAGTACAGGGAAGCAGGGTCGAGCTTTGACTTTGTGTGACACTCGCCTGGACCGCTCTCCCCAAAGAGAGAATCTACGCCATTCGCCGTCGCTCCTGCAGCATGTCATGAACGTGCAAGGGAGCTCTTGAAGGCTGTCGTTCTGTTTAACACTCCTTGAGGGTTGGCCGCGCCCTCCCCGGACAAGGATGCTTCGCCGCTGGGTCCTCGTCATGTCATGTGCCAAAACCACTGGTGGCGACATACTGGCGACGTCTCCATGATATCTTACACTCTGTTGGGAGTTCCCTGCTTTGGCCAAAACTGTCACAATGGTCGGTGACAATCGATGAGCAAAGAGACCCTCTCCTGGAGCACTTGTAGCCCCGAACAGAGACGATGCATCGTTCGCCTCTCCTGCATCAGATCATGAAGCACAATATTGGCTCAACTATGCACAACTACTAACATCCGGCTTCTACCACACTCTCCTGGAGCACTGTGCCCGAAGAGCGAGGATGCGTCCGCTGCGCCTGGGGCGTGTCCCGACGTGGCTCGAACATGCTGGCGACTAGTGTTGTGCCACTGCTACCCAGAAAAAAACTTTCAAGGCCATTCCGAGATGCCACTTGGAGGGCCAGCAGAGCTTTCCGCGAACACGGCAGGTGCTTCGTCCGCAGGAGCTCCTGAATGGAGCGTCACAGTACAAAGGAGGGTCGAGCTTTGACCTTGTGCTGTGTGATGCTGTGTGACACTCGCCTGGACCGCTCTCTCCGAAAAGGGAATCAACCCCATTCGTCGCCGCTCCTGCTGCATGACATGAACATGCAAGGGAGCTCTTGAAGGCTGCCGCGCTGCTTAACACTCCTTGAGCGTTGGCAGCGCTCTCCCCGAACAAGGATGCTTCGCCGCTGGGTCCTTGTCATGTCATGCGCCGAGACCACAGCTCATGCTGGCGGCGAACCAGACCAAAGTCTCGCATGATATCTTACACACTGTTGGGATTTGGCCAAAACTGTCACAATGGTCGGTGACAATCGATGAGCAAAGAGAACGACATGCGACCCTTTCTCCTGGAGCACCAGCAGCCCCGAACAAAGACGATGCATCGTTGGCCTCTCCTGCATCAGGTCATGAAGCAAAATATGGCGAAGCTACAAGCATCCACTAACATCCAGCTACTGAGACACTCTCCTGGAGCACTGGTTACCTGCCCGAAGAGCGAGGATGCGTCCGCTGCGCCTGGGGCGTGTCACACTATGTGGCTCGAACATGCTAGTGACTAGTGCTGCTCCACTGCTACCCAGAGAAGACTTTCAAGGTCATGCTGAGATGCCACTTGCCTGGAGGACCAGCAGAGCTTTCCGCGAACATGGCAGGTGCTTCGTCAGCCGGCGCCCCTAAATGGTGTGTCACAGTACAGGGAAGCAGGGTCGAGCTTTGACTTTGTGTGACACTCGCCTGGACCGCTCTCCCCAAAGAGAGAATCTACGCCATTCGCCGTCGCTCCTGCAGCATGTCATGAACGTGCAAGGGAGCTCTTGAAGGCTGTCGTTCTGTTTAACACTCCTTGAGGGTTGGCCGCGCCCTCCCCGGACAAGGATGCTTCGCCGCTGGGTCCTCGTCATGTCATGTGCCAAAACCACTGGTGGCGACATACTGGCGACGTCTCCATGATATCTTACACTCTGTTGGGAGTTCCCTGCTTTGGCCAAAACTGTCACAATGGTCGGTGACAATCGATGAGCAAAGAGACCCTCTCCTGGAGCACTTGTAGCCCCGAACAGAGACGATGCATCGTTCGCCTCTCCTGCATCAGATCATGAAGCACAATATTGGCTCAACTATGCACAACTACTAACATCCGGCTTCTACCACACTCTCCTGGAGCACTGTGCCCGAAGAGCGAGGATGCGTCCGCTGCGCCTGGGGCGTGTCCCGACGTGGCTCGAACATGCTGGCGACTAGTGTTGTGCCACTGCTACCCAGAAAAAAACTTTCAAGGCCATTCCGAGATGCCACTTGGAGGGCCAGCAGAGCTTTCCGCGAACACGGCAGGTGCTTCGTCCGCAGGAGCTCCTGAATGGAGCGTCACAGTACAAAGGAGGGTCGAGCTTTGACCTTGTGCTGTGTGATGCTGTGTGACACTCGCCTGGACCGCTCTCTCCGAAAAGGGAATCAACCCCATTCGTCGCCGCTCCTGCTGCATGACATGAACATGCAAGGGAGCTCTTGAAGGCTGCCGCGCTGCTTAACACTCCTTGAGCGTTGGCAGCGCTCTCCCCGAACAAGGATGCTTCGCCGCTGGGTCCTTGTCATGTCATGCGCCGAGACCACAGCTCATGCTGGCGGCGAACCAGACCAAAGTCTCGCATGATATCTTACACACTGTTGGGAGTTCCCTGAACACAACTTCCGTTTACGAACGTCCAGCTCTTGGACGGTCTCCTGGAGCACTTGCAGCCTGACCGAAAAGCGAGGATGTGTCCACTGCGCCTGGGGCGTGTCACTACGTGGCTGGCACATGCTTCCAGCACTGCGGCAACGCTATCAGAATGGATGCTCAACGTACTGCTGTTAGATGCCACTTGCCTGGAGGCCCAGCAGCGCTTGCTGCGAACACAGTGGATGCTTTGTCAGACGTTGCTCCTGGAGCATGTCACAAAGGAGTTCACCGGAAGGAGGGTCGAACTTTGACTTGATGCTGTATGATGCCATGTGATGATGTGTGATGCTCTACTCTCCTGGACCTTTTTCCCCGAACAGAGAGTCAACGCCATTTGCCGCTGCTCCTGCGGCATGTTTTGACGGCGGTTGTCGTGCTGTTTTAATACCCGATACTCCTTGAGCTTTGGCAGCGCTACTTGCATAGCAACATGAACGAGCGTTGATACCGCGTGACATGCGACCCTCTCCTGGAGCACTAGCAGCCCCGAACAGAGACGAAGCATCGTTGCGCTCTCCTGCGTCAGGTCATGATGCACAACAAAACAAAACCTCTGTTCTGTGCTCACAGCGACCCACCACATCACCAACTACAAGCATCCAGCATCATCCAGCTTCTCGACACTCTCCTGGAGCACTGGCGGCTTGCCCGAAAAGCGAGGATGTGTCCACTGCGCCTGGGGCGTGTCACTACGTGGCTGGCACATGCTTCCAGCACCAGGGCAAGGCTATCAGAATGGATGCTCAACGTACTGCTGTTAGATGCCACTTGCCTGGAGGCCCAGCAGCGCTTGCTGCGAACACAGCGGATGCTTTGTCAGACGTTGCTCCTGGAGCATGTCACAAAGGAGTTCACCGGAAGGAGGGTCGAACTTTGACTTGATGCTGTATGATGCCATGTGATGCTGTGTGATGCTCTACTCTCCTGGACCTTTTTCCCCGAACAGAGAGTCAACGCCATTTGCCGCTGCTCCTGCGGCATGTTTTGACGGCGGTTGTCGTGCTGCTTTTATCCCCGATACTCCTTGAGCTTTGGCAGCGCTACTTGCATAGCAACATGAACGAGCGTTGATACCGCGTGACATGCGACCCTCTCCTGGAGCACTAGTAGCCCCGAACAGAGACGAAGCATCGTTGCGCTCTCCTGCGTCAGGTCATGAAGCACAACAAAACGAAACCTCTGTTCTGTGCTAACAGCGACCCACCACATCACCAACTACAAGCATCCAGCATCATCCAGCTTCTCGACACTCTCCTGGAGCACTGGCGGCTTGCCCGAAAAGCGAGGATGTGTCCACTGCGCCTGGGGCGTGTCACTACGTGGCTGGCACATGCTTCCAGCACCAGGGCAAGGCTATCAGAATGGATGCTCAACGTACTGCTGTTAGATGCCACTTGCCTGGAGGCCCAGCAGCGCTTGCTGCGAACACAGCGGATGCTTTGTCAGACGTTGCTCCTGGAGCATGTCACAAAGGAGTTCACCGGAAGGAGGGTCGAACTTTGACCTGGTGCTGTGTGATGCCATGTGATGCTGCTTGATGCTGTGTGATGCTCGTGATGCTGTATGATGCTGCTGCGATGCTGTGTGCTGCTCTACTCTCCTGGACCTTTTTCCCCGAACAGAGAGTCAACGCCATTTGCCGCTGCTCCTGCGGGATGTTTTGATGGCAATACTGTCGACGGCGGTTGTCGTGCTGTTTTAATACCCGATACTCCTTGAGCTTTGGCAGCGCTACTTGCATAGCAACATGAACGAGCGTTGATACCGCGTGACATGCGACCCTCTCCTGGAGCACTAGCAGCCCCGAACAGAGACGCAGCATCGTTGCGCTCTCCTGCGTCAGGTCATGAAGCACAACAAAACGAAACCTCTGTTCTGTGCTAACAGCGACCCACCACATCACCAACTACAAGCATCCAGCATCATCCAGCTTCTCGACACTCTCCTGGAGCACTGGCGGCTTGCCCGAAAAGCGAGGATGTGTCCACTGCGCCTGGGGCGTGTCACTACGTGGCTGGCACATGCTTCCAGCACCAGGGCAAGGCTATCAGAATGGATGCTCAACGTACTGCTGTTAGATGCCACTTGCCTGGAGGCCCAGCAGCGCTTGCTGCGAACACAGCGGATGCTTTGTCAGACGTTGCTCCTGGAGCGTGTTACAAAATGACGAAGGAGTTCGACGGAAGGAGGGTCGAACTTGACTTGGTGTTGTGTGATGCTGTGTGATGCTCTACCGGACCGCTTTCCCAGAACAGAGAGGAAACGCCACGTGCCATTGCTCCGAAAAAATGTCACGAACATGCAAGGAAGCTCCCCGCTCGCCACGAGGCAAACTGTCACCAAAAAGCGCATTTTCAGACTTGTCCCATGCGAACCGCTCGAGGCCTGTGCGGTTGCTGAGCCTCACTTGGGTGATGAGGGTGTCCCTTCTGAATCTTACGCTTCTTAGCTCACAGATCTACTTAACTCAGGGGATGCCCCGTGCTTGCTACGCAGCGATGCCGCATGTCCATCTGCTCTTTTGTCCGAAGGTATCAGCTTCACCAGACTGAGATCTTCTGGACCGTCCTAAGCACGACATTAGTGTCCCTTTGCTAAAGGGCATTGCTCATGGCTTTGGAGGCATACTTCTTGCCGGTTTATGGCCAGGACAGAGCGCTGGCGGCAAAACGACCGCCCCCCGATTTGCAAGAGAACGAGAGCCGATCATGAGACCCTCTCCTTGAGCGAAGAGTGAAGATGCATCGGGCGCTCCTGCACAAGATGCTCTGAGTCCGCCTAAGGGCCTAAGGGGTGGCTGCTTGGTGTGGCCAGTGCTGCAGCACCTCGGGAGGATGCTCCAAGACCGTGCTTACAGGTGTCCCTCTCCCCCCTCGGCTCTGTCAGCCTGATGCGGGCCGAGCTGGGCGCACGGGGGCTTCTGCTGAAGCCCTCTCCACCAAAGCTCGCGTTTTGGCCTGTGAAGATCATTACGGGGGGGGGGGGGGCATGGGCTGTGATCGCTACAGCCATCTAGGGTTCACAGGGCGTAAGTCGGGCTTCGGTTTCTCTGGAAGGTTAGGGTTGAGGGCTTTGGGCCAAACACAAGGGACCACCCGAAAGGCACTGGACGAACCTTGTAAGCCCCAAAACCTCCGAAAAGAACCTCGCCGAAGGAAGCCGACTTCGACGAAGGGTTTAGGGTTTAGGGTTTAGGGTTTAGGGTTTGGGGTTTGGGGTTTGGGGTTTGGGGTTTGGGGTTTGGGGTTTGGGGTTTGGGGTTTGGGGTTTGGGGTTTGGGGTTTGGGGTTTGGGGTTTGGGGTTTGGGGTTTGGGGTTATGAAGCTTCCCCCCCCCCCCCCCCGGGAGGTGACGAACCCTGACCCCGAGCAAGCCTCGGAGGGGGGAAGCTTCGACGAAGGGGCGAGGGTTCGACGACACAAGAGGGTCTCACGTTAGACCCTGACTACGAAACCCGCTGAGTCATCCAAATCCGACAACCTCAACACCGTCACCCCTCCACAACCGAAAGGCGCCCCAAACCTTCGAAAAAACCCCAAGCCCGCAAAGCAACCCCTGAACCACCCCTAAACTCCTCAGCCCCAAAAAACACCAAAAAGCCTCATCTGCCCTCACAAAGTAGCGGTTGGCTTAGCGGTTCTCGGCGTCATCCCGCAGATTTTGCGCCGCCCTCCGAAGTAATTAGTGACCCTAAACCTCTTTGCCAAGGGGATGCCAAGGGGCTAGTATCCCGGAGACGCGGCTCTGCCGCTCGCCCCGTGCTGCTTCCAGAGCTTTCTGGAGGCCGGCTAGGCGCTCGTCTTTGGCCTCACGGGTGGCGGCTGGGATTCTCTTCTGGTTTTCCAGGGGGAGGGTTTGGGATTTAGGGTTTAGGGTTCGGGTTTAGGCAGCAAATGAACCTCCTACCCTACATCCGAATACTTCTGCACCCCGATTCTTGCACCCTAAACCCTAAACCCTATGCCCACACCGCTGAAAAGCTGTCAACTTCAGACCAGTCTCTCGCAGTCTCCGCCTTACGCCAGATGCTTCCAAAACATCAAGCCCAAAACTTCCAAAAAGCCCTGTACAAGGCCGGACTTCCTAACCCCTAAACTTGCCTAAACTTCCGAAATCTTCCGAAACCCTAAACCCCAAACCCTAAACCCTAAGCCCTACATCCTAACCTTCCAGCGGCCCGACCTGGCCTCCGCTGAAAGCTTGGCGGTCTGCAGCTCAGCTTCCAGAGCACGCCGTCTCCCCTGCAGGCACGCTGGGGGGGAGATGTGCAGCAGGGCAACATGTAGGCGATTTATACACTCGGTTGAATGAAGTCAGCTTGCCAATTTGTTGCAGCTTTGTCATGGCATTTACATTTTTCAATCAGCATTTTGAGCAGCTCATATTACCATTGCCATTGCTCGGGTAATACTGGTATAGGCTCCTGCATATGTGTATAACTGAACTGCTGAGCGGCATTGAGGGGGTTCTCAGCCGGGACATTTGATCCACCATGTCTTCTGGATCCGATTTTTGATGGGTTGGGGCTGCCACAGTCCAATCAGGCATTACAAGGTTTAAGGTCGGGGGTGTCGAGGTTGTGAGACACCCTGAGCCTCGGCGGTCATCAGTGAAGCTTCCGTGGCAGCAAGGCGCTCCTGGTGTCAAAAACAAGAGGTTTCGGGCTTAGGGGCTGCGAGGGTTTCAGGGGTTTCAGATAAAGTACTAGGCTGAGATACAGCGAGAGTAGAAGCCCTTCCTGCTCCTCAAAGAAATGAAGGGGTGTGTGATCTTTAAACCCAGAACCCATGCATAATCATTCAATACGATACAAGAATTGCTGTAAGATTCCGATGCAAGCAGAAACCTCCCCAGGCCAATCCTAAACCCCCCAAAACCCGAACTCCCCCCTTGCCTTGTAATTCGAAAGCCCGGAAAGCACACGTGGCTGCGGCCAAGGGGCTGTCCGCTCTGCCAGCTGCTGCTTTGCATGCTGCAGCTCCTGCTGTACGATTCGATGCAGGACGGGGTTGAAATTTCGGGCCGTCTAAGGGGGTTTGGGATTTAAGGTCGCGGGGGCTTTAAGGGCAATCAAGGGCATAAGGGGGGGCTCTATCCGGGCCTCCTGTGCAACCTCAGCACTTTGTGGCTTTGACTCACAGGCTCGAAGCTTCTCCTGGCGCATGCGGTCTCGATGGCCATGGACCATGGTACATCGCTCCAACATCGCGCATAAACACGGAGTACTGCATTTGCGAGTCTGCCGGCTTGCAGCTTTTCAAAAGCAGGGTGTGGCTACTACTATATCAGCCACACACACAGAGTCACACATTCACCGCCCAACTATCTTAGCCTTTGACGAATGCGGAAACCCACCTCTGCTTCCTTCAGCGAAGCCTCCGTGGCCGCGAGGCGTTCCTGGCAGCACCCAGCTGAATGCATCCTCATGATCTGACCCTTCTCACCTTTCATATTTTGCTTTACTCTCAGCAAGCCATACGACTTCAGCATATTTCAGGTCCACACCGAAAGTTGGAAGCCTGCGAAAATGAACGATGGGACTACGGACTACGACTCAAGCCATCTGCGTCTTAGTGGCTGCGCGCTCCGCCAGCTCGCGCTTGGCATTCTGGAGCTCCTGTCGTCTTTCAGTTCTATTGACGACGTGTAGATTGCGTACATGGCCCTCACTACACGCTTCAAGATGACCCCGGAAACGAGAGTTCAATCATGGTCAACCTCTTGCATGGCTGAACTTTGGCCCCGCCTCTGTGGCAAACCCAGTGTTCGGCTCTGAGGATGTGGCTCGAAGCCTTTCCTCACAAGCAATCGCTGGACAATGCAGGAAACTGTCATCAGCATCTTGCCGTTTAAGAGCGCTGGGTCTAGCTAGTTGGTGAGACATGCAGCGCAGAGGGCGATCTGTACTCTGGCTTGCAACCGCACATTGAGTCAGAGAGAGAGACAGAGACAGAGACAGAGAGAGAGAGAGAGAGACAGAGAGAGAGAGAGAGTGGGAGGGACGGAATGAGGGAGGGAGGGAAGGGGGGGAGACAAATCCGGAACAGCCTCGTGCACTCAAGTCGGGCACAGCGAGTTCTCCACCCACACAGGAGCCTTCCTACCATGGACAAACTATGCCGACACCTGCCTCTGCTTCCTTCAGCGAAGCCTCCGTGGCCGCGAGGCGTTCCTGGCAGCACCCAGCTGAATGCATCCTCATGATCTGACCCTTCTCACCTTTCATATTCTTGCTTTACTCTCAGCAAGCCATACGACTTCAGCATATTTCAGGTCCACACCGAAAGTTGGAAGCCTGCGAAAATGAAGGATGGGACTACGGACTACGACTCAAGCCATCTGCGTCTTAGTGGCTGTGCGCTCCGCCAGCTCGCGCTTGGCATTTTGGAGCTCCTGTCGTCTTTCAGTTCTATTGACGACGTGTAGATTGCGTACATGGCCCTCACTACACGCTTCAAGATGACCCCGGAAACGAGAGTTCAATCATGGTCAACCTCTTGCATGGCTGAACTTTGGCCCCGCCTCTGTGGCAAACCCAGTGTTCGGCTCTGAGGATGTGGCTCGAAGCCTTTCCTCACAAGCAATCGCTGGACAATGCAGGAAACTGTCATCAGCATCTTGCCGTTTATGAGACATGCAGCGCAGAGGGCGATCTGTACTCTGGCTTGCAACCGCACATTGAGTCAGAGAGAGAGACAGAGACAGAGACAGAGACAGAGACAGAGAGAGAGAGAGAGACAGAGAGAGAGAGAGAGAGTGGGAGGGACGGAATGAGGGAGGGAGGGAAGGGGGGGAGACAAATCCAGAACAGCCTCGTGCACTCAAGTCGGGCACAGCGAGTTCTCCACCCACACAGGAGCCTTCCTACCATGGACAAACTATGCCGACACCTGCCTCTGCTTCCTTCAGCGAAGCCTCCGTGGCCGCGAGGCGTTCCTGGCAGCACCCAGCTGAATGCATCCTCATGATCTGACCCTTCTCACCTTTCATATTCTTGCTTTACTCTCAGCAAGCCATACGACTTCAGCATATTTCAGGTCCACACCGAAAGTTGGAAGCCTGCGACAATGAAGGATGGGACTACGGACTACGACTCAAGCCATCTGCGTCTTAGTGGCTGTGCGCTCCGCCAGCTCGCGCTTGGCATTCTGGAGCTCCTGTCGTCTTTCAGTTCTATTGACGACGTGTAGATTGCGTACATGGCCCTCACTACACGCTTCAAGATGACCCCGGAAACGAGAGTTCAATCATGGTCAACCTCTTGCATGGCTGAACTTTGGCCCCGCCTCTGTGGCAAACCCAGTGTTCGGCTCTGAGGATGTGGCTCGAAGCCTTTCCTCACAAGCAATCGCTGGACAATGCAGGAAACTGTCATCAGCATCTTGCCGTTTATGAGACATGCAGCGCAGAGGGCGATCTGTACTCTGGCTTGCAACCGCACATTGAGTCAGAGAGAGAGACAGAGACAGAGACAGAGACAGAGACAGAGAGAGAGTGGGAGGGACGGAATGAGGGAGGGAGGGAAGGGGGGGAGACAAATCCGGAACAGCCTCGTGCACTCAAGTCGGGCACAGCGAGTTCTCCACCCACACAGGAGCCTTCCTACCATGGACAAACTATGCCGACACCTGCCTCTGCTTCCTTCAGCGAAGCCTCCGTGGCCGCGAGGCGTTCCTGGCAGCACCCAGCTGAATGCATCCTCATGATCGTGGTCATGATGGCGATGATAGGTGGAAGATAGGAAGAGGAAGAGTATGAGGATAAGGATGATGGCTGAGGATGAGCACTACGAGGATCAAGACAGGGATGATCAATCATCACCATCATCGTCACCATGCCTCTCACGTAAGTATATCCTAAATACAGATACCCATGATGTTGTCATTTCGACTGACTAGCGTGCCATCTGCATCCCAGTGGCTGTGCGCTCCGCCAGCTCTCGCTTGGCATTCTGGAGCTCCTGTCAATTTTAGCGGTTCTGCTACACTCATTCACTGTATCATCGTGAACATGGGGTGGCCCATGCGTGATGGTCCAACCTCTGTGGCAAATCCGGAACTGTTCGGCTCGATTTGAGTGGCTCGAAGCCTTTCCTGACACACGATTACTGGAAACAGCCAGCAGCTTCACACGTGAAGGTGGGATCCAGGAGTGCAAATCATATCTGCCACACTTCCTTGCCATGCCAGACACACACCCTGTGCTGTTGACAGAAGCTGACAGCCGCCTCTGCTGCCTTCAGCGAAGCCTCTGTGGCAGCGAGGCATTCCTGACATCACATGACATCACTGTACACTGCAGAAGCCACAGCATCACCGTGAAGGCTGTTGTTTACTTTCCGCGTCTGAAGACAAGGTGGCCGACTAAGCATCTAACTCTCGCATGATGGGTTTGGAGGGGCTTGGGAAGCTTCTGGCAGACCTCTTGGGGCAGGTCTACTTTACGAGCTCAATGCTTGGAATATTCGAGTTTCACTGCGAGCCTGCACTTGGAACGCAAGCTGCAACCAAGCGGCCGTCCGCTCCGCCAGCTCGCGCTTAGTAGTCTGGAGCTCCTGTTTCCAGTGTCTTCAGGCTGCAGATTTCCGGCTACACAGCTGAAGGCTTTAAAACGGAGGAGCCATGGAGCCGTCGCAACCACAGGAGACTGTGGGCCTGGCCTCTGCGGCAACCCGGGCAGTCTGCAGCTCTGACTCAGTTGCTCGAAGCTTTTCCTCGCATGCAATGTTCGCTGCGCAGGCTCGATTGGGTGCTGCATGCAACCAGTAACAACGTGTGTCATTCTCATCTCGTCAGCTGCTCTCACTGCTTGAAAAAACACACCTACACTCTCACACGAGGTCCGTGCTGCCCTTGCATTGAACGCCTGGCACTCGCTCCATCTCGCGCCTCTGCAGTCTTCAGCGATGCTTCGGTGGCAGCAAGGAGCTCCTCGCACCACCCCATGCACCCCATGCACCCCATGCACCCCATGCACCCCATGCACCCCATCACCCCAGCACTGACCTGTTGATGTTGATGAAAGCATGTGTGCATCTTCAGCATTTAGGGCTCGGGGTTTCGGATATTTACGCTTTCCGGAGGCCAGGAGCTGCTCTGCTGCTGAGGAATTGCAGCCCAGGGGCCGCCCGCTCCGCGAGCTGGCGCCTGGCGTTCTGGAGCTCCTGTCTGCAACTCTGAACCAGGTATACGCATGATATACATATTGCCTCTCTGCGAACAAACACAAAAAATCTCGCACCTCAAAGAGGGCCAAAAAGCCCCAGGAGCCCGGAGCTGGTCCCTTTGGGTCTCAAGTTCTGAAAGGGGCAACATGGGTTTAAGGGATCCCCGAACAACTCAAGTTTCCGGAATCGCGTCGGAAAAACGCAGCTCTCAACACCGAACGCTCAACCGAACCACAGCTGTCGGGCCTTCCGCGCAGTGTGAACGTACTCTTTATGATACGGGGTCAGATATGAAATGGTAACTTTCTTGAGGTAGACCCTTCAAGCCCTCAAACGCCATAAAGGCTGCAGCGGCTGTACGGCTAAACCTTTGACAGAATCTGATACAGCCACAACCCCCCCCCCAAACCCCAAATGCAAAACCCAACACGTCCTGCAAACCCTAGGCAATAAACCGTAAACGCACAACCCTAAAACCCTGAACCCTCACAACCCTAAACCCTTAACACTGTAGCCCTAAACCCTTAACCCTAAACCCTAAACCCTCAACACCCAAACTTCCCGCGTCTCCCCTCCTCTGGCTCGCCCTGGGCACCAGGCGCGCCTGGCTCCTGCGGAGCCTCGCGCACATCCGACTCTCAGGGGGAACTTAGGGATTTCAGGATTTACGCTTTAGGGCTTAAGGCTTAAGGTTCAGGGTCTAGGGTTTGGGTTGTAAGGTTTGGGGTTTAGGGTTTATATAGGGTAAAACAGTAGGTGTTGGGTTCTAAAGCCAGGGCTTGGGGGTTGGGGTTCTGAAGGCTTTGGGTAGTCTGGGCCGGTTTGTTGCGGTCCTGAGCAGCGCCAGGAGCTTTGGGAAAGAGGCCGCGAACCTTTGCTCTCCAAACAGGTCAAGGTTGAGGGCTTTATAGGTTTTCGGGTTGAGGGTGTAGGGTTTAGGTTTGAGGTTCTAGGGCTTATGGTTTGGAATTGAAGGGTGGGTTTAGGTTTTGAAGGGCTCAGGCTGTTGATTTGTGAACTTTTGGCTTACCGGGCTTACCGGCAAAGCGTACATCGAAGTCGCACAGTTCAAAGTTGCCCTGGGGGTTAAGCTACGACTTAATAATTAATAGGCACGCGGGAATAAGGTTTAGCATCCAAACCCCAGAACCCTGAACCCGCGTTCCCTGCCCCAACATAAACGAAACACGCAACCCTTGTAGCTGCCTCGTATAGTCTCAGGGAGAGGCGATGATGTAAAAATCCGTACAGTCTCTTCCGCGAAGCTCATGACTTCACACACAACGCACGGATGCAAAGCACATTCATGAGCATAGATCCAGAACCTCTCCTGCACTCCAAGGGGCAGCGCCGACGCTGTTGCGCTTGGCCCTCAAGCCTTCGCGCGCGGCGCGAATCTGCTCCACCAGGATTCTTTTCTGACCTCCACATGTGGTCATTAGTCTGTGGCCATCACTGTATCATGGGCTGGAAGAAGGTAGCTTTGAAGTAGGCAGCTCCGTGCCCAGCCTGAAGGGTCATCGATGAAGCCCTCATGGCTCGTCATGGCAATCGCCGAGATGGCGAACTTGAGTGTAAAGCAAACGGCTGTAGTGCAAACCTGCGTCATGCAAGGTCCAGGCGATCCACAATCGACACAAAAGCCTCAGCCTTGCAAAATGTGAAAGTTGTCTAGCACGACTTCAGCCCTCAGACCCCACGGAGGCAAGCTTTTAGGGCAGCTCCACTAGCGCGAGAGGACGCAACAGCTGGACGTTTCCTCCAGCTTGAAAGCACACCAGTTTCGAAAACATGCGAACGCAACCTGGCAAGAAAGGGACCACAGCCCTTGAGGCCTAAGATGAACGCTACTCGAATAGGGTTTAGGGTTCAGGGCTCACACTCCAAGGTTAGACTCATCAAAGCCAACATGAAAGTACAGGGCTCATTGTGGTTTGTTGCGGCATGGAAGGTGCTGTGGCGAACATTGGCGCCCAGAGCCCAGACACCAGGCACAGACCTGGGGAAGAGCCTGGATACCAAATACTAGAAAACAGAGGGGGGGTGTCAAAAAGTAGTCAGGGTTCTCCAGCAAAGCCTCCAGAATCATAAGCTCGACCATTTTGGCCACCCCCGCTAGCAACTACCCAACCATGAAGCATGCACGATCATGCACGGTTCAGCTCAGTTCCAGAGACTCAGAACTTGCGGCAGCGTAGCCATTGCCTTAGCACTCGCTTATAACTCGCTTCAGCCAAAACACCTGCCTGCCCGGCAGCTGCGATGTTTCTCGGTGCCGGCAGCAGAACCCGGTTCAAAAAACGCTACTCAAGGGGTTGCTCCGCCTTCAAAGGCCGAAGCCGAGGTGCTCCGTGGCAGGGGCGGCCGGCCTTTCCGGCTCCCGGACGGCCGCACTGGCGACTTCGGAGGGGACGTCGGCCTCCGCGGGGACTTTGGCGAGGGCGACGGCGTGAGCTCGGAGACCTGGGGGAAGGGGCGAGACCCCGGGCCTGCATGTTTAACCCCCCAAACATCTACGAATCTACAGGCTATGTAAACCCCCCTAAACTCATCCCCCCTCTGCCGTGCAAAGTCGTACCGGCATGTGAAGTACGATGACGACGACGGTGAACGCCCCTGAAGCACGAGCAGGCATGCACCGTCCCCTGAGCTCCAGCCTGCGGGCTTCGTCCTGAGGGGGTCCTGCTCACAATGCATATGTGCGGGGTATCCTCAATACAAGGAGCCGTATGGAAACGGGGACCCAAAACGACCGAAATTTAGAGAACTGGTCACATGTTGGGTTAAAGTGGTAGTTTCGTACATGTAGGACGACATGCTCCAGCTAACTGCCATACGGCTGCATCTCACACCTGCCTTGGTTCCGGGAGAGAGAAGCCAGAGCCTCAGGAGACGGCTCTCAGCATCTCTCCGGGGCTCGCGCCGACTCTGCCAAACACCACTGCAACCAAAAAAAGAACAAGTGCCAAACAAGCCTTGAAGCCCTTCAACATCCTTGAACCCCTTCCACCCCAGCCCGAAATTTTGAACCCATCCCAAAGCACTTTGCCCAGTGGCTCTTAGGAGTTCCGGATCGCACACGCACATCGGGTGTTGCTGCGCGGGTCGCCTTCTTTGCGGGATTGAGGGAGGTGCTTGCATTGGGGTGGATGCGAAAGGGTTAGAGTCTGGAGGGTTTAGGGCTTCGGGTCAGTAAAAAGCCGCAGAAGCTCTGGTGGGAAGGTGGAGCACTGCCACCTTGGCTGGACAGATCTTTTTGCATCTCAGCGGCTGGACTCTGCTCGCCCTTAGCGCGCAGCTCCCTTCGGTTTGAGCTGCACAGATCCTAACCCGAAAGCCCAAACGGCTCAGGGCTGTAGGGAGTGGCCTGGAAGCCCTGCCCTGCAATGTCTGTTACCCCCCCCCTCCCGGTGGCAGCAGAGCGGCAGCGCTCGGCGACATGGCAGCCACAGGCCTCGGATTTTGGGGGGAAAGTCCACCTACGCCATAGCAGCCACTAGTGTGATCCTGATTACAGGCCCCCCCCAAATAAACCGCACACCCTACACCCTACACCCCTAACCCTTACCCCCCCCCCCCCCCCCCAAAAAAAAAAAAAAAAAAACAAAAAAACACCCCCCCCCTCTTTTCGGAAAGCTCCCCAGACTTGGAGGATCTTGAGGGGCCGGCTGCGTATACGTCTGGTAGCGCTGAAGCAGCTCCCGAATGTCCATGCCTGCCTGCAAGGCCGGGAGACATGGGGGTTACCCTAAACCCTGAGCCCTAAACCCTACACAAACCCTAAACAGTGAACCCTAAACCCTGACCCCTACACCCTAAGCCTTAAACCCTAAACCCTAGGTTTGTTTCACACCCTCTGCCGTTTCAGCGTTTAGGGATAGGGTTTAGGGTTCAACTTAGCACTGCCACTCTCGAACGTTACAGCCCAAACCCTTAAGACCCAAACAACCCAACACCCCCTAGAACCCTAAAATCCTCAAAAGAAAAAACCCTTAAAACCCAAAAAAACCTTACAAAAAAGGAAAATACAAACCTAAAGCACCCAAAAAGCCAACAGCCCGCCTCCCGGGCGGTGCTCGCTCCCGAGGGATGACGCTGGCGAAGTGCTCGCAGAGGGTTCCCAGCGAGCGTCTCTCCGCCTTGGGCGGGGGGGGGGGGGGGGGGCTTCGGGTTCATGGGGTTTATGGGGTTTATAGGGTTTATCGGGCTTATAGGGCTTATAGGGTTTACAGGGTTTCGAAGGGTTTGAAGGAGGCGACAGCGCAATTCAGCGTTGTACTAGCGCGACACAGTATGGTAGTGCAGCAAAGCATAGTGCAGCGCAGAAAAGTGCAGTACAGCACAGTACAGCGCAGCGAGGGGCAGTACAGTATAGCACAGCACAGCGCAGTACAGCATAGCACGGTACAGTGAAGTACAGTACAGCTCAGCGCGGCCCCGCCATGTTATGCCATTTTATTCAAGGCGAAAAAATGCAATATGTAGCCATTCACCTGAACAGGCTTTAGAGCTTAGACCTCAAATTGAGCCCTTGGCCACTCCGAAGGCTCATCTATGCAATCGCTACCTGAGGCCTCAGGGTCTTCGCAGGTTCACCGCTCTAGGGCTTGAGGAAGCTCGTAAGGCTTAGGGGATCAAATGAATAGGCGCCCCTTCGACGCTCCACCGCCGAGGCACAGGTGAGATCGCTGGCCGAGTCTGTTGGCATCATGTCCTGGGTTGCCATCATGTGGGGGTTTCCGAAATTCGGGGTACCGTTTTATAAGGGAATCCCACTATTTGGGGGACTATGCTAGGGGTCCCTTATTTCGTAAACCCCTATGTGCTGCTGCCATCATGTGCTAATCATGTGACCTTGCAACACCTACGTGGTGAATATGACAAAAGGTGCGAGGCAATCGGGTAACGCATGGTTGCAGTACCTAACTAGACTCTCAAATCGAGACCCTCAAATCCAGCAGCACCTCCGACACCCCTATCCCAAAACCTGACCTGCAATTACCCCGAAAGCAACCTGCAAAACCTTCAACAAAACCAACACACATCTACCACAAACAAACTGACCCAAAATCCACGACCGGATCACCGACCAAATCCCACTCGCTGCTCGTACCGAAGACTCCAGCTCAGATGCCCCGCAACCGAACTAAGCAGGCTGAGACAGGACACCGACCTGGATGTCGACTGAGACAATGGGATGCCAAGCACCACACCGATGGGAACGTCGATCGGGACACCGACTGCAACACTGCCGGCCCGTACACCGACTGGGATGTCAACTGAGACACCGGCTGGGATACCCGGACAGCTGCGGCTCCCTCTTTTTCTCAGAGTGAAGAACCGCGAGCTTCTCGCTTTTGGCTCAAGAGCACCGACCATGACACCGACACACATTCACGGTGAGGCCGACGCCTTTTTGACACGTGAGATGGCGACACCCGCGACACCCTGGAATTCCCGCATTGCACGGCGGTCGTCGACCCACCGCCTTCCTTGAGAGTGAAGAACCCGAGGCTGATCGCGAGTGGGGAAGAAGACCGCAGCAAAAACACAGCCAGGGCTCCTCAAATCGCAGTCGCGAGTTCGAGGCCGTTGCCGGTCGGAAGCCCTCCTGGTTCTCCGCCGTCTTCATCCTCAAGGGACGCAAGTGAGAACTTAGGTGGAGCCTTGCGGAGCCCCCCCATCTAGATGCAGGAGATGCAACCCCGACACCATGGAAGGAGAAGGCGGCCGGAACTCCTACACCGAACCCTCAAGCACAAATTGCCACCCAACCTGCCCAAACCTCCCCCAACCCCCCCCAAACCCCAACCCCCCCAAACCCCCCAGCAAAACCACCCATGCCCTCCTCCGGCTAGGCAGGTGGATGCCGAAGCCGGCAGAGGGAGCGGAGCCAAAGGCGGGGCGGGCGGTGAAGGCGTGGCCTTGGGCCCTCCTCCTGGCACCAGTCATGGTTTAGGTCTGGGGTTTAGGGCAAAGTCTTTAGTTTTCAGTAGGGGTAGCTCGGGTGTGGGGCTTGGGTTTATGAGGGACTGCTCGTATTCGAGAACATGAGGGTGCTGGGCTGTGGGCTTGCCGCAGCAAAACTCATCTGTCGCTTTGTCGGCCCCCTCCTCGCACGCTTGAGCTGCTCAAGGATGAGCTCCGTCTCGTCCGGCTCGCCGGCAAAAGGGTCTGGGCTCTGACCTGCTGCGCGCCTGTCAGCAAAGCCCGCCACCAGCAGCGGGTGCCTTTGAGCAGCAGATAGCAGTAATCAAGCATACCAAGGATATTCTCAACCCAAACGTTACAAAGAGGGTGCCCTTCTGAGGCTGCCACTGTGGCTCCTGCTCATCCTGGTCATCGTCACTGCCCAGGTCCCTGCCCTGCACACGTGTCTGCGACTTTCCATGACTTCCCATGTGACTTCCCATGACACCAGTCCCCCTGCGGTTAAAGCGACGTGCCTCTTCCAGCTCGCTTGCTGGAACTTCCGTGCCCCGGCTGAGAAAGTTCACCTCTTCGCATCTCTGGAGTCCCATGTTGAGGCGTGGCCACATGCATTCAGAAGATCTCAGGGGGGCCAACATCAGTCCCAGCATCCGAAGGGTCATCCACATCTGAGTCCATGCCTTCGCTGACTTCGGAAGTTGCGAACGGCACTTCGGCTTCAAGGGCCCTGAAGTTCTAAAGGCGAGGCGCAGTCAAATGATCGAGGCACCAAGCTCGCCCTTAGCTGACGATGTCGGGATCAATACGGAGCAGGAGAACGAAAGAAGGGCGGAGGACAGTGCCCAAAACCCCTGAATCCTGCAAAAAAAGCCAAGCCCATCCATCCTGAAGCCCAAGGACCCCCTTTCGCCCATCTAAACCGTCAGGCAGCTTGGTCGGGAGATCGTCCAGCACCTCCAGATTCGGAAGCAGCTCGATCACCCGATCCCGCGTGAGAGCGCCAGCCCTCAGCCGAAGAGAGGGGATGAGGCCAATGGAAGGAATCCTGAGGAAAAAGGTGGTGGGGTTTGTGAACCTTACGGCTTAGGGCCCTGGGATGCACAGGGATGCTTGGCTGGCGCGCGCGCGCGTTGTGCTGGTAACACGAGCCGAGAGTCTTGCAGGAGGCCCGATAGACAGGGTTGCCTCCCAGATTCAGCTCTCCTCGGTGCAGCCCAGGTGCAGCAAGACTGAGCAATGGTGGTGGACTAACTTGTTCATTTTTTTAAACAGTATCACGTGATACACTTACACTTTGTGTTAAACAAGGATCAACACCAATTTACGTAGGTAATATGACGTGATTTGTTTTATAGCCCAAACCCTGAAGCGTAGATCCAAACCCTCAACCCTGAACCCTATATCCAAACCTTCCGGAGGTTCCGCCCTTCATCCACGCCCAGCGACGAAGGTGGGAGCAGCTGCCCAGCGCTCCTGGCTGCTCGAAGGTCATTGCAGGGTTCAGGGTCTAGTGTCTAGTAGATACGCGGTTGAGGAGTTGAGGGGTTTTAGGGTTTGACTCGGGTTTGGGGTCAAGTCAGGTTCGGGGCTTGGGCACCCTGATTAAGTTGCAGATCGATGTAAAGATTATGAGGTTCGGGACACCAAGGGCGACCTAAAGCAACCTTCATTTGGACCAACTCCCAGGGCGCATGCTCTCTTAGAGTCCCTGACCTGTATGGAGCATAAGGAATAGCTTACGATATTCGGGGGGCCCTTTTGGGGCTTCCTATGATAAGGATTGTACTATTCTGGGGGTATGTTCAGGGCACCCCCCAGTTTGGGAAATACCCATCTATCTCCAGGCCCTTTGCTATGTGGAGCCGAAAAGGGCCGGGCGGCGTACATCCTCTTCGTCGGCGATGGCATTGCCCTCAAGGTCGAGAACTTCCAACCGCTCACACCCGCTGAGGGGCGTCGCATCCTGAGTACTGCCACTGCTGGCATCCCCAAAACGAAACACCCTAGACATACATTCATGCAAGACTACGCATGTACACTCACCATAAGGAAGAATTTTACCAACCCTGCCTCATATAGCACTGCCACAGTGCCTCAAAAAGTAACAGGCTGATGCAAACGAGCAGCGACCACATCATTGAAGGACAGATAGAGCTCCCTGCTCACACACACGAGGGTCTTCGGGATGCAGGGATGTCCGTACTGCATGTGGATTGATTTGCTGATGGCAAAAAGCAAATCCACCACCTACACCTAAAACCCCCGGCGGCCCTGCAACCCCGAAACCATCCACCACCCCCATAGAACCCCTAAACCCTAAACCCTGAACCCTGAACCCTAAACCCTAAACTCGAACCGCTTCCCCCTATCGAAACCCATGCCCTCCCCCCCCTCGCGCCTGAGGCCCGGGAGTAGAGCGGAGGCCCCACCCAGGTCCTGGAGCCCACAGCGGCTGAGCCAGAGGATCTCCAGGTGCTTCAGGCTGGAGCCTCCGAAAAGGTCTCTGAGGGTTGGAGGGTTGGAGGGCTGGAGGGTTGGAGGGTTGGAGGGTTGGAGGGTTGAGGGAGCTCAAAGTCTTAGGAGGTTTTGCTTGGAGGCTTGCTTTTGGGCGGCAACTCGCTTGGAGCTTGGGTTGAGTCTTTCCTGAGCAGGGGGGTTGAGGGCCTGGAAGTCCTTTTGCTGGAGGGGATTAACGGGCTTTGGGGTGCATGAGGCGTTGAATGCTTCTTGGTTTTCTTGTGGGGGTTGGCGGTGGTCGAGGGCATTTAGAGCGTGAGGGTTTGAACGTTGTGGAGGGGTTGGGGTTTTAGAGCTTTGGTGTGTTCGGGTTTGATGGGCTTTAGGGGTTTGGAGTTTGAGGGCTGCACCCGCCTAAGTCTCGCAGGCTGAGCACGCTGGACGGGTCCGTCAGCTTGAGCTGGCGAAGCTTGGGCAGGTGTTCCCCGAGGAGCTCGAGGCTCTGCGTGGCAGAATCCACCTGCACGCATGTCGAGCCACAACTCTGAGAACTACCATGACTCCAAGACTCCGCGAGTGCCAAAGATCATAGAGCTATCACAAAACTAACTTTATTCTTTTACCTGTGTTTATTGGTCACTTGTGTTAACGCAAACTGACACTGTGCGGAGCCCAGTCAGAGCTCCCAGCTCCGGTGTGATGAGACGCCGTGTGCCGCTACGACTCTGAGGCTCATCTGCCTGAATCTCCAGGTACGTGACCTGCTCCAAGTCCTGCGACAGGCATCTCACCGACCTCACGCAAACCCCAACACCTAAACGCGAATATGCAGTCGAAACGCCGCCTTCGAAACAAAAACCCCAAGACCTGAAGCCCAAATGAGCAAGCCCGAATCCTAAACCAAACCCTAAACTTGCAAGCAACCCTAAAAGACGAGGTCCTGAGTGTCGCAGTAGTGCCGCAGAAACTCCGGCGAGAATCCAGGTTGGAGTTGCCTCAGCTGCTCAGGCCGCCACTCTCGGAGTGGCTTTCGAACCAGAGTTTAAGGTTTCCAGTCCTCTTCGAGGGTCTTCTAGGGGTCTTCTAGGGGTCTCTTGGGGTTTTCTAGGAGTTTCTAACGTTTAGAATGGTTGGCGTCTTCGACAATGGACTGCAGGGGCTTTCGGAGGAATCTGGGAGAGCCCCCCCCCCCCCCCCCCCCCCCCCAAAAAAAAAAAAGTTGTTCTAAACTGGGTTCTTGATCCTAAACCCTAAACCCTAAATCCTAAACCCTAAATTAAATCCTAAACCCTAAACCCTAGACCCTAAACCGAACTCCTGCCTCCCTTGTGAGCGAGGTGCAGCTCTTCCAGCTCGGCCGCTTGAGCCAGGTCCACGCGGAGCTTCGGCACGGGCCCGGCCATGCTGGCTGCATGCTTCTACGGATACAATCTAGGTTTAGGGTTTAGGGTTTAGGGTTTAGGGTTTAGGGTTTAGGGTTTAGGGTTTAGGGTTTAGGGTTTAGGGTTTAGGGTTTAGGGTTTAGGGTTTAGGGTTTGGGGTTTAGCGTTTAGGGTTTAGGGTTTAGGGTTGCAGCTTTAAGCGTAGTTTAGGGCTTCCGTGTCGGGAGTTCGTGCATCTTTCTGCACGACTGTTCGGTCCTTCCGGAGCTGCAGCTAACGTGGCTGAGTCGCGCTGTGGGGCTGGTACGGTTGCGTGGGTGCAGTAGCGGCGTTCTTGTTTCTTGATGCCGTGGCGCTGAAAGGTTCTAGGCCAAAAGAGCGAGCTCGGACCCCCAACTTCACCGAACATCATGCTGGGCACCTTCAGTTACATTCTAGGCGGTGGCAGCCAGAAACGCAGGAGTTTTCTTGCAGACTGATGCCTGAAATCGACGATCTCATGAGCTCCGAAGCTCACATCATGGCACAACGATTCTTGCAGTTGTCCATGCAGCTCTCCGCAGGCAGGTCCGCGGCAAGCTCACGTCTCACCAGGGGATCTGCAATGACCTCTGAACACGTACTCTCCGAAGCAGTGCCAATGCTCATTGTGGTTCAAAGAGGCCGAACACCCAGGACCTCATCTGAGCTGCCGGCAGATTGCGAGGAAGGGGTGGCGGCCCCACCGAGGTGTCTCGCTGGCAGCGAGGTCTGAGGGGACACGTGAAACCAGTAGGCTTGTGTACATCTTCTGCTATACTCTGCATTACTGTTCCTCTTGCGTTTTCTTATGCGTATTCATAGAAACTACGTGACAGCTTTACGAATATTCAGCTTATTGTTCTTCAGAAAGGGGTGCGCTGGCTATGGCCATGCCTCCAATGATCCTCTTGCAATCTCCACGTTGCGCAACTCCTCCTCGAGCTTCCTCTTCGCTGCTTGAAGTGCCCGAATCTCCTCCTCTTCGCAGCTACAGCCACACAGCTCCGACTCCCATCATCAATCTTCACAAACTCTTCTTGCAGCTTGAGTTTGTGTACATGTGTCTGCAGATGTCTGCAGGGAAGATCTCTGCCCTGATTTCTGTCAGGGACGGTGCCTCCAAGCCCGTCCGTGTCTGAGCAGCTTCGCGGGCTCCAGCCTTTCGCAAGCCGGGCATCAACGGATTTTCAGGACACTTCGATTATATATGGATGTCGAAAAACTGAAGAATACGTATACACATACATACATACCATGTGTAACAAGTCATTCGGGGAGCATGGTGGAGTTCATCCCTACTGATTGCACGGGCAATGGGATGTGGGGAGGGCGACGTCAGGGGCCTGCACAATGACTGGCTCACTACTTCCATGTGCTCAGGAGTCACCAGTGTGCGTTTCACATCACAGGCCAGTGGTGTACCATGGTACTTGCACACGCACTCGCACTTGCACGGCTGTCAACAAAAGGGACGTGTGGCACAGCTTGACGTCGCGAGCCGACTTCAGGGCCTGAGAAATTCGTGCGTGCAGGGGACAAAACTCCGTGCTACCGATGACCACTGCACATCGATGACCGACGCGCTGTCCACCCCCGACGGCCTCAGCCTGATGCCTCACGGCATCGGCATTCTGCAGGGATCCCTGAAGCTTGGCGTGCTCATGCTGCAAGTCTAGCAGCTGCTCCTGCACCACAGAAGACACGTGATCCTTCTGAAAGTTGAACGAGACGCGAAGTGCGGATGGACTCGGAAGCTTGAAGGAAATCACCAGGGAAGTATTCACCAAGCGTTTTCTGGGGGGGGGGGGGGGGGACCCTGTATCTCAGCCCTGAACCGAACCCCAAGCCCTTACCGCAAGCCCCATTAGTAGCTGGAGACCGCCTCAACCCGCGCCCGCTGCAGCTCTTCACTTCGGCTCTTCTCCTGTCAAGAGCACGTGCGCTTCAGGGGGGGTGGCTCTTTGCGGCTGTACGCAGGCAACAGCATCGCCCAGGCTCGGTGCCCTGGCAAATCTGGGGGGAAGATCGGGAGTGTGAGGTGTTTGGAGACAAGCAGAAGCAAAAATTGCGCGCGAGGATTCTTGCGAGTGCACGATAAGAATGTATATGTTTCGTGTGCAAGCAGGCATCCTCGCGCACAATTTTGCTTTTGCTTGCCTCCAAACACATCACACTCCCGATCTTCCCCGGGTGGGGCCCGAGTCCGGGCGATGTGGTTGCCTGCATAGCTGCAGCCAGGCTCATGTGTGCTCTTTTCGAACACGCAGGTCCCGCAGCACGATGCCATAGCTCGTACGATACGAAAAGCGAAGTCTGTCAGAAAAAGAATACCGGCGCATCATGGTGTGTACCACCTCTTCCAAGATATGTCAGGCCTGTTTAGGGCCTTCAGGGCCTTAAGGCCTTTCAGGGTTTAGGGCAAAACTCCTCCTACAGCCAGCACGAGGGCACAAGCAGCTGGCCACCAGCCTGGAACTTGACTTCAAGAGCCTGAGGGACGAGAGCATGCCGACACAAAGGAGACAACACAAGCAGCGCGGACCCTGACCCCTAAACCCAAACATGCTGAACCCTAAACCCTAAGACCCATAACCTTAAAGCTTATAACCCTAAAACCCTAAAACCCTAGAACCCTCAAACCCTCAAACCCTCAAACCCTCAAACCCTCAAACCCTAAACCCTAAAACCCAAACAAAACACACGGAAGGAACTGGGGGACTCCGGGCCTGTTAGGGGTCCGGGCCTGCAGCGCCCCCCCCCCCCCCCCCCGCAAAACACTCAGCGACTCGGGTCAAGGCAGCACGTGCACTCGCCTCCTCCTCTCGGGCCTGTGTTGCCTGCAGGAGCTTTTTGAGGGGAGGTCGGACTTTGGGGTTGTGGAGGTTTAGGGTTCAGGGTTTACGGCTTGAGGTTCTAGGCTTTGGGGAATTTAACAAACTGTTTGGGCCGTGGACGGCTTTTGGGCTTCTAGGCTGGCCGAAAAAGCTGGGCACCTGTTGCAGTTCCTTCTTCAAGACGCCGACCTGTCAAGGGCAAGGCAAAAACCCTAAACCCTAAGCCCTGAATCTTAAACGCTTTTTACCTTGTAACCCTGAACCTTTCGAAGCCTACACCTTTTAACCCTAAACTTGGGGTGCTCCCCCTTCTCCTAACAGCTCTTTTTTACAGGGATTGTAGAATCCCCTATAAAACTCCCTATGAAGGACTGCATAAGGGACCCTAAAACCCTAAACCCCCACCAGAGTCGCTCAGACGGTGCATGGAGGCCTGGGTGGAGGCCACTTCGTGGCTTCGGCGAAGGTCCTCCAACTTGGAGACTGACGCCTTCGCCAGGCAACGGACGCGGAGAGGGTGCGCAAGAGGATGGCTGCTCTAGATCCCCAACTTGTAGGCCCTGAAACCTGCACGTGGACCCATCCAAACGTTCTTGTTCAAACCGAAACAAAGGGCTGCTTAGATACCACAACAGAGGCCCAGGAAAGGGCCTGGTATTCGTGGCCAGCCCCCTATCCCAGGGGGCCTCGCACGCAACGAAGCCCTGCTGCAAGGACTGCTTCGCTTCGCCGTCAGCCCCCTCTTTGCCGAGCTCACCCTCTCCGGTGATGCTGCCCAGGGCGCTGGCCAGCGTGAAGACGCGATCCTGTTTGGGCCTACGTACTTAGATTCATATAGGGTTTAGGTTTAGGGTTTAGCCCTCAAAAGCCCCACAACCTTCTTGAGCTACCCAGTCCCTGCCGAAAACAAAACGCTCCCGAAGTAACAACGGTCTTAAAGCCCCAGTACTGATGGATATTCTACCGATGAATCATCTCCTATGTTCAGTTTATAATATACATGAAAAAAAAATATATATATATATATATATATTGAGATTTGATTTGTTTTGACATTTACCTATCTATTTATTACTTATTTATTCATTGATGAATTTGTACTTTTTAGTTCATTTCTGTGTATACTTATATTTGTATTCATATTTCTTTATTGCCATTTCATCCAGGCCGAGGAATCTCTCAGCATCGGCCTTCAGGTCGACGGCCTCCTGCATCGCGCCGATGCACGGGTTGCACACTCGTTGCAAGGCGGCCTCGCCTCGAAAGGTTTAGGGTTTAGGGTTTAGGGTTTAGGGTTTAGGGTTTAGGGTTTAGGGTTTAGGGTGTAGGGTTTAGGATTTAGGGTACAGGGTTCAGGGTTTAGGGCTTAGGGCTTAGGGTTCAGAGTGTTGGAGCGTTTGCAGGGTTTATTGGGTTTACAGGGGTTTAGGGATATTGCAGGGTTTATGGGGGGGGTTTCAGGGCTCTACAGCGTTCATAATTTTGGGGTTTAGGGTTGACAGGGCTTGGCAGGGTCAAGAGGGTTTGGCTAGGGTTCTCTCAGAAGCCTGGGAGTTGCAGAGGGTGCCGACCATTGGTTCAATGGAACTGTATACGCGCCAGCATTCCCGCACCCCCCCAATGGTATCCCCCTTGCGGTTCATTCATTTCGGGTGTTAGAATTAAGGTTTTGGGTATACGATTCCCTCCCTTCCCACCAGTCCAGGTTTGGGCTTCCGGTTCCTTCTGGAGTTTTGGATTTTGGGGCTTGGAATAGTGTTCAGAGCTTGGACTGTACCGGTTTCGCGCCTTTGAAGGCGATGGTGCTGGGCGAGCAGGAAGCGCACACACTGAGATTGCACCTGGACACATGTGTTGGGGACCTTCTCATGAAGATGAGCGTCTAACAGGATTGATCCTGAATCAGAATCCAGTACCCCCCCCCCCCCCCCCCCCCCCCCACCTAAACCTAAGCCTTGAACCCTGAACCCTGAACCCTAAACCCTAAAATCCCTAATTCCTAATCCCGAATTCAGAAAACAACTCCCCCATGTCCAAGCCATGGAACATTCGGCAGTGGTGCCGCGGGCGCATCCAGCGCTTCCCAAGCCTCGGAGCTCCAAGACTTGGGCTTCGGCTAAGGGGGCCTACAGTAAGTATCAGTAACCCTAGCCCTAAACCCTAAACCCTAAACCCCAAACCCTAAACCCTTTACCCTGGAATCGTCAAAACCAGCATACTCTTCAGCTGCTGCGAGTACGGGGCCGCGCCTACTGGGTGCCGAGCGAAGCATTGCACACAGCGCACGTTTCGGCATTCTGAAACAAGCTCTGTCTTCGCAAAGCATCCGCCTTGCTTAGAGAGAAGATCGGGGCATGGGCTTTGGGTTTAAGACGGATCCCAGCCGGCAGCACAAAGACCCTGAAACCTTTCGCGCCTGGGAGGAAGTCACGGAGTGTGCACTGATCTGCTTCGGCAAGCTCACCTCCTCCGCGTGTGGCGCGTGCAGCTTGCAGGATGAAAGCTTAGGGTCTTGGACTTTCCGCCGAGTGGAGGAAAAAGCAGGAAGGCTCTGTGACAAAGTGAGGTCGAGCGCATCCTGCTAGAGTTACTGGCGTCCCCCCACACCGCGGTAGGTTCTCGCACCTCATCAGCGTCACCCTCGGCGAAGGGGTTGCTCGTAGCCGCCTGCTCCAATCGTTTCTGTTCTTGCCCCTAAACTAAAACGGGTCATGAGCATCGTGACCGATCGTCGCACTGCTACCACTCACAAGCATGGGCCCACCCCGTACCGGCTACCGTAAGGGCCCTAAAACCTGACCCTAAACCCTGAACCCTAAACCCTAACGCGTTGACGAATCCTACGCTCCAAGTAGGGTTTGGGGCCCTGAAGGTCCACCCAGCGCCTCGCTGGTCCCGGACTGCACAGGCGCAACCGGTGCACCAGCGTCCACCGACTCGCGCGGACCGGCCTCCTAGGAAGAAAGAAGTTATCATCATAATCATAACAGTAGCAACGGTAGTAAGAAGAATAACATGTATAGCAATAAGACAAAGGACGCCGCAGAACAGGGCGTTTAAAGTCGTAGCTTCAAAACCACAACCTGCAGCCCAGACCCTGTGAGCCTGCAGGCCGTTGCTGAAGGGATTCCGGCCGGACTCCTTTCAAAAGGGGCTTAGGGTCCGAGGGACTGAGGTTTAGTTTAAGGCTTCAAGGTGTAGATTTTGCAGTGCAAACATGCGAGCCCGATAACCCTCTGAACCCCCCGAGTCCTCTGAGCCGCCTGCATCGAATGGGTTCGGCGGCGCGGCACTGGCGCTCGCCTGCTGGTCATGTCGCGGCTCGCGCTTTGGGAAAGTTGGAAAGGACCTTTGCTGTTCAACTGCTGCTTTATTCTCTTCACGATGCTTACTAGGCAAGCTGGATTCTCTATGCAATCGGAAAAATAACACGAAAACAGTGGACAAGAAATCCAGTCGTGCAGATGTACGCCTGTCAATTGACTTGCGAGGGCGATGCCCGATTCAGGCATACGTCAGGCGATTTGGCAGCCACGCCTGAGTTTAGGCTTTCAGAGTTAGGTGTAGGCTGGTAGACGACGAGGGTTTAGGACTTTTTAGGGGGTTTAGGCCCAAGAGCCTCCTCATCGGCGCCTGCAAAAGGATTTGCCATGGCATCGCTGGGCACGTGCGTTGCTCCATGAAAATGCAGGCAACGTAGGTCAATGTAGGTCTGTGTGGAGTGCGCTGAGGGAAACCCGACATCGCTGCTCGTCTGGTCTGCTGTTGCGCATGCTATCCGGGTGGTGGCGGCGTGCGGATGTTGTGAGGATCCAAGATGCTTGTTGCCAAAGGCAGAAGGCTCGGGCACGCAGTGAACTCTCTGGATGCCTCCGTCACTTTGCCCTGGCAAACTTTCACAACTTCCACCTGTCCTTGCCCCAGCCCTGTTCCTTTTTGGGCCCGTCTGCTTCCTGGCCCGCCGAGCTTGCCCCGACGGACAGGAGGGCCGACCGGCCGCGCTGCGCCCCGCAGCACAAAGTCCGGTCAGCCCACTTGGTCCACCAGCACCTTCAAGCGCAACATGGTTAAGCCATGAAGAGTACACTGAGCAAACACCAAGCCACGGAATGTACCAAAAGACGGGGCTCTGCGGTCATGGCACGGCGTCCGTGCCACGAGTTTGGCTCCTGGTCACAACCCGGCGCTTTGCCTTAAAAGCTCGGCAGGAGGAAGCCGAAGACAGGGCTATCTCATACTTTCACGTCTGACACGTTCTGACACTGCCAGGGTGCAGGAGGGGCGTCTGCGACAAAGTCTGGATCTTCCTCATCATCATCCTGCGGTGATCATTCTTCGAACCAACTGCTCTACTTGGGGGAGCTGCGGCGACCTCGAAGTCGGGGTCATCTTCCTCTGAGCGACGCTGAACAACCGAGGCCAGGTAAGCCAAGAGCGCTGGCCCGTCGGCGCCTCGCTGCACACAAAGGTCTGTGATGTGCGAAACAGGTCGCGCAGGCACTTTTCCCAGCACATTCCCGCACTCCGCCTTTAAATGTTACATACATTTACATGTACATACTGTGTATATACAAGCTTTACATCTAAACAAACAAAGAAGTAGACAAATAAATGCACATTTATACATATATGCAGACATCCGCATACAATCCGCGCCTGCGAGATTACCGAAGACAGTGGGCTTCTTCTCGCTCAGCCGGTGGATGATCAGCTCCCCTCCGCGCGGGCCCGAGTTGGAGCCCGCCTCCGCGTCGAAGATGTCCTGACCGGGATTCCAAGCTTCAGCAGGGCTTGAGCTCAGGGTTTTGGTCATGATCAGCGGAAGGTCATGGAAGGTCCAAAAACATAAATAGAGCTACACAAGGCCAAAGATCGGGGGCCTCAATCGGTAAGAAGACGGCGGGCTTGGGCAGGAAACACAGGCCCGCGGAGAGGGGATACAAGACGCCTTCCTCGGGCAAATCTGGCAGCTGCAAGCACACATCTGAAAACCCGACAACCCTAGCCCCCAAAACCCAAAAACCACAGCCCAATGCCTCCCGAAAAAAATCTCAACACCCCAACACACTCAAACCCACTGTTCAGGTGAGGGTCATCAACGCCTTTCCAGGCCTGAACTGCCTCCAGCACGCAAGTCGCAGGCTCGGGCGACAGGGCCTCTGCAAGGAGCTCGGAGCCCTCAGGTGCCCTCAAGTGGGTTTAGGGTTTAGGGTTTAGGGTTTAGGGTTTAGGGTAAAGGGGGAGGGTTACAGGGCTTGTCGAGTAAGGTTTGCGAGCTTGTAGGGCTTCTCGAGCTTACAGGGCTTGAAGGGTTTATAGGGTTTGTGACTTGTAGATGTAAGGTTTGGGGTGCGGGTGTGGGATTTTAAGGCTGGTGAGGGGCTTAGACGAGCGCCTTGTCCGCGCCGATCATGGTTTCAAGACACTTCGAAAGCACCTGGGACAGTTGTCTCATTAGGTTAGGAGCTTCAGTCTTGGGAGCCTTCAGGAGCTCTTGGGAGCATTGGGGGGGAAGATGTGGGTTGCCTACCCACCTTAGACACCTAGCTGCTGGAGTGCATTAGACATGCTTGAGCAGCTCCCTCCAGATTCTGGTCCTGTGCTCTGGGTCCTTGTGTCGCATTTCACCTTTCTCTCAGGAAAGGCACCCTGATGCCAAGAGCTGCTGCAAAGTAATCAATCGAAGCATGAGGCGTTAAATGGGGAGTATCTGCGGTCCTATCCAAACACTTGGTGCAGGGGGGGGTGCACAACGTCTCCATGACTATGGCTCATGTGTAGGTGCCTCCTGTGAGAACAAATCAAGAACCTCCACTGATTCACAAGGCGGCGCCAGGTACTCCGACGTCTCGCCTGCTGCCGCCAAATCCTTGCGCACATGAAGGATGAGTCCAGGGGCCTGCTGCACTGCCATAGAACCCTGAAACCATTCGTAACCTATCTTTGCTTGGGACAACAAAAGCAACAAAGCCTTCAACAACGACTCCTCCCAAATACAAGACTTCGCTATCCATCATAGTACGAATAACAATGATCATAACAATCATGATCATAATGTTAAATGGTTATCACCCTTCTTGAGCAGCAACCATAACCCAAAGACTCTAAAACGTAATCGTAAGCACTATACCACTAACAGTGATCATACCCATAGTGCAGGCACTAACAGCATTTAACAACAGTAACCATAACAATTCATCACGGCCATATCTCACAATACCAATACCACTGATCAGCACCATCGCTTGCCAGTTCCTCACAGAGAAGTGGGGAGGCAGAGTTTCCCCAAATAATGCCGAGAAGGAGTGTATAGCCACCTAATTCCCAAATTAGCCTAAACCCTAAACCCGAAACCCAAAGAACCCTAAGAAGCCCCAGAACCCTAAACCAATCCTAAGAACCCTAAACCCTAACTAAGATCAGAACCAGCAAGATCCACGGCCTTCAGGATGCCAGCGCAGCGCTGATCTTCCCCCGCGGGCTGCAGAGCTGGTGGGCACTGCGGAGCCTGGTTTAGGGTTTGGGGTTTAGGGTTTGGGGTTTAGGGTTTGGGGTTTGGGGTTTGCGGTTTAGGGTTTAGGCGGGTTTAGGGTCTGGTGGGGGGATGAAAAGGCATTTCAGGGACTTTTAGGGGACTTTTCGGGCTTTTTGTCAGTCAGGCTTCAGAGCTCTTCAGCAGCCACTCCAGAGATTTCAGGGATCAGTGCTCAGAAGCCTTAGATGCCCTGCCGCACCTTGGTGCCGTTGGCATTCAGCGCAATGCACTGGCACCTGGCGCAGAGCTGATGGTGCGAAACGCAATGCTTTGTGGCTTGCGGGATGGCGTTACGTGATGCATGTAGACGCTACCATTGCTTTTGGAAGAGGGCTTCTGGGAAGTGGGCGGAGAACGAGCCATGAGAATTCCGACAACTGTCGCGGGCTACCCGCAGCATGAACTCCCAGGGTACACCGAAGCAAAACAAGAGCGTGTCGAACTCCGAACTAAAAACCCCGACATCTGTTCAACTACTGTAGCAGCTGATGTGGACCTTCTGAGTCCTCGGCTCCTGTTTGCCAACGGTCAGCGGCTGGGACAGAACTAGAACCAGCCTGCCAATGAATTGCATCGCCAACGTCAACAGTGCTGTACGAAACAACTCCGGCTGCCCCAAAAATTTCGCCGAGGCTCCAGTAGGTTTTGGCCACCGTTCCGGCTGTCCGGTTGGTTTCCAGCTTTGGCAGCTTGAGGAAGTAGCGTACAGCCTCGGTCCGTCTCGCCGCGCTGCCTACTGCATTCGCCATCCCATGTCCCGGTCCTCACAAGTTAGCTCGGCGATCTCAGCTGCGCGCGTCCCAGCGGATGGGCCCAAGCCTTGAGGTGAATTGCTATTTCGCCACACACTTCAAGCGAATGAGCAGCATAGCCAATGGCTGCAAAGTGTGCACAGATGCTCTTTTTAAGCTCACCACGGAGTCTTTCCACTGAAGGTTACGCCCGTGGAGGTGAAGATCATGTCATACCGCCCCCTGCCAAAGGAGATAACGAGATCAACCGATTAACTCTTCAAAGTCGAGTACCACATTGGCTGCAGATTGACAACAACCGCAGTTTGTCCTACATTATCCGATGAACCCTAAACCCTGGTAGGCCCCAAATGGATGTCATGTCAGCACACGCCTGGGTGCGCTGAGCGACGTTCCTGGGAAAGTTGCCAACACCTGGCGCAGTTCCGTAAGCAGACACACTGCCTCTGGCCTACCTTTGCCTTGCGCCGCTGCAATGCTCATCTTGTCTCCGGCGACTTTGAAGAGTCACACAGAGTCAGACATTGTGACATGCAACCGTGTGGCATATGTCTTGATGGCTGGAGCGTTCCTCATGGTCGGCCGCAGGTTCGGAAACCAGACAAAAAAAAAGGGACTGTAGATTCAGAAACTGGAAACATGGAAAGCAGATTCGAGAATCACGAGAAAATCAAAAGATGCGGATTCGGGAAACAGGAAAACCACAGATTCGGCTTTCGTGTCCGGATCTTTCATCTCACACCTCCAGCGCAAAGTCATCAGCCCGCAGGCGGCGCTGGCAACACCAATGTCAGCATCCCTCCAAGAACCTTTCGGCTAGGCCTTTGCCCAAGTTCCCGAGGCAAGTTTCCTGCATGCGCCCGACCCTCAACCGCGCAGATTCTTGCATCGGGCTGGTTTCCACCTGGCTTCCTGAGAGCTAGTTTGTGATTCGCTGCGCGTTCCTCATTATTGAGCCACCGAGCCTCCGCCGGCAGAACGTCAGCGGGAGTCTCTTTGTTCAAGCACTTGATGGCCTGCTGCAGCAACCTGTCGGAGTTGTTGAGTTCCCAACCCTGATTCCTACAGAACTACATGACCGACTTTGTGTCTTGACGCAGCTTGGGATGTAGGTTGGCGGCAAGCGCACCAACCATGAAAACAACAGGCACGGCTCTGCTGACTGCTCTGTCTCACAGAGGAATGAGCTCGTCGCGGCCACGTTGGTCGCCCCAAAGGACAAACAGGGCATGGATGAACCCATATCAATAGGGCGATCTGCTCCAACATCGCGAGCAAATTAGATCAAGAGCGAGGCGATCTTAGGGGGAAAATCATCTCAAACAATGCCCAGATTAGCTTCTCTGACGAGCTCTTAGTAGGGAATTGGGGAATATGCCTCGGCCGATCCATATGGAGCATTTACAATCAGGCAGCTTAAGATATATGGCGATCCTAAATTGCCAAACTCCCAACCAAGCACCACGAACTTCGCCACTCACTGAGTCGTAAATTCCTTTCCTAAGCATGGTGCTGGGACTGAGGCCCCCCACGAGGCTGCAGCCGCCCTGTTGCCTGACAGCTTGGCCTTCCATCAGAGTCTGCACACCATTGCCACGAAGAAACGAAAACAAAAAACTGTGAGAAAAAAACCCAAGAAAGTGGTACACAAGTGCACAAGTCAACCGCACCACGCCTGCACCAGCTCCGCGAACTTCTCCGCGTCTTGCTTGGCCACTGCGGCCTCCATGGCTCTTGAGCCGAAGGTTGGAGAGTTAAAAGCGCCTTGGCGGTTAGAAGGTTTAGGGATATCTAGGGCTCAGGGATGCTCAGGGGTTTTGGATCACGGATCACTTCGGGCAATGTAGGGGTGCCTGGGTAGGGGGGTTAGGGTTCACGAGGGTTTGGGGCTGGGCCTTCTGGGGATCTGCATGTGGGAGCCCCCCCTGGCCTTGAGCCGAAAAGGCGGCATTGAAGCTGGAGGATCGAGTCCATCACTCTCTACAGTTTATAGGGCTTAGGGTTAGGATTTAGGGTTTAGGGTTTAGGGTTTCGGGTTAGGGTTTGGGGCTCAAGGACGCTGGCAGGGAGGCCATCGAATGCCTTTGTTGCACCGGTCCCTTGGCGGGCTCTGGGCCATCCTTATTCAGACGCGCCCGGGCTCGTTAACAGGTTTCTGCACATGCACACGACTTGTGCGCTTTCATCGATGCTCCTGTTCCTGGGGCTTCATGACCCAAACCCCCTGAACTCCTCAACTGGCCCTAGCCTAAACCCTGAACTCCGAACCCTAAACCCTCAACCCTAAACCCCAAACCCTAAACCCTGAATCCCTAAGCTCTACAAACAAGAGCCGGAAAAGGCTCGGCAACATGAAGGCCAGGCGAATCTGCTTCGCAGTTCGATGCCCAGGTTGCTGCCCGCGACTCCGTCCGACAGATTCCTCGAATCCTCTTTCTTTACTGAAAACTACTAATCACTACTGGTCGCAATTCTTAATGACTTGTAGTCATTGTGAATAACTTCGAATAACTATTAGTAGATATTCGTAGTGATTAGTAGTCATTAGTAGTCATGAATATTTGGGGGGGGGGGGGGGGGCTTTCCCGTTCTCCTCGAGTTCATCGAGTCTCTCGGACGCGAGTGAAATGTACAGTTGGCACTCAGATCTGTCCAAGGCCCCGCGGAGTGGTGAGCTGGACGGGAGGCAGGAGCGATCGGCCTCAAGCTGTCAAACATCGAACACTCGAACACCTGTAAGGCTTCGGGGACCTTAGGGGGTTTGGAGACCTGGGTCCTGCTGACCATTGCTGCGCAATCTCTGCTTGCGCGAACAGCACTGATGGCCAGCGTTGCTACAGTGGCAGGTCCCGATCAGAAACTGAAAGAAGCTGCTGGAAGCAGATCTGGGGCTGCTGAAGCAGTGTGCCAGCACTTGTCCCAAAGAATTCTTACCCAATGAAACTCTTGAATAACTGCAAGCCGCCCATGCTGGCGGATTTCCCATGCGAGGACTGCTTCACCCGGTCCTTGCCAGAGTAGGAGGTCTTGCATGCTGGTTCTGCGGTCCCTCTGCTTGCACGACTTGGGGTCACAGGGGGCGCGTAAGCTCTCACACGCGCACACACACACACACAAGCCGAAGTGGTTCTGCTCACCTAGGAACCAGCAGCCAATCCTTCCAAGGCTTGCAGCATAGCAGGTGGTCATTTGATTGAGAGAGAAAAATTAAGAAAGCCGAAGTGAAGATTCAGAAGATGAGAGAAGACAGTGAGAGACGATCTGATCATCACAAACAACTGGTGCCCGATGCCTTGAGTGGCGGCCCAAGGCAGATGACCTGAGTCGAGCTGAGGTCTAATATGAGTCTATATGGCATCTATAGGGCCAAATATGGTCCCATAGGGCGCCGGCAAAGGTACCCTGATTTAAGGAATCTACCTCATGATTTTGTTGACTCTTGAGGGTGAGGATGTTGCGGCGAGCCAACTCGCAACTACCCCCAGGAAGATTTGGACCGCTGCATGCGGCGTTACCAGTACAAGTAGTCCTGATAAGCTAGCCGGGAGCTTTTCCTTTGTGAGAAGCCCCTGGTAGAGAAGCCTAGCTTTAATTTTCATGGTTCCGGCCAGACTGCCCCCGAGCCACCAGAAGCCTGGAAGCCGCAAAGCTGAGTTTTTAAGCCCCTCAACCCTACTTCCTCAACTAAGCAACGAACACTCGTTCGTCATTCATGCCCGCCCCCGCCGAACAGCCTCCTGATAAGACAGCCTGCAGGCTTGGGCCGACCCGTTTGAGTCAACGAGTCAAGAAGTATCTGGCACCGTCCAGTCGCGCAACTAAAGAACATACTGAAGACGAAGCACCTCTTTGAGTTGTCGTTCGTAGGAGCACACTCGCCTCCTCGGTGCCCTAAACCCCTGCACCTCTAACGCTTGCCAACCGTGTGTGGCACCTCTTGCACCCATGAACGAGTTCAACGTTGAGGCCCCCGGCCCCTGCTTGTCTGGAAGGCCTCTGCCCAGGAGTCCTGCACATTCAACGATGTTATTGGGGGGGAGGGAGGGGAAGGGGAGAGTGGAAAGTTTAAACCCTAAACCCTAAACCCTAAATCCCAAACCCCAAACCCTAAACTCTAAACCAACACTCTCAGTGGCTGAGGTCAGGGCTTCAGCGACTCGTAGGCGTTCATCCAAGGCCTTCCGAGAGTCAGGTGGAAGGTGGGGACTGTGAAGACCAGTGGGGTCCCGTTCCCGCGCAGAAAGGAGCCGTCCTCGCCGATGGCACTGGGTGGGCGCGGGCCAGCGGAAATCTGCGCAGAGACGGAGAGAGCGGTTGAGGACTTCGGGGCTGGGGTTTAGGTTAATGAGCTCCGGGCAGGACTCTTCGGCAGCTCTTTGGCTCCGTCCTCTTCACTGGCACACCACTCACTCCCCTAACGTCCAGCCTGTTCAGGGCATCCAGTTTTCGAGGCGAGGGTGCAGTGCGGGGAGTGCTCGATGTGTCCAGGACTCGGGACTCCTCTTTCCTTTCCAAGCAAGAAGGCTTCGCGGACAACTTCGTAAAATCATCCCTGAAGGGCCGCGGTTCTTGCAAATTGGTGTGCAAACATACACATGCCTTGTATCATCGGATTCCTACTAAACAGGCGGGATTTCTGGTTCTATCAACAAGCCCTCAACTCCACTTTGAGTGGAAAAACCGAGCCCCTACCTCGTCGACGGGGTCGAGGGAGCGCCTCCTGGATAGCCGTTCTCCTCCCGAGCCGCGCTGGCATCCTGGCATAGGCAAGGCACCCCAGCATCTAGAATACTGGCCATAGCCGCGCCTGTGTGAAGGTGAAGGCGGCATTGCAGAGCTTCGCCACCTGCTGAGCAACGCAAAACCGTGTCGTCTGGATCTGATCTACATAACAGGCCAACCTGGGATGCCACTTTCTGTTACAAAAAAGGCCCACCAGTACGAAAACAAAGCAATGGGGACCCCACAAACAGGGAACCCTAAAACTGCCTCTGCAGGGGCCACGGCGAAGGCCACCGAACACTTGCCCAGCAGGTCCTCGCTGCTTCGGTCCCACACTGAGATGGTGTAGGTGCCTTGGGCTTGAGAGAGCCCCTGTGCCACCAACAAAAGAGCCAGGGGGACTTTGACTGAGGGTTGCTTGATCTTCAAGTTACCCTGGGTTTGGCCAGAGGTGTCTTGCAACAATCAGAAGTATACCCTCTCTTTTCCTCTGTGGAGGATGGCTCGTCTTTCTGCAGCCTCACTGGGGGTGCGGCAGCCCGCTACGTGCTCCATCAATGGGCATCCCTTGATGATCCCAGTGCTCTCGTCGAAGGAGATGTGGGGCGGCAGGCCTGCAACCAGTCTTCCCCTAAACCCTAAACCCTGAACCCTAAACCCCTCAACCTTGGCGGGAAAGGCCTGGGGAGATGGAGTACCTCACGTTCTGCGGCAGTGCCTCACCTCAGCTGTACTCGCATTGGCCCTCTCTATGTGGCCTTCAAGGCTCAAAGTTCTCAAAATCCAGCGGATCTGCTTCCAAGTGGCGCGGACTTTGGTGACTTGCCTCCTCTCCGAAGACGCCTTAGCAAAAGGCAAAGTCCAGCAAAAGTTGTGCAGTGGCCTGCCATCTGCACGGTCAAGCTGCCCGAAGCTGTGGCCGAGTGAAGGATGGAGCGTCGGCGAAGCTTCCTTACCAGCAAGAAACTTACCGAACTACAGAATGCCAGAGACCCTCCTTGCCGAGCATCAAGTGTGCATAATTACGTGCTAGTGCATCCGGGAAACTTCTTGGCATGTGCGTGCGGTTGAAACTCCAGCTCTTCAAAGGCCGGCCAGAGCGGCAGCAATGTCGGGTAGGAAATCCTTGCCAGCTTCCGTTTCCCAACTAGGAAACTAGGAGGACACCGGTGGACCCGAAGGCATCTTGTCCGAAAGCTCACCGGACCTAAACTATCGGCACCAGGTGGACCTCGAGGCCCTGTGACCGTTTCCCAAACAAAGTTGGCCCTGGGGGGGGTGGGGGGGTTGCCAGTTTCGGCCCAGTGGCTCGACCTCGTTCCGTTGAAGCCGCTCGCTCCTGCACAGCTTAGGGTTGAGGGGCTTGGGGGCCAACATCCTTCATATCTGCAACCTGCTCTCAGAGCGAATGAAAACATCATCGGCCCTCTGGCAGCTCAAGGTTTGAGACTGTTACGAGGGTAGTAGCTAAGTAGCCCATCAGCGAGATGATGTTCTCGTACTTTGTGATACGACGCAGCAAAGAACTCTTCGGCTTAAAGTCGAGGCCTGCAAACTTCTCCACACCTCGCCCCCCAAGACTCCCTTCAACCCCAAAGCGGTGGTCCTCAGCCTCGTCCCGTGGCTCGGAGAGCCCTCTTCGATGTTTGCCGCGTGACTGACAGGGAGCATCCAAGCGGCTGTGAGGTTCCCTCTTGCTCGTCAACGACAGGCGGGGGGGGGGAATTGCAGCTGAGGGCTTAAGGGCCCCCTGCACATGATCGTGCCTGGACATGCGGCGAATGCTTCGGAACCTTCCCATTTGCGTGGAATTCGTGGGCTCAGAGCCATCCTCATGTTGCAGCGACTCGCGTAGCAGTGTACCCCTGCACATGGCTCTGCGAGATCTGCATGCAGGCACACACGCACACACATGCGCATGTTCCGTCAGCATAACAAACATAGACAGTCCGACGCTTTCCTACACCATACGTTGACGTCCGAGCAGCATCTTCGACATGTAAGTTCACCTGCGAAGCCCGACGTTGAATGCGGCTGGCACGCCTGGGGCAACCGGTGGGAATACGGGAGGGACAAGGAGGGACCCCATAAGGATTATTTTGTGCTACTTTTACTCAGGTAGACACAGGATATATATATATATATATACATATGCATATGCATATACATATACATATACATATACATATTATACATATACTCTGCACGCCTCTTGCACTCAAGTTCTCTCAGCTCCCAAGCTTGCACCCGCAAGAAGGATCAGGGTGCAGAGTAAGGTCCATCTTGTGGGGAGTGCAACATTTGGAGATTCCCATGTTTGCGGAGTCCTCCCAGCAAGGGCAGAGTTCCGCCGGCCAGTCACGGAGCCGCGCCTCTGCGCTTGTTCTCTTTTGGAGCTTGGGGATTGGGGTCTAGCAAGAGCTTCGGGACACATGGAAACCCCTCAAGTGCGAAATGCTCTGCACACCCGCAAGTATCCTGACCCTGCAAACCCAAACTGCTCGCCTGACGCCCAACGCTGCGACGGACTTGGCCAGGGCCGCAAACATGGAGGGCCGCTGCTTCTGCCTCCGGCCCGGCTGTTCAAGAGAGCTTAGAGGCTTGGCATGTTGAAGATAATGCCGTCCTGACTCAAAGACCTTCGGGGACTTGTGAGGCGTTTCGAGTGCGCGGGGTCTAAGCTTAAACCCGACACCTCAAATTCAAGGGAGTTCTGTCATCCTGCGGCAAGGAATGCTTGGACTTCCATTCCAGGTCAAGTCGCGATGGAGAGCTTGTCAAGGTGCCTCGGCGGGTGATGGTGAGCAAGGACAGCTATGGACAAACCCAAACACACCCCATATGCACTGAGCGCTGCATCGCCTTCGTGGCCAGTACCAATCTGGGGATGGCACTGGGACTTTTGGCAAGCTCATCCGACTTCCTTAGGTGGCATGCTTGAGGGTCACTTCGGCTTAGGGTGGTCTCGGGCTAGAGTTTAGGGTTTAGGGTTCACCTTGGAAAGAGCCTTGAGCAAATAAGAGTGTTCAACCCTGGGTCATGTAGGGAGCTTTCTACTTGCAGGTCGGACACTTCTTGTCATCATCATCATCTGTGAGACCACCTTCTTCGAGGCCCAGGTCGCTGCGCACTTGCCCAACCAAACCTGCCGGCGCCTGCGCCAAGTCCAAACAAGGTCCTAAAGTTGCTCGCGCTGGCAAAAAAACACGTCTTCGCCGTCACGACTGCCTGACTCACAATGGCTCGTGGGATCCCGCTGCCTCGTCCGAGGAATCCGAGAAGCCTTCTTCTTCAGCCAGGTGGTCAGCTGACTGCGCGTCGGCATGGGACCCATCCTCACCGCATCGGCGAGCAATACAGAAGCTGCCAGCGCCAACAACAAACGATTTTAAAACACAAAAAAACAAAAACAAAAAACACAAAGAACCTCCTCAACTTCCTGGCGCTTAGAGGGAAGTGTTCCCCCCTCCCCCCCACTCCCCCTGAAGCACCAGTCAGACCGGGACAAGAGTCGACGTCGCCGAGGCCGTCATGGGACTCCAGCCGGTCTGTCGGGTTTTCAGGGCTTTCGGGGACATGGCGGTCCCAACCCAGTGAAGGGCCCAAACCCATTGGGAGGACCTTGCTTTGGGAGGTACCGGATAAAACAAAATTTGGTACCTAAAGGGCACCAAAATCCGGAAGGTCCCCCGCTCCCTCAGATCGGAGCCTCGAGATCCCTCCTCCTCCTCCAGGCTGTCAGAGGCCTCCAAGGCAATGCAGATCACATCGAGGAAAGCATCGGGGTCCATGTCCTGAACACTTGGGGGGAGACCACTCCGCAGGTTCCGTGGGCCCTTCTTTGCAACCTTCTGTCTGTTAGTTTTCCTCTTCTTTCTGTTGGGGGGGGGAAGGGAAGGAAGGGGGGAAAGGGGAAAGAGTAGGGTTTAGGGTTCAGGGTTCAGGGTTCAGGGTTCAGGGTTCAGGGTTTAGGGTTTAGGGTTTAGGGTTTAGGGTTTAGGGTTTAGGGTTTAGGGTTTAGGGTTTAGGATTTAGGGTTTAGGGTTTAGGGTTTAGGGTTTAGGGTTTAGGGTTTAGGGCTTAGGATGAAGATTGCACATGAGGTTCCGCGGCATGCTCCATGTACTCGCTGGGCAGCTCCAGGATGCGCATCACGATCTGACGGCGGGGAGCTGTAGGGTTTAGGGTTTAGGGTTTAGGGTTTAGGGTTTAGGGTTTAGGGTTTAGGGTTTAGGGTTTAGGGTTTAGGGTTTAGGGTTTAGGGTTTAGGGTTTAGGGTTTAGGGTTTAGGGTTTAGGTTCAGGGTTTAGGGTTTCGGGTTTAGGGTTTAGGGTTTAGGGTTTAGGGTTTAGGGTTTGGGGTTTAGGGTTTAGGGTTTAGGGTTTAGTAGGGTCTAGGGTTTAGGGTTTAGGGTTTAGGGTTCAACTCTTACTTTCTAGAACCAACAGACAAGGAACACTGGGAGACCCGCATAAGGTCGGGGGGCAGATTGAGTTAGAGCGTGCCATTTGGGGGTTTCTGAAAATTAGGGGTACCTTTTGGGGCGTCCCTTATTATAAGGGAATGCTACTAAGTCCTACTATTTGGGGGTCTACTTTAGGGGTCCCCTTTGTATGGCAAACCTGAATAACGGTACTCCGGAAGCTCTCGCGGTCTCTCCAGCCTCGAATGCAGGAAGCCCGACATCGCTAGCCAGGACTTCCTGAGACAAGGAAGTCGGGATTGCGCTAGGCGGCTTAGGGCTTTTGGGCTTAGGGAATCTTTAGGGCTTAGGGTGTAGGGTTTTGGCTTAGGGTTTAGGATAGGGAATTTTAGGGTTTAGATAGGAATCCAATGGTGTTAGGGTTCAGGATTTAGAGCGAGGGCTTCCCTCTAAGTGGGATTCAACGTCCGAGGGTCACAGAAGTCCGCGAAGCCCTCGAGAAGCTCCTGGTCCTTGCGGGGCAAACACGGCTCTCCGCTTCGGGGCCTCCGTGGGTTGCTTTGGCGACCTCTGTAGGGTTTCGGGTTGAGGGTTTAGAGTTTAGGGTTTAGGGTTTAGGGTTTTGGGTTTAGGGTTTAGGGTTTAGGGTTTAGGGTTTAGAGCTCCGGGCCGACCCCGAGAAGCCTCAACCACGCCCTGTCTCCTGAAGAAGCTCAGCTGCCGCCAGCAGCGCCTCCATGCCCCTCTCACTGAGCACCTTGGGCACGGGTGGCTTCGGGGGCCGAGGGCCCCTGAGGACGGAGGCTGTTCAGGAAAACCCCCCGAGGCCCAAAACCCTAAATCCCATGGAGGCATCTCGGGCTTCAGAAATGCCGGGGGGTTACGTTCAAAGCCGACATGCCCAATTTCCCCCATTCCCCACCCACGCGAGCGAGACAAATGTCTTAATGAAAGCCTGCAGGTAGATCCACCATCCCTGATTTCTAACCCCCGACGCGGATATGTCTCGAGTGAGCCTCAACTTCTCTACCCCTTCGGAGGTCAGGGTGTGCAGGAATCAGGGGCTGACCCTAAAGCCTAAACCCTGGACCCTGAACCCTAAACCCTACACTGTAAACCCTAAACCCTAAACCCCAAACCCGAAACCCGAAACCCTAAACCCTAAACGCCCTAGACCCCAAACCCTAAACCCTGAACCCTGAACCCCGAACGCCCTAGACCCCAAACCCTAAACCCTAAACCCTGAACCCTAAACCCTAAACCCTAAACCCTATCCCCGAATCCCAAACCCGCCTCCAGAGCGGGGCCCTTGAGGATGCCTCCAATGAACTCCCAGGCCGCGTCGTCGCCGCCTCTTAGGGCTTTGGGGTTTCGGCTATGGGGTTTAGGGTCTAGGGTTTGGGGTTTAGGGTCTAGGGTTTGGGGTTTGGGGTTCAGGGTTTAGGGTTTAGGGTTTAGGGTCTAGGGTTGGGGTTTAGGATGGAGGGTTTAGGGTTCAGGGTTCAGGGTTTAGGTAGGGCTGGACTGAAAAACTTCCCCTGTTGTATCGTGCGAGGGCGGATTCCTTCTATTCAGGGTTTGTTGTTGTTGTTGCACCTTTACAAGGCAGACGCAAAGGTCAAGCGGGAAGCATGTTGTGGAAGTGCAAGTGATCACAGCGAGCAGTCCGCAAAGATTTCTGACCTCTATGTGTTCAGGCCCCTAGCTACAACCCACCCTAAGCTACAGCCCCTTGAACCCTGAGCACATGGCCAAAGCCCACAAGCTTCTAAGAACTCAGAGAGCCAGAGCGGCCACCCACCCACCCCCCCCCCCCGCCCAGCCTGAACGCCACAAGCCACACTCCACACGCCGAGCTCTAGATGGCGAAAGCCCGCAAATACCCCCCAAACTGAACCCTTAACAAGGCCCTTCAGGTTTCTGCCGGGGGCCCGGACGGAAGACACTGGGCGCTGCGGCCAGGTGTAGCACGGTGGAGGTGCAGAGTGCGGAAGGAACCTCCCAGCCTGGAGGTTGGGTGGGCACTTTGCTTCCCCGAACCCTAAACCCTAACCCCTAAACCGCGGAGGGGGAGGGGGGAAGAGGGCAAAGGAGCCACTCATGCCTTAGCCACGGCATCCTCCTGCAGGGGGAGTTTCGTGCGCAGCTGCTTCTGGCTCTAGGGATCAAGGCTTAAGGGTATACTGTATAGGGGTACTCGGGTGATCAAGGTCCACCCAACCCAAAACCTCAACCCACATGGGGCCTTTCGGGGCGAATGACCTTGGAAACAGACCCTAAACCCGGCCCGACGCCCTCCCGTCCAACAAGGCAAGGGTACCCTGCTCGCCGTGGGACCAATCGTCAGTCACTGAGACCTCGCGCTCTGCACTGCTGCGTCACTGGAAACGGAGCGCGCCGGGGTTTAGGGCCTGGGGTTTGCGTCAGCGCGTCCTTCACTGTGATCTGCTACAGACGAAGCACTTTGCGGGGCGCCTGGATAGCGAAGGAGTCCATGACTGACTCCATCGACTTCTGCGAAGCTCCCTCGTCCACCTCGGCACTGTAGAAATCTAGCTGCTCCAGCTTCAAGACTTTCATGTTGGTACCATGGCCACCGCCCTACTGCGTCTGCGGAGGCTAAGGCCGCTTCCAGCGCATGCCTCCAGGAAATAGTGCCGGTGCAGCCATCGAGGAGAAGACAGGCAGGCAGGTCTCCTAAAGCAACCCTCGACTCAAGGCTTTGATCCACCCTCTGACATGCTGACGACACTGCAATATGAAACAATAACACGAACAACAAGGTTAGAAACTTATCTGCCGGTCCTTGCACCACCTCGAAGTTGAGCTGCAAGTTCTCCAAGACGCTGCTAGCCTGCCCACCCGGAAATTTAAAGCCAAACCGTGAGATCCAAAAAGGACACCAGAGCAGCAACGCGCACTTGCTGCTGCAAACCCACTTAGGGTTCCAAGAAGAAACTCTGGCTTCCCGGAAGAAGCAACTTGACCGGGCCTCGTCCAGGAGGGTGGTCTCTTGCGGATCTTGCCCTGCGACGGTCTCGCGCAGCACCTGACGCGCTCATAGTGCATGATCCGAGCACGATTCTCTCTACAAAGAAGGGCTGCTAAAGTCTCATGAGCTGCCTCTTGAAACGAGGCTCACAAAGGGCCCCACCACTAGAGCATGATGAGGCTCAGACGAGGCGTGGGAAGAACTTGCCAGATGTCTCATCCAGACCGGGAAGGACACACATCCAACCCGGATACTGAAGATGCAGTGTGCCTTGTCTGCGCTCAGATGCGCTCAGTTTGCTGGTTGGAAGAAAGCGGGGATCTAGCCAGAGCTTGAGCATCCAGATGCGGACCAGGCACGTACCTTCTGCGCACGCGTGAACTCCTCGAGGACAAACGGCTTGCTCCAGACACTTTGATGGATAGCCTGCCTTCAAGCAACAACGGGTCTCACACAACTTGTAGGTCAAACCCTCAACTTCCTGCCTCCAAGACAACTGGAGACGAACCCGGATGCCAGCACCAGAAGTGCAGCTTTCTGGCAGCGGTATCAAACTCACACCTGAAGCTACGATTGGAAAGAAGCTTTTTTGTTTTCGGTGTATAGAAACACTCAGCATCATTTTGAACGCTCTGCTGCAAAGGTGTGGCGGTGTGATATGCCTGTCTCTCTGTGCAGCTAGGTGGCAGGTATCCCGCGTGGCAGCAGCGCAAGCCTGCGGGCAGTGGTGCTGCCACCCTGCTGTTTGCTAGCACTTTTCAAGCCGAAAACCAGCATCGATGCATACGCTGGATACGCTGGCACCTTGGCGACCAGCTGACTGGCTGTCGCTGTATCCTGTGACCAGCCGTGCACTTTTGTTCACTTGGGCCCGTAGGCGCTAGCGGCCCCTGTAAGGACAAGAACCGTCATCTTTGCTTCAGCTTTTGCGCGAAGCCTGAGCGTGTCTCTTTTCGGGCCTTGATACCATCCAGGCTCACGTAGTGCTTGCACAAAGGCTGAAGATCGATCGCAGGCTGCCAAACCAAGGGGGCCAGACCTGGCCAGCACAGAAAACACGCTTCATGGCTTCCATCTTCAAATGGCTCAAGGATCCTGAGACATGCCGTGCCTATGACGCTTTCTCCCTTGGTCTCGCCATCCTCAGAGTCCTCCAAGGGCGTCGCAGGTCCAAAACTCGGTTTTTGAAGATTGAACTGCAAGCTCTGACCCTTTTTCTTGCGCCTGTTTTGATTTTCTTCTGTGACCGTGAAAATACCCTGAAGGCCTACAACCCGAAATCCTGATGCCTTTTCAACCCCTACCGCACCCTAGCTAGCCAGTGTTTAAGCCAATCATCTCTGATTCCAAGCACGCACCTCCAGAGACGAGAGCGACTCCACACATGCCCAAAGCTGGCCTGGCGGGTACCATCTTTCTTGGTCGAAGACGATAGGGGCCAGGTGTGTGTCAAGTTGCAGGGGCGTCGGAACCGTGGGGCTTGGGGGGGGGGGGCCCTAGGGGGTCTCTGGGAAGTGAGAGACAGCGCCTCCGGAGGCTTGCGAAAGCCGTGGCCAGTTGAAGATCAGGCAGACCACGTTGTAGGATTGGCCTCTGGGCACTCTGCAAAGGGCTCCGAAGGCGCCAAGGGGGCTTTTCTGAGGCGACGGCCCACGACGTGCAGCGCGGTGGGAACGTTGGGCCTCGGCTGCTTCTGCTCTTTTCGCTCCAATGGTGGTAGAATCCGTGTGAATCGCGAAGCCGCACAATCTGCCCCAGCGGCAGCTGCCACGCAAAGATGTCCGAAGGTTCAGAATGGACCGGCTCATACTTGAAGACATCACTGGATGGGCCTCAGCTGAAGGACGGAAGAACCACGACGAACAGCAGGATCAACGAGATGGCAAAAGCATCGCAAGCATGAGAACGGCAAGAAGTAGTCCCTTACAAGGACGTAGTGAGGGCACTGAGCAAGCGGCGATCCGCGCAGAGCCTGAATCGGGCCTCCGTTGGGATCGGGCTCCTCGTCGCAGGCATCAGCTTACGGAGAGCACGTTTCTGGGCTCCCAGCATACAAGGGTGGGTTTAGGGTTTAGGGCGTGGGGTTCAGGGAGTTTTGGGCTACTCTCCCGGAGACCCTTAAGCCATCAGGCCATCAGGCGAGCGGCGTTTGGAGCAGGGATCGGCATTCTTGCTCGGCGTGCTCGAAATTGCACTCCTCCGGCTCCATGCTCTCCTAGCAGGGCGCACACTCACACTCACTACTCCCCTTTGTGGGCCCTCAACCACGGGTCCGGGTATGGGGGGGCCCTAAAGCCCGGAACCCCAAATCCTCATTGAAACCCCCAAACCCCGAACCCCAAACCCTCAACCACATCAGGGGGCTTCAGGGCCCGAAGCGTGTGAACAAACGGCACCCCGGGCCTGCTCCATCGGGACAAGGGCCTGGGATCTGCGACGCAATCCTCTACCACCCCCCCCCCCCTCCCCCCGCAACCACCCAAATTGAAAGTGACCCACATTGAAAGTGACTTAGCCCGGCTACGTATTCTGATTCGTTTGTCGGGGGGTTGCGTGTCGATTTAGGTTGACGGGCTTATCCCTGCACGACCAGGATCCTCTTCAGCGCTTATGGGCTCGCTTCTCAAACCCTCGAGCGCCGAAAAACTCCACAAGCCTAGACCCCACCCAAACAGACCTAAACCCTCCCTAAACCCGAAAAAGCCTAAACCCCAAACCCCAAACCCTAAACCCTAAACCCTAAACCCAATCTCCAAAAGCATTGCGATTCGAGCCGAAGGGCGGACATGAGGTCCGAGGAGCGATCCTGGGTGGTGCGAGGGCTTAGGACTTCGCGGTTTCGGGGTTTCAGGTTCGTGGCCGGCGCTTTGTTTTGCCATTTTTGCGGGCTCCAGGTGCAGCAACGCGCATCTCTGGAGGGAGTCAGGCGTCAGGCGTCAGAAGCTCCCTTCCCCATCCCCAACGCCATAAGCTGCCGAAGCCCCCCCTCACACTCATGCTGTATCCAACTCTCATTCTTGGCCCCAAGACCCAAAGACCAAAGACCCAATGTTTCAAACCCAACAAACCAAACACGAAAAAGGGCCCAGGGTCGGTATAGAGCATGGCAGTGGGTACCGACTCCCAGTTTCCCTCCTCGTCGCCTCCCTGGTGCCTTGGAAGTGGGGGCGCGTGGTCTATGAGAGGTGAAGCAAGCTGACGTCCGCCAAGATCCCGGCTGCTTCTCAAGCTTGTACTCCAAAGGGGGCATGCCATTGCTGAGGTCGCCCAGGTCCAGGTCGGGCTTCGGCCAAGAAAGGTGCAGGATCTCCTGATGCGGACGCAGTCGCCGGTTGGCACACTATGCGCATCTATGATGCTGCAACAATAAGAGCAGTCAAAGGGTCCGAGTGGGTCAGCCTCTTGCTCTTCAGGTCCTGGCCGGAGCAAGGCCATTGCTACTGCCTTTCAGAGGCTCCCTGATACCCAGAACCCTACACCTGCCAGGCCCTCGACTACCCAACCCCACGAAAGAACGAAACAACCCCTTTCAGGAACAATAAACTCGAAACTCGTTCAGCCCTGAAACCACGCGTTATCCCTTACAGGCTCTCTCAATCCTTTGCCGAGAGAACCTACATTCACCTTTAACTTTCACAGTAGCTGTATGCCCCAAACCCTAGCATGAGCATTCCAAACCCCAAACCAGCCTCCAGCAAGAAGAAGCCACGTCCAAGGAAGCCCGGCAGGGGCGGCGACTTGCCCTGAAGAGCTTGGGTGGACATCTGCAGGACCTGGCGGAGGGCTTTCGTAAGGGGTCGATTTGGGGCTAGAGTTTTGGGTTTGTTTGGGGTTTAGCGCTTAAACTTTTTCCGGGGGGGGGGGGGGGGGGCGGGGGTTTCAGGTTCAGGGTTCAGGGTTCAGGATGGTTCAGGGTTGAGGGTTTAGGGATGTTTAGAGGGCTGCAAGGCACCAGAAATCTGCCTCCGTGGGCTCCGAGGGAGCGCCGTGGGCGCTCGGGCCGAACCCCCGCACCCGGAAACGGAGCTCCTGGGACAGGGGCTTTGGATTGGAGAGGGCTTGGGGTTAGGCTTAGGTTTGAAGGTGTGGGGTCTGGCTTAGAAAAGCACGGCAGACGTCCGAAGCACCGTAGGGTTCAATGCTGGTTCCTCAAACCTGAAGGCCCCCCGGCCTCGAGCCCTTCCTCATACCCGAGGCTGGCTTTGATGGCGTCCGCGGCCGCGCCCCGCTCCACCATGGCTCTCACTAGGACGGTGGAGGTGTCTTCCACCTGCCATTGAAACATTCGAGGGTTTCGGGGTGCGTGCTTTGGGTGATGGCAATGGTGAAAGGCGAAAAGCAAAGTTGCTACACCCCTGGAGGGCCAGATGTGACCCAGTGTCCGCAAATGCAACCAGGCTTCCTGCTTGCAGCAGTGGTATTGCACCAAAGCGATTGCAGCTTTGGTGCCCCATCCCACCAGCCTTGAAGCCCAAACCCTAAGCCCTTGACGATGTGGCAACTTGGGGGCGGGTGCCTGCTCCGGCATGGTGCAGAAGCTGCGCACGCCAGCCCAGTCCGAAAACTCGTCACTTGCGCGCTTCCTGCCTTGCGCCTGGGGTAGGCTAGGGTGGCCATGCATGTGGGTCCCCTCATACTGCCTTCTACATTCTGACGACAGCTTTCCCTATAACAAGGCGGACACTTGCAGCACCTCCCATGTGGCCTGATGTGCTTGGGAGGGGGAAAGGGTTGCAGAATCTTGAAAAGACTTAAGCACTTAAGCACCTGAACTTCGAATCCGATAGCTCGTGGAAGTTGGGCCGGCATCTCTCCATCCGTGGCCACATGGAACTCGAAGGTGTAGGAGCAGGCATTGTGCCTGAAGGGCAGACATCTCACTGTCAACACCATCACACCCGCGACTCTGAAAATCGACTTGTGACCCACCTGACTTCTGGCTTCCCGATGTGGAGTAGCACCTCTTGGCCATCATCCCGCTCTTGCCAGGCAGTCGGTGTTGACCAGTTGCCACCTGCAAGGTGGGGTTAGCAGGGACGTGACTTCCACCGAACGGGGAGCATCCAAATGGTGCAACTTGAGTTGTAGGATGGGGGGCTTTTTGGTTCTTAGGTCTTGGACGTCCTCCCCTGTGCCATCCATCCCCATGAAGGCCATGGTAAGAGTAGTGCCTGCAGCGCGGACGCGCAGCCGCCAAGCCTCCTCCGGCATGACGTCGTCATCCATCAGTGTAACGGCTGCCTTGAGGGAAGTCTTGAGGACTCTTTGCAAAGAGTCGGAGAGCTGTCATATTCCACTTGAGGCTCGAACATTTTCCATGCTACGACGACTCCCATCTCCCACCGGACCAAAGCCGAGATGCGGTGACTGTGGTAACGTGGCCCCCTTCCGCCCCGCCATCGTCCTGCCTCCTGAACTGCTTGCAAGAACTCGAGGGTGAGCGGCTTAGTTAGGGCCCCTACAAAGTGTATCATCCTTGCAACCTCGAACATCCTCGAACCACCCCCCATCCCCCCCCCCCACCCCCCACAACAACAAAAAGCACAAAACCCGCGTGAACCTCCATGTGCAGAGTTGTGGAGATTTGAGGAGGATTTTCAGGGGTTTTGGGTACGGTAAGTGCCCCCTCCCCCCCGGCACGCTGCGGCCACAGGCAAGGTCCGCCCCATCTGCCTCGCACTCGGTTCCAGCCAGCCAGGATGCGTTCTGCTTGTCCATGTCGTGCTCACGATCTTCTCCGGCGGGCTTGCTGCCCACTTCTGCGTGGCGATCTCTCGCCTGCCTGTTGGCAGCCTTGGAGTTGCACATCAGTAGCAGGCCTGTTTGCACGCGTGGAGCCGGTACTAACAAGGACCCGATCGACGACCATCGCCTGACGGCTCTCATCAGCTCGCACGTGGCCAGGGTCCGCGACCAGCTGATTAGACAATGGCAGGAGCCACGCTCATTCCCCACATGCATCGAAGACCAGGTCATCCATTTGCGATGGATGCTCATGCGTTCGCGACAGGTTAAAGCCCCCCCGCCCCGCCCCCCAGACCCTTGTTTCGGCCCACCAGCTTCGGCCTCTGCGACGTTTCGGGTCGTTGTTTTGCTGCCCTTGTTTCTAATGACTGTGCGCAGGTCTCAAGATCTTGATTGTAGTCCTATTGGCTGCCGAGCATAGCGCTCGGTTCCTCGGGATCTCGTACTCCCCTTTACCACGGAAAGGGTTTAGGGGGGTTGGGGTTTCGGTGAGCCCTAAGGTTAGCAGAAGCCCGTTGAGGCGTTCAAAGGAGTGTAAACCCTGTCGCCTCGGAAGGAAAAGACCTCGCACCGGCATCCAATCATCCTCCTGGCAGGTGGCGAGGTCTAGGTGACCGGGTTTAGAAAAACGCTGGAAGCCCTAACCCAAATTTTTAGGGTGTAGGTCCCAGGGGTAGTTAGGGCCGTATCATTCTCGGAAATCCGCTCCTGTGTTTCCGCCTCTGTCCGGAAGCAGACTTCTGCCTCGTACACCACATCAGAAGGCAGCTTGCCTCTTTGCTCCCAGGAAACCTCCGGCCAGCAATCTCTCATCTCTCCCTATGTGCCCCTGCTGTCAGAATCGCTTAACGCTTCCCCGCCTCCCAGAGCTTCCTGTTGCCGGTGCGTATGCTCAGCTGCTTCGGCCGCTTCGGAGCCCCTTTGGAGATGTGCCTCATCCATAAAAGGAACTGAGGCATTCAGAGGGCACAGAGGGGCCCTTGGCGAAGGAAGATCTGCAACACGAAGCCGTGAGACACGGCTTGGCATCCAAAGTTGTTACAGGACAATACTTCTAGAAGTGCTCCGAGAACACTCAAAGCGAGGCAGCGCACAACACGTCAGGCCCAACCAACACAGGCCCAAGAGCCCCAAAACGTGGGCAACGGGGCCTCAGGGCTTCGCCACCCCGGATTGCATCGGCCAGCTGCACAACCCCAGCCTGGCGTAACTGTTCCGGGTTTAGGGCCCTCAGCCTTTGGAACTCGAGAAACTTGGCTCGCTTAGTGTTCGGGATGATTTAGGGTGCTTACCTTGACCAGGCTTTCAGGCAGCGTTGGCACGCGAACTTCGTTCAGGATCTGACACTTACCGTTCGTAAGCCTTCTGGCGGCGGATGTTGGACCCTACTTCGTGGAGGTCACACGTATGCCGGCTTCAAGATGAAGATCGTGCGACTGTTTGAGGGGTCCGCCTCAAAGCAAGCTTCCGGTCGCCGTACAGCTTTGCTACACATGAAAGGTGCCGTTGGAAGAACAAGAGCTCTATTCCGGGCCAGCGGAAAGGCCTTTCTCATCGTCTTACCCTGAGCCCGAAACCCTAGACCCTAAACCCCAAACCCTAAACCCCAAACTCTAAACCCCTAAACCCCTGACCTAAGGACCAACCCTCAGGTGTTGGTTTCCGGGGGCCTCCGGGGAGGCGTCGCTTAGGCGGCCGTCGTTGCCCTGGCTCCGCACACGCAGCCAGCAACGGGGCGTCCCTGCCGGACGTAGAGCTTAGGGCCCAGGGTTGAGGGTTTCAGGTCTAGGGCTTGGGGGTCAGGATGCCGGAGCTAGGTTTATGAGCTGTTTGGGGATCAGAGTTGCGGGTTGTAGGGTGAGAGGACGGCTTGGGGCTTCAGGCGGTTTTGCGGTCTGAGACCGCCCCAGGGCCTCAAGAGCTGCTTGTTGGATCGCAGTGCCAACTTCCTCAAAATTCCGCTCTGAGCCCTCCTTCAACCCCCCCAAAAACATCCCTGAACTCGAAAGCCCTAAGGTCAGGCCTTCGGCTTCTTCCGGCAGCTGCAGGTAAACGAAGCCTCCGCAGAACTCGATACAACAGGCGGGCCGTTTGGGCAGTCTAGGGTAGCACAAGGGCCCAAAAACACGTTTGGATGAACCCCCGTATTAAGGGGCCAAGGGCGCAGGGCCCAGGATTCCGCGTCTGCGTTTGGGTGTTTCAGGAGCTCGGGGTCTCCCCAAGGTTAGGAGGAGCTAAGGCAGCAACACGACACAACCGCAAAAACAATAAATTCCGAAACCCCACCCGCCATCGCGCTTCTGCCCGATGCTTGACTGCCACGGGTTGCCATGCATGCGATGCTCAAACACTCAAAACACCCCTTAAACGCTAAACCCCAAACCCCAAACCAAAACCCTCAACCCTAAGACCCCAAGAGATGCACAGTCGAACGTCATGGCGTGGGAGAGCCGACCCTCTTCCTGCCGCCACGGTGCCAAGGTTCACGAGCCCCGTCGGGCTGTTCGGATTCTCCACCTACGAAGCAAAGTTTTTGAATTGAACTTCTGTAAGTCTTAAGCCCATGTCCGCTTTCGCGCTTCAAGGAAACCGTAACATCCTTGACCCTCAACCCTGAAAGCCTTCAAAGGACTTTCTCGCACCTGCGTCACCGCAGTTGGGGCGGTCAGAGTTTTCCAGTCGGAACGGCTTTGGCTCGGGTCCGCCAGCTCCCAGGAGGTCTGGCATTTGGGTGTCAAGACCATTCGGAGTTTAAGGCCGAAGGCTTTAGATCGCGTCTAGGGTTTTGCTAACATGCTTCAGTTCAACGCGTCCTGCAGTGCACGGGGTTTGGGGGCTGAAGTGCTTGAGCGTTTTGGTTGACGGCTCAAGCTCTAGGGATTCGGGGTCCATAGTGGGGTTGAACCACTGGAAAAAAGCTTGCATGCTCACAACGTGCAAACTGGCCCCAGTTCCACAGAAGCCTTGAACTGAGAGCCTCTTCTGCAAACACGAATCTTGTGATGCTAGAAGGCTTCTTCCTACAGTTTGGATTGGAGCCTCTGCTGGTTTCCGAGGTCTTGAGTAAGAGTCGCCCCATCATGCCAACCCAATGGACATCCCAAGTTCTGCACCTGTACTTGCTTCAGTGTCACAATTCAAGCTGGCCTCGAAGACATAGCTGATGCCCTTGAGGCTGGAATCCTGGGACAGAAGCACTTCAGATCGCCGGCTTGGGCTCGCGGGATAAGGCGAAGAGGTGTTTGTTCGAGCACTTGGTCTTATGTGGCTCGAGGGCAGAAGGGGCCTCCTGCGCCCACTGCGGGCAACATCCACCCGACAAACGCAGCCGCTCGATTTCGTGTTTCTTGCGCAGACGGGCGTGGGGGAGGGCGCATCCCGCAGCACGTGTGCACATAGGCTGCAGCTTTGCAGTACTTGGCCATCGACTCTGACGCCCCGCACCAGTGACAGCCGGAACGATAAGCACGCAGCAATAAACGTTGAACATTGCCCCTGGGCAAAAATGTTGTGGTGGCTGCCCCAAGTGGTGCGTCCTTCTCCGCTGGCCAGGACACTTCGGCCAGAGGCAGCTTACCTTTCCAGCTTTGCAATATGAACAGGAATGAAGAGGTAAGAACAAGTCTGAACAAGTAAAGGAGCCTTTACTCCGCAAGTGCCGTCCCAGACGCTTCCCGGCGCCATCAAGGTCCTCACCAGCTCCAGCGTCTGCGGAACCGAATTCCCGGAAACGCCGCTGATCCGCAGCGTCGCGCGCACACCTCCAGCCAGATCTGCACGAGATATCAACCGACATTGGCGGTTTTTGCAAGACTTGCATCCCTTTTGCAGGCAGGAGGCTGTTTTCAGCCTTTCTGGAAGAAAGCTTGACCACTCGCAGCGTCAGGGGCTCCGAAGCCGGGAACTGATCCAAGCCTGACACCAAGACTTCGCCATAGACCTGGCAATTCACGAACAATGCAATATAAGCAATTATAAGCAATGATGTGCAATTATGAGGAAGAACTCTCGGACCTGAACTCGGCCCACCAACCCACAGAGCTGCGCCTGGTCATTACTCGTTTCCGTCCGGTGGTACATGGGAAGGATGCTCCAATGGACGTGAAAGGGCAACTTCTCCTCTAGGCAAGAGCCAGTACACATCTGTACGTATCTGTACATAGTCCTACACAGCGGTACACCCAGTCCTCTCGCGCTTCGATCTGGTACTTGGCGTCAGGACCTTGAGAGAGCCCATGCCACACGGCACAGGTCTTAGGGTTGGGATCTACGATTCCTGCTTCTCCAGGGCAGATCGTTGCAGAGGTGCCTGCTAAGTGGCAACTGCTATACTTGCTCAAGCCCTTTGTAGATACTAAGCTTTGGTAGCAAATGCTGCGCCAAGCCACAATCCTCGATCCATCGCAAGCGGCAGTGCGTGCGCAGGCCTGTGTTGCAAGGCACGCCGTTCGACAACACAGCTGACTGGACCTAGTTGTAGTTCCCCCACCCCCCAAGACCAACACGCATGCGCCCCGTCTAGAGTAGACAACAACAACGAAGCTGAGAAACCGGGCAAATCACATAAGCCATGCCCAGCCAGACCGAACACGTCAACAAAAAAACTGGAAGCAAGGATGTGCCCGAGCTGCCTCTTCACGAACGAAGGTACGGAACTGCGTACGTCGTTATGCGGTCATTCACAAGGCTTGATACCAGGAGAGAAGGAAAAGGCCCACAAACGGAAACGGGCAAGGATAACTTGAGCTGACTCTGCTCTCCGAAGGCCCGCTGGCCTCTCTTGCCAATCTCCTTCGGCTTGCCCTCGCCCTGGACACGACGCAAAGGGACAAGACCGTGCTTTGCACGTTCTGTTCCGCACCCGCCTTAAACCCCCGCCCCTAAAAGCTCCCCAACCCCTTGGGGGTTCAACATGAGGATCCCCTGAAGTCGGTACCCTTGAAGATTGAACCACTTGTCTTTAAGAACAGGACACCCCCCGACTCGGTCCCTCATGCAAGCGAAGCCTCCCTGTATGCTGGAAACCCTAAATCCTAAACCCTAAACCCCCTACACCCTGAGGTGAAAGCCGGGGGAGCACCTCCGGCAGCAGCGGCGCCGGCACCATGGAGAACACGTCCAGGGACTTAGGGGGTCGGCTACTCCAAGGCCCCAATCAAGCTCGGGGATCTGGGTTCCCAAGCTTTTAAAGCATCAGCCGGGTAAGTAGGGCCTTAGTCCCTAAACCCCCTAAACTCGAAAGCCCGACCACCACCCTAAACCCTTACCCACCATAGCACGCGTGGCTACGACCGAAAGCCTCGCAACTCCAGGAAATTCGTCGTACAAGAAACCTTGAACTTGAGCCGTAAACCCGGAGCCCGAACCCCGATGTTCTTGCGCTTTGCTGCCACGTCACGGTAACCTGAAGCTCCGGGTGGGCATCATCATCCTGGCGTTTGCTTGGGCTTGCAAAGCAGTTTCCGGGCTTTCACTGGTTCTTAGGGGTTCGGGTTTAGGGGGCGAGCGACTTCAGTTTAAGGAAGGAGGGGATTTGGGTGAATGAGGCTTCGAGCTGGCTGGGAGGGAACAGGGAAGGATGAGCTTTGCCAGGGCTGAGGGCGCTGCATCGTTTTGCTTGCTGCTGTTGCGACTGCCGCTTTCTTGCGACTCCGGCTCCACCACACCTTAACTCTGCACCCAAAGTCCTCCTCCCAGAATCCTCCCAACCCTACACCTCGAGATTCAAACCTCCCCCTTAACACCCCTCTACAACCCCAAAGCACCTCCAGAAACGTTCACAAACCCTCCTCCTCTTCTTTGGTTCGCAGCGTGAGCACACCCGAAGGCTTGCTCCAGGCCGATAGCCCGGCTGCGTTGGCCCGCCGGACGCGGAACCTGAAAAATAGGGCGCAGGGTTTAGGGTTTAGGCCTTAGGCACTTTATGCTGTAGGGCTGAGAGGCTTAGAGGTTTGCTTCAGGGATTCGGGCCTTGCGCTACCTAGGCCCTACACTACACCCAAGTCCCGGAATGTGTAAGCTTTGACCAGGTCTGGGGGCTGCAGGTGTGGAAGCGCCAAGTAGCTCCACTCCATTTCGCTCGGGAAGAACTGGCTTGAGACCTTCTGGATTCTAGGATGGTTCAGGGTTTCGGGTTTAGCTGCTGGGCTGAGGGTTGGGTGCAGATTGGGCACGATCAATCATAAGCCTCTCAGCCCGGGACCCATCAACAGGCATGAGGATACGAGGCTATTGAGCTGCTCGTCCCACTTGTGCTCGTGGCTGAAGAAGAGCTTGCTGTCATCTATCCTAGCGGCAAGGAGGGTGCCCGCACTCTGCGGAGTTTCATGCCTTGCGATTGCTGGCCTGTTCCATTCCTCCACCCCTGCTTTTCGGTACTCAACCTCGTGGTGAGGCCTCGTCAAGGAGTTGTCTAACTCTGCCTGTCTAGCTCCGACCGCAACGCACTTCATCTTGCGCCGCTCCGCATACGAAACGGTGTTAGCTGTTGGTGGCCTGCCGGATGCCGCACCATCAGGGACACGCAGCAGAATCTCCAGTATCTCCTGGGAGTTTTCCGCTTCGGAAGGTAGGAGAAGCTGCGATGCCAATCACTTGTAGTTGCTTCACCGAGATGCCATCTGGCCCGTATCAGGAAGGAGCCGCACATCTGGTCTGCCTGGGGAGCTACCAAAACTCCCGAAACCCTAAACTATCCTAAACTGCTCAAACCCTTGACAACTTGAGAAGGTTTCTCCCACCTGGGTCTGGCGGTAGTGGGCCGACGGGCGTTGTCTGTGCGGCGCAAAGCTCGCTGCGAGCTCCGTGGACTTCCTTGATCTCAGAAGTCGCCTGGTCGGTCACCTCGATGTTTCAGAGTCCGTGCTTGCTCCACATCAGGGTTCATCCCCCTTTTTGTGTTACGTGCTTCGAGCTGATATCAGGGATCAACATTAGCGGATTGAGCAGCTTCAAGGCAAGTCAAGGCTCTGACTCCTGACTACGTTGACGACCCAAACTCCAAAGACTCAACAGCCTGGTACACGCACTGCGTGGCGAAGCGGTACGGTACGCCGCCTCGGATCGCTCGCAACTGGGTTTCCCCCCAATTCACCCAAAACAGACCCGGCCTCGCCAAGGCCCCTCTGTTGTTCCCAAGGACTGAACAACAACGATTCATTCCCGGCCGAGGTGCAGCGCAGGTTCTGGACATTCACAGTCTGGATGCTTTCTTTCAGCGTGGCGGAGCCCTGCGCATTCTCAGCATCTACGGACCAGAAGTGCAGAAGCTCTGCTGCCCCTCTTTCATGTCGTGTGCTCATCTCATGCTCTCTGCATCTCTCGTCTTGCTGCCACCTCTGCACAAGCCTCGACAACTTCTCGTCTCGCGGGTGGGTCCGGCTCCTCAGCAAAAGACACCACATGCGCGGATCAACGAATCCGGCCTGCAGCGACCAGCACAGGATCCCAAACTAAGAAGCACAAAGGGCGTCTGTTTTGGTGCGAGCAGCTATGTGCAGGATGTACTTCTGAATGGGAGGGCAGTAGATCGCCGCCAGAGGCGGCTTCACCCCCACGGAGACACTGCAGCTCGTGTCCCCGATTTGCATGAAAGCCTTCTCCTCAGTCCGCAGAGTTCTGCAGAGATCTCGAGCCGTGCAATCCAAGGTTCCAAGGCTTGGCTTTGCCATCTTATGGCTGGGATGCACGTGACCGCGTCTGCCCTCTGAGGTAAGGCTTAGAAAGGTTTTGAGCTCCCACTCTCATCCGAGAGGGCGTCCACCACCGGCTCTGGCGGCTGCGGCGGCTGCAGAACGAAGCTGACAGAAGACCCCACCTGGCAAGTCTGGTTGGGGGCTTCGTCAGGGTTTACTGCGGAAAGCTTAAGGGTTCTAGGGCGCTGCTCTTCGCAGTAGCCATGGCCTGCTTGAGGGGCACACGCTGATGCTCCGAACGCAGGAGGCGCACGTCATAGGCCTCGCATTTACAGACACCTGGAAACGTGTGTCTTCAGCATTGCGTTCTGTCGCCGAGTTGCTCGATGGCCGCTCACGTTCCATGGTGCTGTCAGCCACACCACACAATCTCTCATAGAAGCAGATCCTGTACGGACAGAGGGCTGGCTGGCAAATGCAGCAGGATGCATACAATCATACAGTCCAGCAAGGTTTTTGCTGTATTCTGTCATCTTCAAACGTCCCTGTTGACTCCAGGCTCCTGCTGGAAGAGGATGCGGGATACCTGGCAAACCCCACAGCGTGCCCCTTTGAAAGCCGCGTGGCAGGGCAGATGACGGCAAATCTCTGAAGAGCCCTCTGCCAAGAGCCCGCTGCCAAGCCACATCCGATCTGCGCAAAGCTCTTCACCTTCTGGCCGTCCAGCTGCCAGAACCCATTCTTGCCATCCTGTCCAAGGCTAGGTATCCAGATCTTCGAGGCTTCATGGTGTGGGTTTCTGATACTGCTGGCTACCTGATGCTGCCTCACCAGCTCACCGGCGGCTGGCGCATGGACTCTTTCGACGAGGAGTACGGTCCCAACCCAATCTGCTTGGGGCGTTGCTTGATAATTTGTGTGCGTGTGGCGTGTGGCGTGTGGCGTGTGGCGTGTGGCGTGTGGCGTGTGGCGTGTGGCGTGTGGCGTGTGGCGTGTGGCGTGTGGCGTGTGGCGTGTGGCGTGTGGCGTGTGGCGTGTGGCGTGTGGCGTGTGGCGTGTGGCGTGTGGCGTGTGGCGTGTGGCGTGTGGCGTGTGGCGTGTGGCGTGTGGCGTGTGGCGTGTGGCGTGTGGCGTGTGGCGTGTGGCGTGTGGCGTGTGGCGTGCGAGCGTATTTTCCTTTTTGCAAATGTCTCATTGTTGTTGCCTCTTTGCCTCGCTTTTCCCGCGCCTCGCACCAAAGCAGCCGGGAAGGCACCACGGCCAGGACCGGGCTTTTGCCAGAAAGCGGCGTCAGCTCGCTGCCCAGCCGCACCTCAGCAAAAAGGCAGTCTCCCAAGCTCTCCGAGACCCACCGTAAGGTTCCCCTCCATAATGTTTCGGGTTCATCTCAAATACACTTGACAGCCTGGTCCACAGACGTGCCCTGAGATGCAGCAGAGCAAGGCACGCGGCATACGATCCGGTCGCCGCCCTGATAGTTTCGACGGTCGATCGCCAACACGTCGGAGATGTTGCAAAGCGAATTCAAAATAGAGTTCACCTGGGCACTGGCCAAGGCAACTGGCAGCCGCATCACAGTGTAATCACATATACGTTGCAATGGGAGACTTTCTGCGGAGAAGATGCGGTCACACATTGGTCAGGCCGCTCCTTTGCTAAGCCAGACACTGCCAGACTCTAAAGTAGCTCAGCGCCATCGTACCAGCACTTGCACAAGTGCATCCGGCGATTAGTGCTCGCACATCCTCCTAGCTTACTGCCGAGAAGCTAACGCCTCATAGGCAATTCGAAGTTCTGCCGCAGTGCATTTTGCTGGCAGGATCCCACCCAGCGAAGACAGACCTGCTGACCTCAGTGACATGGTTACAGCTAGCAAGCATCGATGCTCGCCTTTTGCACGACTTCACAACTGTGATGCGCTCAGCTTGTTCCGCCCTGCGAAACTGGAGGGCATAACAGTTTCACGCTCTTCCATCGAAAGTTGCCATGAAACCCGGCAACTCCGCGATCCTCTTGAACTAACCACTGCAGCCGCAAAGCTTTGCACCGGGCGGTTTCATCGACACGGCAGCGCCTCAATGTGCCATCTCAGGTCCACAGCTTAGGGATGCTTAGGGGGATGTTTAGGCTTAGGAATTGCATCAACAAAAGGCGAAGCCCATGTAGTTTAAGAGGAAAAACAAGACGCATGGAACGAACGGAATGGAGCTCACCTCAACTCTCACTAGTCTATGTATATACATATATACATATACATTTACCTATACCTATACATATACACATACATATACATACACATACACATGCACATACACATACACATATACATATACATATACTACACATATACATGTATGTGTGTGTATGTGTGTGTAAACACCTCTATTTGTACACATGCTTGGTTTTAAACGAACGCACGTGATCAGTTTTGCGCTCGCTCCTATCTTCGCAAAGTCTAGCATGAGCAAGAGAAGCAATGCACCCATCAAACCTGTGCAAGCAAAGAACTAACCCTAAATTCCAAAACCCCTACACCCCTAAATCCCTAAGCCCCTAGACCCCTTACACCCCTAAACCCCTACCCCTAAACCCCTAAACCCTAAATCCCTAAGCCCCTAAGCCCCTAAACTCCAGAATTCAGATGCCCAACCTAAACCCCTAAACCCTAAACCCTAAACCCCAAACCCCAAACCCTAAACCCCTAAACCCCTGAACCCGTACGAATTTCAGACCGGGCAGCTCTGCCGCTTTGCGGCAGGCGAGGCTTTCGCCTTCCTTTGCTCTGGGGCAGCTTCGGTGTGGAAAACTAGAGGAGACTGAGAGGAGACGAGAGACCCTTTTTGAGGCCCTTTTAAGGGTTTAGGGTTTAGGGTTTAGGGTTTAGGGTTTAGAGTTTAGAGTTCAGGGTTTCGGTTTAGGGTTTGGGGGGGTTACCCCACTAAACCCTACATCGTGAACTCCAATTGCATGAAGCCACGCTTTGGGCAGCGCCCGCATCAGGCTGGGTCGATCGCTGTCCTTGACCACATAGCGCTGAAATTCCTCAGATCACTGGCTGGATTGAAAGTCTGCGACCACGATTCCAACTCTGAGGTACTATGCTTGGGTCCTCTTTTCACGTCTTCCTTGCGTAGCTCTGGTGCAGCAAAGAGTCTTCAAACGATAAGGGTCGGTCACGCTCGCCCGGTGGCCTCAAACTGGTCTGTGCTTGTACAGTGGCAAAGCTACAAGGAGTCCTCTGGACGTAGCTCCGAAAAAGCAGCCAAGGTGCAGCTCTCCTATGAGCTCTTCAAGATTTTTCTCAATCGGCTTGCACAAGAAGACGACAATGGCCTGACATCAGGCGCACAGGAAGCCGGATCAAGTAGCACGAGCTACCGCTGCTGTGCTCTAGGTGCAAGGCGAACTCTTCCAGAGAGAAGCCAGTACCTGCAGACGCAGCACGATACCGACGATACCCCCCTAGCCCTGGAGCCTGCTCAGGCGATGCTGCCTGACAGCAAACCCTAAAACTCTACCAACGTGTTGTCTTGACACAGCTTTGAAGCTGAGAAAGTGTGACGGGACGTCCCGACACCCACCCAGGGCACCATCCTCAGGCAGCTTGATTCTATTCCGGTCGGCAGCGCCCTGGCTTCGGGATACTTGGCTTTGGGGGTTTTTGGGGTCTGGGGGGGGTGTTGGAGTTCAAATTCCCTGGGCTGAGGGCTTTAGGCCTGGATGGTCTTAGGATTTTTGGGTTCTGGAGTCTGTTGAGTCTTCATTCAACATGCTCATGGTCGGAGTTTGGTTTGGTCCAGAGAGCGCAGAACGAAAGCCCCCGCAGCCGCAACATTGGTAGCTCCCGAAACTACACCCTAAACAACCTAAATCAGCTTTAACAAAAGCTTCGAACGTTGAGAGGTGGGGATTCTGCATGGGGCCCCTAACAAGTATGTGGAAGCTGAGCCTCGGGGGGTTTGCAGTGGCTCCCTTGCTCACTTGCTGGAGGTCTGTTGGACGGCTAAAGCATACTTTTGAATCTTCCGGCTGTGGATTTAGGCTTACGGTTTGGGTGCAGCTAAGGTGCAGAAATGTGAAGGAATCAGTCCTACTGAAAGCCCCTGACTGTTGGTGGAGACTTCATAACCATCCGGAAATCCAACCAACCGCACCACGCGGAGGGATGGCAACGCACCAACACATTCTCATCCCACAGGCGCCATCATGCTGGGCACCTCGACTCTCATTTCCAAGCACAGAACCCTGCAGAGCACCCGCCTGCTCGGGCAATGTCACGGCTGCCAGGAACTCGGCCACCTGCGCCTTGCTCACTTCCAGGAGTTCTGAGATCTTCTCAGCCTGCGACAGAAGGGTTGCAAGTCGCCATATGCCCCCTGCTTTGAAACCTCTCCTCCGCAAGTTGCCGCGGGAGAGGCGTGGATCTGCAAAAGCTGATGTTGCTGTCGCAAAGGGGTACCGCAAATATATATATATATATATATATAACTATATATAATTCTATATATATATATATATATAATTATAAAGAAAATTATATATATATATATATATAGAGTCATGCTTTGTGCGTGCCTGGGTTTGCCCGGCGGATCCAGTGGCGATTTCGGCCTCGTCGCCATCCTCCGGCGGAGACCTGTCAACATGGAGTTTTCCAAATGTTCATCGATGTTTTTGGGGACCTGTCTAAGGAGTAGAAAAACTTCTGACATAGAACGACCCCTCAGAACCTCACATGAGCCTTCGCAAAAAAACAAACACTGCGGTACCATGCCAATGGTACTTACGTGGAACATAGTTCGAACTGCTCACCGTGCGCGGCCTCCTCACCTCACTCATCAAGCCAGCCACCGATATGTGCCCGAGCCTGGGATGACGGGGCTGCAGGAGCTTCTCATTCTCAAGTCTCCCGCTCGCCCCCGTCTGTGCGCCAAGAGGCAGAATGCGCCGCCGTATGGCGCTGAAAAGGACTGGCGGAGCCACCTCTACACATCCCCAAACTCACCGAAGGCTGTGGGGCAAGCAGGAACAAAGTGGAACAGCCCCCTCAACCCTAATCCCCAAAAAAAAGCTTTCCACGTCTGGGCCTCCGCGAAGGCCTGCCGGATTTCGCCGGCTGACAGCGCATCCCCCTTTGCCAGGCCTGCAGGAAAGGGTCTGGGAGCCTAAGGGGTTTGGGGTTTCAGTGCTCTTTGACCAGGGTTCCCGAAGGACTTTTGACAGAGACTGTGCAGCATGTGCATCCAAGAAGACCATCAGAGTGCAACGATGCATTTGGCTCGGGGTGTCGGGGCTCAGAGTTCCGGAGCCTCAACCAACACCACGTGTCACGCTGCTGCGTTCTTTGCGATTGCAGCTTCCCCGCCTGAAAAAAGCCGGCGGCAATTTGCCTGAAAGTCCTGAGCAGGGCCAGATGATCTGCTCAAGCGCTTGCCAAACCACCACTAAGTCCTCTTAAACCACCTTTGCACATACAAACCCCATCCTAAACTAGCTCAAATCCAAGCATCTGCTTTGGAAAGAACGGCCTCAAGCTGCGCGGCATCCTTCAAGGTGCTTGGGAGGGTCTTTTTGAGGTCCACCGAAGGGTGGGGGAGGGGGGCAGGGCTGCGGGAAAGGCTCTCACTACACACTCCATGAAGGTACCCGTTGGGGGGGTGCTTTTCATAGCAGATCTATAAGCAGAGGACCTCCCCTCCATCGCAGTCAGAGGTGCTTCCAAGCGAGGGCTCCGATCTAGGTGAACAAGCGTGGCATACCAGTTGCGAAACCTTGAACACAGCAGGATGTTGCAAAATGAACATCAGTACATCAGAGCGACCTCCAGAACTCCCACACTATCTAACTTCAGCATGTGGTTGTGTGGCGCTCTCTCTGTTTGTCTGGCAGCTCTGCTTCCGCCAGGACCGCAGTATCTGCCGGCGCATGGGTAGCAAAGGCAGCCTGTCAGCTGTAGACAAGAGAACTGCTCGGCGACGCTAATGTCACTGTTACACACAGCACAGCTTTCAGCTTACAGCTTCTTACCCTTTCCATCCTTTCCGCTTCAGCGGCCAGGTCCAGGGAGCAATACGGATTGCGAGCAAACGGCGAGCGCGACGCAGAGCTTGCAGAATATCCGCTGCGCCAGCCTCCACCGAAGCATAGTGGGTAAACACCTGTCTGCGAAATGTTGCCAGCTCCTTGCCCACGCCAACTCAGACGGACAACGCTACCGGTAAAATACATGGCGCCCTGGGGCCCTTTGTGGGTACTGCCCAATACTGCGAAGCTCCCCCGAACCCACGTCCTCCTCATTTCTTTGGACAGTCGAAGCCGCCATGGAGTGTCCGCAAGCCAGGCTTACATTGCCAAAGAAAAGGGGTCGAATACTGGCATGCAGACTCTGTGTGGCGGGGTCTCAGTGCTTACTCTTCCCCGTGTAGTAAGACTTACAAACATAGGCAATTGCAGCTATAACGGGCGGGGACCATGCGAACTCAACGCGATGAACGTCGCCGAGGAGGCTCAAAGCTAAGCCAAAGTTTTCAGGCTTAGGGGGTGATGGTTTTGGGTTTAGACAGTTTAGAGGATACGGTTTAGGATTCTGGGCTTCGAGTTGCTGCTTTGCCGCCATCTCCCATGGAGCGTGTTGTCTCGCTCAAGGTTGACCGTTCAGTCGATGCGGCCGCGCCAACAATAGATGGTGTCAAGCCACAACCCTGAACCCAAAACCCCTAAAGACCAAGCCCCAATGTCGAACCCTGGCCACAGTAACAGCCTATGCATGTGAGCCTGCAGCCTTAACTGCGCACCGGACCTCTGTGCCCCAGGCCCTACCTCCCGCGACGCATGTCTGGTGATCCAACCAATCCAAGCAAAGGGGACATGCAATCCGAGGGAAGGAAGAGAGTGAAAGAGAGACACAGAGAGAGAGTGAACAGCTCTTGCTTTTCCACGGCAGACGGGGTGCTCTTGTGACCCACACCATGAGGTCGGGGCTCTTGCAGTAACAAGATCCGCAGCTTGCAACCGAATTTGGGGGCTCCCAATCGAGGGAAAGAACCCCCATATCAACCCTAAGGCCATGTCGGCCACCTGGTCGTGGAAAATCTCCGGGTGCCCTGCTTTGCAGGGCGCTACACTGCGTTCCCTTTCGGGACGGTGTACAGGCTCAGCCTGTCTGCCGAGACCTGCATCAGGAACCTTGCCCACTGCGCAGTGGTGTATGATATTTTGGCTATGTTTTGCATGATCTTGCCGGGTAAGAGAATGCGAGCAAAAAGTGTCAAGCTGTTCCTCATGCAGGATGTCGACAATCCCGCTCCATCACGGACCGGTCGTGCAACATGATCTGTGCATCGGCAAGCACTGTACTTTTGTCCGCTCGCCGCGCTAAAGCCCTTTAAAAGAACAAGCACCGAAACCCGAAACTAGCTTCTACTAACCTTGCTCACACCGCCACCCCTTCCAAGTTGTCCACGTTGTGCACGTTGTTCACCACAGCATCAGCTTCGGCCTTCGGTCAGAGGGACAGAAGTGATGGAAGGAAAGCAGAAAAGCAAGAGGATACCAGGGTTTAGTGGTGTTTATAGGTTTTCGGGGGGCTACACCGGCAGCAGAAGAGTGGAAGGTCGAGCCCCCGAAGCCCTTCTTCAGCTGCCGGCCTGGTGCGCTGCCGCCTTCTTCTCCAACTCTCGCGCCTCCCGCTCAGCACGAGAGACGACCTCCGAGAAGCAGGGAATGGCCAAGGCCTACTCCGGCTACGGAGGACATGTGTGGTCCCGTGCTGCCCAAGGCACACGGTAGCAGCCTCCGGTGTTCCACCACACCAAAAAAGCAGCTAGGCCAGCGATGGCCTGCTTTCAGAGGCACCGGCTGATCACCGCTCCATGTCACGGTCTAAGTCTAACTGTTCATGAGCCCGGATGTCCGAACCCGGCATCCGAATCAAACCCAAAGTCCCTGTATGAACCCAAATCAGCACCCATAAGCCTCACAAGTAAACAACACACATCTCAGCAGACCCTGGAACCGACATCAGCCGGCCGCAACCAGCGTGGTGATGCCAGCCGCCAGGGACGCGCCGAAGAGCAGCGAGATGCCGAGGGCCGCACCTCGTAGCAGCGCCGGCACCACAGAAACGAAGAGGTTTGGGGATTAGGTTCAAGATGGGGTTTGCGGTGTCGCTTCAGGGTTTAGGGCCGATTTGGTGAGCTTGGGCCATGAGCTGTGGGGTGCAGGCACACCACACGCGAGGTATTGCATGCACTTGTGCCCAACCTGGTGCCTGAGGGATGCCTCCGAAAGAGATCCTCAGTCCTGCAAACCCTACAAACCCTTCAAACCCTGTAGGCACCCCAGACCTTGCAAAGCCTCTCACTTCCAACCCGCAACCCCTCAATGGCAGGGCCTGGCACCACGAGAAACCTTGGATGCTCTCTGCAGTCTTCGGATCGAATCTCGGAACATAATTCCCTCAGCCCCTGGCGGTTGACACATACACAAAATGCACAAAGCAAGGGGTCTCCACTATCCCTGGATGCGGCCTCGCTCGGACTTGGAGAAGCAAGTCACAGCATGCCATATTTCCATGCTCACTCTGGCAGGCGTCAGTCAAACATTCTCTTCAGCTAAGGCCATGGAGCATGACAAAGATGTACAGCAGCGGCACCATCCGCCAATACGAGGCATAGAAACCTGAGAAAAGGAAGAAGAGAATTGCTACGACGGCTTTTTGGCAGTGTCTGAGCGTCGACGTGAAAACTGGAAACCCGGGAAACGCTCTTCGTTGGTGGCCAAGCAGCCCAGCATCTTCGCAGCGCCTATCACAACACCGCCTCAACCACCCAAGCAGATGGGGACTGTTGAGTTCAGGGTGGGCTGCCCTCGATGCACTGCTCTGCACATCATCACACGATTCGCGGTCCAAGTCTCGCATTGATGGAACGGGGAACCTCTGTGCATGCAGAGGCGGGCAAGGAATGCGTGCAGGATGCAGGAGACGTTCGGTGTTGAAACCGGCAGATTAGTCGATGGGGAAGACTAATCAGCCAAAATGCCAGACTAGAATTCCAAAGATGTTGAAGAGCAGATGACCTGAGCAGCCGCTGAGCCAGCCCATGAACATGGACGACCGGGAAGCACCGCGGTCAAGTGAACAAGCTTCTGAGGTCTGGGCAGAAAGCAATCTGCAGACCATCCTAGGCAATGACATCATGACATCGCATCCGGAAGAGCACACCAGCACGAGAAAGCTAAATTAGGCATCAGTTCTGTTGCTTCAGCAAGGTTCGTGCTTGAGCTCCGCGACTGCGGCCAGCAGGGCTGTGCACGTGGTACCAATGTTCGCACCTGAGAAAAAGTCTCCGGGCCCAATCCGACAGCCGTCTTTCTTCCTGTATCCGACCTTTACTAAACGCAGGAAGGCGTGGTGGCCACATGATCGCGGACAACTGAGTTTGGTACCCAGTGTAACCGGCAGCATCTTCTCCACCTGACATAGAACCAGAGAAACTTCACAGAGTTCTGAGGGAGCAGGGCAGCTTGTTGTCCAACTCTGAGCCGCTACAGTAGCAAAGCCGTGAAGCATTGATATCCTGCGGCCACACTTGCATTCGTCGAAACCGCGCTGAGGAGCCGGCCATGATCAGGCCAAGCCCGCACAGTGGCGTCAGCGCGGAAGTAACCTGGACAGCAGGCTCGAATTTGGTGGTTCTCGTAGGGTTTGTATGGTTTCTCTGGGTTTTTGTAGGGTTTGCCTTATACGGCCAACCCGACCAACTCCACCCGTCGGGGCTTCCGAGTCTCGGGACTTCGGGCGTTTGGGACTTGAGGTGCGCTCAGAGAGGCTACGGAGGAGCTTTGAACCACGAAGGTGAGGATTGCCCCGACGGCCATGGCCAGGTAGTCGTTCATCGAGGTGGCTCCTGGGCTCTAGGGGCCTTCGGGGAAAAGTAGGGATGCAAAGGGGAGCACTCCCAAATTTACACCAGGACTCGGAGGATCATCGTCTTAGCCCTGCCGAGGACCAGCGCATGCAGCAGCTTCACCAGGCAGAAGAGGGCGAGGCAGATCGCCAGCAACGAACTCGGGGACCAAACACGCAATCGCGGCGATCATAGCTCCGTGGGGCTCACATCAATTCCAAACCCCTGAGCACCAAACCCAATATGTAAGTTATGAATGCTGCAATGCCCTACAGATAAGGAATAGCTTGCGTGCAAGGCACATCGCCAGCGCCACCGCACCACCTGCCACGTCGCCCAAAGGCTTGAGAAAGCCTTCGCTGCCCGCACTTCGCACTGTGCACTTCCGATCTTAAGGTGTCTTGCGCTGAGCCAAACCCACCCTCCTGAACCCAGATGATTGGAGGTGGGTAGGAGGCAACAATTGGGGACCTGTCGCCGCGGGACCAGAAGCAATGATCTCGCCGCCCTCGATGTGCTCTTTGTAGAAGCTGAACAGGAAAGTCAGGTGAACATGGAGGGCTTGGGACTAAGGGTTGAAGAGTGACTTTGGGCTTGGGCAACTTGAATCCCTTCCTCCTAATACTAAACCCCACCCTAATGTTAAATATTATTTTTCCCGGACCCTCCCAGCACCCAGCCCAATATTAAACCTGTTTGAGAACTGGGCGGGGGTTGAGTTGAGGGCCTCCGTCCTTGAGTTGAGCCATTAGGATTGAAGGGTTTAGGGAGGAATTTAGGGCTCAAGGCTTAGAGGGTTTCATTAGGGTTTAGGCTGCGGATTTCAGTTTTAGGGTTTAGGTCCCCCCCCCCCCAAATTTTAAACATTTTTCCGGCCGAGGCGAACTGGGCGAACTGTAGAATTAGGGGGGGGGGGTTGGGTTTTAGTATTAGGTGGAAGGGACTAGGAACTTTAGGGCGCCTGAATCCCCCCCGTGCCCCCGATGCTGGTGCCTGTCAGCATTCTGCAAGCATCTGGCGCCCTCCCCGCAGAGCTCCTGGCAACTGACAAACATCCCGTCTCTCTCCCAGTAAACTCGCACACTCCGGCGTCCTGCGGACAGGACGCCCAGGATGACAGCACGGCCTGGCCATAGGTTCTGACGGCAACCCGGAAGTGTGTGGAGCCCTGAGCCATCTTACGTCATCGTACGGGTGTTGAGTAGGCACCTAGTCGTTGGAGACCTTTAAGAAGCTATAAAGCACCAACTGTCAGCAGCAGCTTGCTCTGCTGCCGCTCACACCTCGGCATCAACCTTGCGTTCGCCTTCGAAGCTTGCACCAGCCTCGTCGACTTTGGCCCAGGCATGGTGCATCGCGCTGCTCACACAGAAGGAGCTCGAACCTGGAGTTCGGATGGTTTATTGTGCGGAGCTCTCCCAACAGTGGAAGCCGACAAACCTCGCAACCTTCCACATGCGAGTCCAAGTTGCCAGGAACTGCTGTGGGTGGCCCAAGGGACAATGCCTGCGTCGATACGGAGCTCCAAATTAATCTGGCACATAGCAGAAAGCCTGTAAAGTCTAGTCTGGAGCCTTGATTACAGCTTTGTCCGGATCCATGAAATGGTCGACGATGGGGTCGACAATGGCCTGGCATGAAAGAGCGACCACATGTCTGCCCACTCTGCATCATGGACTGGCTACGAGAGTGCCTTGATTGGAGAGGGGAAAGTAACTTCCGACTTGCTAACGATGGCATCCTGAGCACAAGATAGCCGACATTCATCTCACAGTGGTTTCCCAGCGAAAGTGCCACTTGATTTCACTGAGGTACATGATTAGCCATTGCCAAGCTGCCGCCATGCCCATGGACAGCCAGTAGATCGGACCACCTTCGCCCTGGATGGCGCCGACGATGACCTGTCCAGCTCTACACCCTGACTGCATAACACGCCGATGGTGCCCTGACTTGGTGGCTTTGGGATTTTTGGGGGATCCACCGAACCCCTGGCCTGCAATCCCGTCCCTCAAACAAAAGGAACTCTGTCAGACCGGTTTAAAACCTGGCCTCAAGAGGTAGCAGGACGATCACACTGAGCATGTTGAACCTGGCATCAGACTTCCGCGGTGCACAGAGGGGGGCTTATCCAAACCTTTTCCACATGGCCCGTTGCTAGACGCCACGAATACCTGATGCTTCTGTAGATACCCAAATCGACAAAAAGAAAGTCTGGCTTTTCGTGGCTGCCCATACCACCCTTGAAGACGAGAGCTTGTGCAACTCTTGCCAGGTCTGCATGTCGTGCACGGTCGCACCGGAGAACCTGAGCTTCTGAAGGTGGCTTGTGCAACCCTGAACCGGTAGACACCATGCCACGCATTCTAGACCTGCGGCTCTTGATCACAGAAGGAAGCAAAGAGAGGCGCGCGGAAGAAAAGGAACAGATTGCACAGAGGCGGAAGGGGCTTCAACATTCCATAGGGCTTGGTGCCCGAACCTTTCTGTGCAGCTCTCTCCCAAGTTTTAAGTCGTTTTCTCGGAGGCATCTCGGGTTGGTCGGGAGAGGGAGCTTACAGCAGCTTGCATGAAAACAGAAGCGACGAACTAGCGCGCCCGAGGTTCTCTGGAGGGAAATAGAAATTGATGCTTTAAGGGCTTCGAGGCTGCGATGATTTCAAAGTGTGAGGGTGAGTGGGACAGGCTTTTTGTTGTGCTCATGCTCACTACCGATACTTCACCACAGAGTTGAAGTTGCCGCAAGTGCACAGGCGGGTGTGGCCATCTTGCAACGTTTGAATGTAGGCGAAGTCACGCAATGGTCGTGCCACCCCACCCCACCCCACCCCACCCCGAGCCGGAGAGGAGCACTAGAACTTGGCCGTCGCGTGCCGAAGAAGCCTAGGGAAAGCGTGAAGCCTGTAAACTGCAAAACCCATGCAAGGGAGGGCTTCTTGCGAGCGAGAAGCGCGCGTTCCAGCTCGCTGCGCTCACCAACATGTGCCATGGAGACCTTGGGGTCTTAACAGGGCCTGAACGTTGCCCATCGGGCCAACTTGACTTGAGCTCCAACTCAATAACTCCATTCTCTTCACAGAAGGGATGCGACAGCTAAGGGTGCCACTATCGTGTTTGTCACGGAAGTCCCGATGTTGGCTCCCATCACCAGCGGAATGGCCTCAGATTGGGATGTCATGACGCATGACCGTCGTGCCGCTTGGCTTGGCCGTCGTAGAGCAAGAAAGCCCAACGCAAAGCCGAGCAGAAGCTCAGCTCACTGTACTTCACAGTTCTTAACAGGGAGTGGAGTAGTGACTACAGATACGATTCTAGGGCATTTGATAGGGGATCTTGCACAAGTGTACCCCAAGGAGCATTGTGCACATCGAGCTGACCTGCAGCGACCAGACCAACGACGATGGAAGTGCCTTAGTAGAGTGTGGAGGGCTTCTGGGAGAAGCTTCCCCAGCCCAGCAAGCCCATGCTTCCAGGCCGCTGGTTGAGGATGACTGCACCAGCACGGTGGCTAAAATGCCAACCATGAGCCCTGCCAGGGTATGGAGGTGAACCCTCTGCAACCCTCACACATCCTCGGACCTGTGTTGGACCTCGTTTAGTCTGTGCACATGCAACATGCACCCTGCTTGGTGTAATGAGCACACACACACACAAAGATGGCCACCTCTGAGAGCGAAGTCGGGTGACTCATCACAGTCCCGCGTGCAACCTTACACAGCTCTGCGGCTCCGGCCTGAGATCGGATTCTCCGTGATCGTGAATAGCTTTCCGGCGCCTTTGCCTCCCAGAGCCTGCATAAGGTGCAGACTCAGGCAATCACAGCTTGAGACTTGACAGATTCGAGCACCACAACAGGCTGTTCAGTTCTGCCTTGAAGGACACGCCCATCAAGTCCAGCCCAAACAGGAAGCAGTACAAGGCAGCAAACACGCCGAAGACGCGCCAAGCCTCGGAACGCTCTCACACCCTGGGGAAGTTCCTGGAGTCTCTGGTAGCCATCGTGCTCTGCTTACCTTCGCAATCCAACCGCAAATCATTCGAAATCGCCCCAAGGCACTGTCAAAGCAAAGCTGCGATACGGGCCATGTTGGGGCCTCGGCTTGCGCCACTCTTCGCGAACTGGGCCTAACCCTCCCCCCGCTACTCTAATACTCTAACAGCTCGGGGGGCACGCTCTTCGTTCCACTGCGCTGCGGGCAGAATGCCAACTTGGAACCCATTGTGAACTCCAGCCCCGTTCCCGTGGGGTTCGAGCCCAGCTGGGGCTTCCAAGCTTTGTTTTCGTGATTCCATGCTCTGGGAGTTGATTCAGCCCAGCCACCCCTTGGCATCGGCGCAATCGGCTCCATCTGTGGTCGGCATATGGACAGCAAGGTTCTACAGGGAACTGCTGCGATGAGGCTCGATGCTTGAGCAGGAAGCCAAAGATGAACAGGGAGACCTCATGCTTCAGTTGGACACGACACTTTCCCCTTAGCTCTTTCACATTTTTCCTGAAAACATCCAAGTTTGAGGGCCTTCCACCTTGCAAGGTAGAGCCTCCCTGAAAGAGCCAGGGTCCTGCGTGCTTCAGGCCCGCCATATCGGCAGCACTCCCGAGGTTGGAAACAGTGCGTCTGCCGATGGCCAGCTCGAAGGGTAGGACATCGACTCACTGGAAGGACCGATTCGCGGACTAGACGGGCCAGATTCGCGCACTGAAGCCTAAAGGTGTTCAAGGCCAACAAGACCTCGACCATGAAAACCCTCAGCCCTCAAAACCCCGACTGGCGTGCAACATGCCGAAATCCTTAGAACCCTTCAAACCCTAAGAATCCTAAACCCTAAAAGCTGCAAACCCTTCAACCCTGAAACCCCTTCAACCCTGAAAACTCCAACTATTAAAGTCGACAGTCTCCTGGGGTGGTGGGGGAACGCAAATCGCCAGTGAGTCGGAACTCGCCTGGGTGGTAGGGGCAAGATCGCCTGTGCCTTGAATCGTCAATCTTGCTTGAACCGTGCGTGCTTGAAACGCAGCACTTGAAACGCGATCTGTGCTTGAAGCAAGGACCTACGTCTTTTCCCATCGGAAGCCATAGAAGTGGTCACGTGCAAAATCGACCGGCTGAACCACGTAACCACACGAATGAAGGCAAGGACATGCAAGAAACAGGAGAGTGCCACACGGTTCCCTTACCGTGCGCGCATGCTCAGGCAGCAAGAGTTGCTCTCGCTGAGCACACCCTCTTGAGTCTAACCAAGTTTTTTCGCGACTGTCATGCAGCGCCGAGATTGGACTTCCATCAAGGAACTGAAAGAGGAATCCTTCAGCACCCGCCCAAGAAACTTGTTGTTGAAGTTTTGGCTGAACTAAAAGGCTCAGCTGAACAGTTGAGTAACCCTGTCTGCGGGCGGCTCATCTGTTGCGCTTTACATCGCTGAACTTCAGCTGTGGAGACACGGGTGTCCTAGAACTGTCGGACAACCAGACACCTGCGAAACTTGGGGATTCTTCAATGATCTCCAAGCATCTTCAAGCTGCATCGATGCTGGGTGTTGCGGATCGGTCCCGCACCTGGGCTGCTGCAGCTGCCCATTGCTTTGTCAGCTCCGCATACCGCTTGGGGCCTACCACGCTTGCGCATCCATAGTTTGGTGGAGCATAGCCGGTCTTGTCCAAGTAGAACAAGTACTCATCAATGGCCTGTACCAAGACGAATATACTTGCTCTCTTGGCCACGATTGCCTGAGCCTCACTCTGTCACCCTCCTTTTCTTGATCTTCTCTCACCCTCCGTATCTGTCTCCATGTGTCTGTCTCCGTCTATCTACAGGAGCTGGCATAAACGGTTGCACAAAAGTGGTCAAAGGAAACAGGGACATGACATGCTAAGCGACCTGGACCATGTTCGACAAGTCCAAGATGTACTGGTCCATCTTCTTGTCAAAGGCCGGACGCCGTTTGCGGGGATCGATCTTGGATAGGCTCTGAAACACTTGTGCAGCAGCTTCTGCAGACTGGGACACGCCAAACCACAAACGCCCGTGCGTCCCAGCGGAGCTTGCCATTTTCGTGGCAATCTGCTGGCTTTTCTCCGAATTCTCCACCAAAGCTGTGCATTCTGCCGCCCGCTTTTCAGCGACGGCTCTCTCAGCCAGGGCAGTTTCCTTCTGGGCATTACTTTGGCTGGCATCAGCAGCACATTTCACCGCCAAAATGCCAAAGCCAGCGGCACAGGCAACCCCGACCATGATCCCTACAGGGTTGAATGCGACGGTGGTGATCGCGACTGTTTGTGGGACCGTGCCTCCGAAAAAGCCCCACAAGCCACCGGCTGCCACTTGGGTTGTCACGTAGCTTGTCGTCGTGCTGGTGAGGGCACTGCCGATCAACGGAACACTTGCTAACGCCTCTGCGCCTCCTGACAGGGCCACGACGCCAAGGCCACCCTTGCCCAGGGGAACCATGCTTGATACAACAGACCCACCTCCACTGACGGCTGATGACCATCCCTGTGCGTTCGCCTCCTTTGCCTTGCATTGTGCCACTCGCTCTTGTTCCTGGCAGTCTTGCTTGGCCTTCACCATCCTTGTCTTGTACTCCCCCTGCATACTTGCCAGCTCTTCGGCCAGTTCTTCGTATTTCTCCTGACCAGCTCGTGCAATCTCGCAAGCCTTGTCGGCCGACTCATGAACACCCAACAGGATCGCACGCATACTTTCCTCATCCGTCAGAGTCTGGGGATCCATGATTTCATTGAGGAGATCAGCAATGTCCTGAATATGGCGTCGCATTGGGCGTACTTGCTTGAAGCTGTGCATTGCCGCAGTCCTGACATGCTTCACCTTGGGACAAGTCGCTTGATTCAGCGCAAGAGTTCAACAACTCATTGAGGCCGCGAACAGTCTTCCTCTCACTGTGTATGGCCTAATGGAACCGGTGCTACAAACAGTGGAAACTGAGCTCTGGACAATGCGATCTGCACATTCGGAATCACCAGCGTTTCTCAAGTCCGCCTCCATCTTTCTGAGGTTCTCTGAATTCATCTGATCTTGATCCATGGATGTCTTGATCATCTCCCGAGCATGTGGTCCAAAGTACTCAACCTTACGGTATACGGGAAAGCAACTCAAGTTTCTGAACAGCATTCTAACTAGCCCCCAGCTGGTCCTGACATGTCGCCTCTGCTAGCACTGTGACTCAGAGCAGCGCCACCTTTCCAATGTGCTCCTCTAGTCGGCCGATGGGATCATCATTGTCCACCAGAAGCCACGACGGGGCGGTAGAACTCACTGGGCTTGTGGCAGACATGGCGATTGGCAGCTACGACTCGAGCGGCGTCTCCAACCTCCTTGACAGACGCTTGAGCCAGTTCTCACGATAGCCACATAAAGAAGCGAACCGTGACCGCTTCGAAGCTTCCATGGCGAGTCTCACAGCTGTGGCTCAGAATGTGCGGGAGGGGCTCGTATGAGGGGGCTCTTTCGCGCTTTTGGGGCCCTGACTTGCGCATGGTACTTTTCTCTCTTTTCTCTGTCCTCGGCTCTTCTTGGCTCGTTCGCCTCGTCCCTTGGGAAGTCCGAGGTGGACCTCCCAGCCTTTCCGTGGGCGAGGCGTCTAAGACTCGTCTAAATCTCAGTCGAAGTATGTCTAAGCCAACAAAAAGAGGTGGCACCAAGGCCTCCGGCAAACAGCTGAGAATGAACCCGAGGTGGTGGGCTCTCTCTTTCCCTTGCTGTTTTTGGAGGCGCCTGGGGCATCCTGGGGCCGAAGGCCTTGATGGCGCGCTGGATGTGTCTGGGGCATGAGGTGCATTCTTGCACTGGTGGACACTTGAGCCACGCGTAATGTAGCCATAAAATTTCTGCCGGGAAGCAAGGTTGAAGACACATCCAGGTGTCTACGGTGCATCTCGTGGCACATGGAAGAATGTGACACCAGAGAACTCTGCCTTGTGACCGGAGTCCGTCGCTAAAAAGTCATGTGATCCGGAAATGTGCGAAATGAAGCTGCCAAGCTGGCTGGGCACATCTGTTCGAGGCACCCTCATGCCTTCTACCATTTGGGAAACGGCGACGTTCTACGAGTGTACTTTGGGATGCGCTCAGCCTGCCCGGAGACGAAGCGTGTCAGGAAAATGTCATACGAAGCAAAGTGACGGCGATCCATTTCATGGACATCCGTAGCCGCCCATTGCTGTATGCTAGTGCTGCTCATCAGACTCCGTCGAATTCCTGCTGGCTCATCGTGAAATCTTGCCAAGCATCAGAACGTGAAGCTCGCATTGAGCCTACAGTCGAACAAACATAGCGCAGACTTCAACTCCAATGTTTGCGTAATCCAAGGTGAGAGCGAGCAAGCAGCTCCTGCCCCGCCATCCACCATTGCAGTCCAAGCAGCTGCGCGTCCGACACAAAATGGCTGCCACCTCCGCAACGCCAACCTTGTCCAGTCTTGTACCTCAGCGGTTTGAAGGAAGCTGCGACCCATTGTGACCTGGAGCCTACGCTTGCTCAAATGAATTGGAACAGCGGCCAGTTGAAGCCCGCAGGACAGGGGCTGATCTGTCGAAGCTTCTCTCGGATTCGTGCCTGCCGAGTGAGCCAAGAAGCAAGCCCAACCAAGCGCAAGCAAGTCTTCAACATCTTTGCCTGCTTCTCTTGCTCCGCTCGAATTCGCGCTTGCTCCTGTCGACAGCGCATTGAATACCACTCAATCGAACCACAGACACATGCCAGCAATCATGGCGAAAGTGCGTCTTCACAATCGAATCCACTTTGTCTTGTTGTTCTTGTGTTTTCCATGTCGTGCATTGCATTCTGTGCACGATATACTGCACCTGTTCGATTACAATCATTGCTTGTAAAACTTGTCATATATGTTTAATCGTTGTTTGTTATTGTTAAAATTGTGTTTATTCGTATTTTACTTTAATATTGTTTGTACTACTAGCATTCTTACGATTATTATTGTTATGATTATTTCTATTTTGATCATTACCATTATGACTATTACTATTACTACTATTCTTCTTATTATTGTTTTCCTTATTATCATTATTATTGTTATTATACATATATATATATATTCACACACATATTCTTACCTTTGGAGAAATATGTCGATCAACATATGCTGTGCATGAAAGCGAACTGCTGAACTGTCTACGATGTTTGAAAAGAGGGGATGCATCCACACGATGGGCCTGTTATGGTGTCCAAAACTCCTTCTTTGTTTAGAAAACCCAGAAGCCCTAAAGGGGCAGAAGAACAGAGGAAAGCCCCTGAAACACTTGAAACCCGAAAGCCCCTTAAGCCCACGGCGTCTCCTCCAGGCGCCTTCGCTCCCTCTCCCGGCGCTCCCGCTCGAGGCGCGCTTCAAGCTCGGCCTGGCAGAAAGGAAGATGATGGTACAGGGGGTCAGCGGTCTATGGGGCTTTTTGGGTTCTTTAGGGCTTTTGGGGTTTACAGGGTTTACCGGATGTACGGTTTAGAGGGAGGTCTTTGGGGGTGCTTTGGTTGAAGCCTCTACGGGTTTTCTTGGGTGGCTTCTGGCGGTGCCAAGGTATTCTGCTCAGACGAAGCCCTACAGCTTGGCCTCTCAACTCCTAAGCCCTTCTGTGGTTTAGGGCTTCTAAGGTGCTTGAACCAAACCTGTAAGGCATCGGTGCCACCATGCCCCATCAGCACCTTGGCGCGGAGCCGCTCGGCCTCCAGGCGCTCCTGCAAGAGGGGCTTTTTGGGGGGCTGAAAGGGAAGAAGCATTTTGGCTGATTGGGTTGGTGACTTCAGGTTGAGGAATTCCTTCTAGGTCTGGAGGCTGGGACTTTCTTCTGATCTTTCTTTCGGACCCCAGACCCCCTGTAGAAGTACTAGTGCCGTGTAGAAGCCTGGAAGTTGCTGAGACCCCCCTGCACCCTTCCCCACTTCTGAGGGCGGCGCGAGGACAAAACAGCACGACGAAAGTGCAACTATGCAACACGTGCGGGCATGCCCATTGCCATTGCCGTGTAGATTGGTGGAGCCCACAAACAAGGCACTTCATAGAGAATAACCCCCAACGAGCTGAACAACACAGCGTACTCCAAAACGAAACGGACGTAACTATGCATAGCTCTGATGCTCCACAAAGAGCTCCTGCTCAGCCTTCTCTGCTGCCTCAGCCTCCAACCGACGCAGCTCTGCTTCCAGCTCTCGTCGGAGCTCCTCTTCGATTGCAAAGGCGGCGGCTAAGCCACTGAACTCCCAAAAGTTTGAAAACATCGAGACGCGGCAGCCGGAGCCAAGATCTACACTCTACACATCCCTACAGAGCTCCTCCTCACGCTGAGCAGCTTCTGCTTTCAGCCGCTCCTGGCACGAAGTAGAATGTGGACTGCCGAAGTGTCAGATGTGCAGGGGATGCTCACGATACCTCTACTCCCAAAACAAACCGGCCCTAAACCCCAAACCTGTAAAATCCTACAATCCCCCCCACCCCCCCCCACCTCCCAAAACAAAAACAGGCCTCCAGGTCACGCAGCTCCCGGGCCACCCGCTCCTCCTCCGCGGCGAAAGCTTCCTTGGCACGCTGGAGCTCCTGTGAGGGAATTCGCGGGATTCCACTGTGGCACTTCGGAGAACTTTGAGAATGCTTTGGCTGGGAGATGAGAGATGGTGCGAAGAGGTGTTGCAGGTTTCGGATGGGGGTTGGGAGTCCTGCCAGTCTTCGTCGCTGACTCCTGCATCCCTCTGCTCGGCGTTGGCTGGACCGAGTGGCGCTTCGGAAGCCGCTTCTTCTTCTTCCTCGGGCTGAACCTGCTTCAAGCTTTCTTGCAGCATCCTTGGCCAGGCATGGATCCCAAGATTTCTAGACTCTTCACTCTTCGGTGACCGGTGCTGGCCATGCTGGCCAAGGCTCTCCTTTGTTTGGGGCTCCTTCGTCTGGCAAGGCAGAGACTCCCAGGGGAAGCTGGGAACGCTGGGAGCTGCCTTGCGGCATCTCGCCGCCAACAGCTGCTCGATCGCCGGCCGCACATCACTCTCTCGCAAGGTCTTCTCTGCGCCTGCAGAGACAATTAGGAAAATGTCCGAAAACCTTCCTCACAAAGAAAAGTCACGGAGAAACACTCCACGCAACATTGACGCGTGAACCTTCCGGCGTCTCGACCACACGGTCCGCCCGCTGCTGGAGGGACGCTTTCCAGACTTTGTCCACGTCGCGGGCGTTGCCCCAGCCATCGTGCTCACGAAGCTCTTCGAAGCCACCCTGTAAGCTTCACCACAGAACAGAGTTGCATGGTTTCTGCAATTCTTTTGGCGCATGCCAAGAAAGCAGTGTCCTCTAGCACTGCAAGGGCTTCTGCTTTCAAGCCGTAGCTGCCGTTCATTGCCTCAGTCGTGCATGGCGATAGGTTGGCTGGGCTCGGTGCTTTCTTCTGCACCCGGAATCGCATCCAGGGAACTCGCTTCTTGATCAAATCCACACAGTCGGCGGCCGTCCAGTCAGGAAACTCGAAGAAGTGTGTGAAGCGACTCTTCAAGCCGGGGTTGGTGTCCAGCATCTTGTTAATGTCCCCCGGATACCCGGCAATGATGATCACGACTCCTCAAGGCTGTTGCAGCAAACCCAAGGGACGAAGCCTGACCTGCAGCACCTTCCAACACCAAGCAAGCGCCGGGGAGGCCTGCATACTTCGGATCCGTCATCGCCGCAACGATCGCGGTACAGGCTTCTTGCCCAAAAGGGCCCTTGCCAAGTTCGTACGCCTCATCGATGAACAGGACACCTCCTTTCGCAGCCTGCAGCTCTCGCAACAGCGCATGTGAACTCACTTGTCACATCGTATACTGCTCAAACCGTTCAACAGCACTCCTCCAGCTCCTGCTCCACCTTCTTCTTCGTTTGCCCGACATACTCCCCGGTCAGGTTCAGGCCCGAGGTTTCTGAAAGAACACGGGTGCAAAGGTATGGACATGTCAGAATCCCAATCCGAAGAGCACGGGCAACAGCAACACAGCCATCTCTGTATACCCTACACCTGCTGGCCAAGAGGGCCCCGCCTTGCACACGATCCTTTGCCAGGAGTCGAAGCTGAAAGAGAATCTGCGCCATTACTCGGGCCACTGTCGTTTTGCCGGTGCCCGGGGCCCCAGTAAAGACGAAGTGTCCGAGCTCAGGCGCTTCATCTCCCTCCTGCGGCTTCAATATTTTCAAAGGCAAGTACAAAAGCTTCAGGTTTAGGCTTAGGGTTTAACACGCTATCCCCTCTCCTCTTGTGCCACAGAGAAGGCATTGCTCAGCTGCTTGAGCTTTTGCCTTCAGGGTCAAGCTGCAGGACGACCGCATCTGCGAAAGAAACATATGCGAATGATGCATCGCCTGATTCCGTCCATGCGATAGAGCTTGTCCAGCGGACTGAAAGGGTCCTCTTTCCGGAGAAGGGCAGCAGACTACGCACATGCACGTAGCTGCCTTAGCTGTGTACCACGAGGCAACCGGCCTGTTGGCTGTCGGCTTCGGGTCCGATGTCAATGTCTGCTGCCTCCAAGCAGAGCTGGCCATCGCCTGCCGAGGCACATCAAAGTCACAGTACAGTCGCCTCAAGGTCACCTCCACGGTGCACAGCACAGCTGCTGCACGTGCATCGCACACATCACCCTCTTAAGTCATCAGGAGGCTAAGACATGCAAAACAGATGGTGCCGAGCCTCCACGAGACGAAGCCTTCAGCATCGCTGCTTTCACCAAGTTCATCACTGCCCCTGCATTGCCAAAGTGTGACTCGCTTCGGCGAAGCATGTCAAGCTTCTTCTTCGCCTGCCAGTGCAACGCATCATATCGCATCCGACGCATGAGATGCAGATGTGCCGTGGCTGAGGGTTCACAGCAGGGCTTTCCCAAAAAGGTACATGCTTTCTGGCTGGCCTTCTCTTGGAAGTCCATGGAAGGCTTGACACCTTCGCTGCGGCAGTGCTGCCGCAGGATCTGCATGAGCTCCTCGAAGGCACAGCAAGTTCAGGAATGTTCAGGAGGTCATTTAGGGCGAGTCTTGCTCTGAGAATTTAGGGTCACATGCGCAGCTTCAAGTTTTTCTGGACAACCCCGTCCTGATCGGTATAGTCTTCGAAATAGAAGGCCTGTTCAGGGGGGAATCGGCGAGCAAGACCCGGATTTTGCTCCCGAAGCATGGACAGCATCTGGTCCTCAGGGCAGGCAAACGAAGCCCTTGATGGAGCCTTCCGACCATGGGATCCCTAAATCGCACAGCACCATGGGCCAAGCGGGGGAGCTGTCCTCATACCCTAGGAGCAGCACCGCAATGTCGTCGTTGTCACCTCCCTGTATCTTCTCCACAAGAACGTCTAGCACCTGCATCAAGGAAAGGACCGAGTCAGCCAGCCTAAGGGCCTAGAGCATCCTACAGAGTCTACTGCGTGCGCGGCCTGCTTGCCATAAAGGCCGTCGTTGAGGTTGTAGGCCTCGTCGATCACCAGAACTTTTCCAGCAGCGGACTGTAGCACGTTGAGGACCTTTTGCTGGGCCTCGCCGACGACTGACCCCCCAAGATCGCCAGCGGTCTTGAAGACCACATCTCCAGAGCTTAAGAAACCCAGGTTCTTGAGCAGCTCTCCATACCTGAAAGGAAGTACGGTGGGAACCGCTAGGTGTGTATGTCAGGATCTGGCACCAATATTCTTACTAGTACCATGTGACTTCCTATAGATATATATATATATATGTGGTTATACCTCAACGTTTCTTAGAACCCAACGAATGAAAGCAAATAGTGGGACCCAGAAAATTATGACCAAACGCGAGCAGCAAAAGTACGAAAGACAACTTCCGAAGACCGCCTGGATACAGCTTCGCACAGGTCGTCTTGCCGGTGCCAGGATTGCCCAGGAACATGCGGTTCAAGAACACAGGAAGCGGCTTTTCGCCGTTGAGCTCCTTCTGGTACTTGGTGCCACATATAGTGATCAAGTCGTCGATGGTCTTCTTGATTCTGTTCCAGCCAGTTTTCTGCTCAATTTCACTACGGACACGTTCAAGCTTCGGGTTCGATCGGGGATCCTCACATGTTCACAGGAGGTTGCAGAACAAGGAGCCAAAGCAATGATGGGTTTTTTTTTTGCCCACTTCGAATGTGCAGAACCAGTCCTCGCCCACCACGTCCACAAACTGAAGAGACCTTGAGAGCAGAATCCTACAGCGTTCCATGAAGCCCCAGCCTTGCAACCTCGAAACCGTGAACATCTCCCCTGACGCCGTTCTCAATAGACTTCATGCAACGATCAAGGCCCTCCGAGCTTCCAGGGCCCTTGAAGTTCTTCACTTACACAACATTCCAGGGGCACTCTGCGATTTAGAGCTTCGAGCTGAAGTATGTGGGCCAATCGCCGGCCTAGCAGCATGGCTTCAGGATCGAAATCTGCCCGGCTCATGGCACTTGCTGTCGCCGCCTCCAGACACTTCCTCACCTCAGCCGTACAATATGCACAACGTTACAAAGCTAAATGTTTCAAAATAATCTACTTAGCAGGAGTTCTTGCCCTTCGCATTTGCGGGGACTTGCCGCATATGGCCTCTCTGGCGTTGCCGAAGCCTTTCTTCGCGCGGCTTTTCGCCATCCTGCGCCAACAAATTGCTGGAAATGCGCCGAGCTCCAAGCGAAAACTGTGAAACGTACCCTGTCCTTCTCACGACAACGTCTGTGAGGCGCGGATCCTCTTCACTCCAACCACGCTGAGAACGCATGTGCGTCCAAATCCTTATCAGCACAGCCAGGGCGCTCGAAATGTGCTCAAAATGTCGCTCAAAATGCGCGCTCAAGTGCTCTGAGCGTAGGTCTGAGCCAGCTCCCTCTCGTCGAAGTCTTCCTAACTTGCGGTCTGCTCTTGCAGTCTGGGTTCCAAGCACAAGGCGGAGTGTGCCGCTCAGGCGCTAAGACAGCGACACAGACAATCTCAAGTGCTGACAGAGGACAAAAAGGACTTCGTTAAAGCGACTCTTCAGGCCGCTGTTGTACGCGTAAATCTTGGAATTCATGTCGTCCTGCAAGCTTGGGAATCTTGGGAATGACGGAGAAGCATGCAGCCAAACAGTCTAAGGTTCAATACCTGGAGTCATCCCAAGCATTCTCAAGCCCATCGGCCTCGTACCCGGCCAGGACGCAGGTGAGTCGGCCGCGTTCGTTCTCAGTGAGGGTGACGAGCTCGTTGACAATCGGGGCGCCCTTGAACTTGTCGCCTGCCGGATCCAAGTCATACGCCTCATCAATGAAGATCACTCCATCCAGCGCTTCTTGTGAAATCTTCCTAAACTCGTCCACGCCATCGTCCTTCAGCTTTTGCGCCGTGCACTCTTTGAAGACGTTCTTGCTCCGCAGGCCCGAATCATGCAAAACCGAAGCGAGCAAGCGTGCCACCGTCGTCTTGCCGGTTCCAGGGTTTCCCAGGAAACAATAGTTCCTGGAACAGGCAGCTAGGTAGGCGCAACATCAAACGGTCAAGTACAGTAGCTGCAGAAACAGAGCGGCTAGAAAAAAACCAGCTACGGTAGCGCCAAGGCACAAGTTCAGTGGGTTCTTCTTCCGGACGTCGGGTGGCATGCGCTGAAACTGCAGGGCGGACTTGTACAGGCTTATGGCCGTCATCTTCACCTTCTTGAGTCCCGTCAAGGAAAGAAGCTCATCCATGGCAGCGGAGGCGCAGCCTGCAAAATGCTTCCGGGAAACAGGACCGACAGTTTAGTTGGCCAACGAAATTCAAGGGGGGGGGGGACGAAGAAGTGATGGCCCTTGCACAATGCAGCTCGCACTCCCGGCCTTTCGTCTCTTTCATCTCTTCCCAGACTGCCAAGGGATCCGTGGGACTTGCAAGGTCCTGGAGCTTGGCGTCCTTGGCACGAAGAGCGTCCTGTCCGCGGCTTCCGAAGAATTCTTGGACGCACATGCTCCAAGCGTGTCTACTGTCATGGACACATGAAAATAGTGCCACTTCTCGACCTCACCTTTACTGTTGCTAAATGTTCATGTTATGCTTCAGTATACTGTTTGTTGTTAGTTGTGTAAACATTTTCGATGTCTGCATGTAGGGCTTCAGGGCAGTGAGCACTTCTTGGCTTCTCGGGCTCGCCTTCTCGGAGATCGCAAGCACTGACTCCATGTCCGGGAAGCGTTGGAGAGCCGTTTCCAGGATGGGTAAGTCCTGTCATGGTATGTCATGATGCCAGGAAGGCAACTCTCTTTGGGGTCTTTAGTCCTTAGTGTCTTTAGTGCTTGGGACAGCAAGTTATGAGGAGCACATGACTCACCTCCAGGCGGTGCAGCGCCAGGAGCAGCAGAGGATGGGCGACCTGCCTGCGATCGCAGCACGGATGTCTGCGAAAGCAAAGGCCGTGATGTGCTTACTTGCAGTCTCGAACATCGTGCCCCTGGACAAGCATGTCGAAAGGAAAGCGAGGGGCTGCCTTGCAGATCGCCGAAGCTCTGCGAGATACTTGTCAAGATGGCTCTTGGCCACTTCGGCGTCGGCAGTGTAGACTTCGAGCGCCATCAGCAGATCCAAGAGTGGAAGGGCGACCTCTCTTTCCTTGATCAGCTTGTCCAGGACATTCTTTCCAGCAAACGGTACGGCAGCGGCATTCACGAAGGACAGCTTCTGAAGGAGATCCCTTTCCTGTGCCTCTGTCAGCTCACCTGTGCCGAGAGCACTGAGTCCAAAAGCCGATCTACGGAGAGCTGGATTGCTGCCGCGGGGACAGGCGCCAAAGCTTTGCCATCCCACGTTGTTGGGAAGGAGAAGCCCTCGGCACGGCTCCCTTTTAGCTCCTCGTCTGGACGGCAGGCTACTTCAGATTCCAATCGGCTCGGAGGCGTTGACAGAGTACATCCGCACGCGGTTTGGGCACATCTTGCTCCCTAGGTACCAACAGGCATGCTGGGAGCCTCAAGCACGCAGTACATGGCATCTTCGTGGCTCTCTGCATTTTCATCGTCCTTTACCTCCTGGCAACACCAGGCAGGCGCGTGATGCGGGGTCGGAACTCACGCAAGCGAGGAGCTGAACCTCAGGCCCGTGCCTGGCAGCTTCCCACCACAAGCTTGCCGTCAGGCTTCTGGAAGGAGACGTACCTCTCCCGACTTAGCAGAGTGGAAGATGGGATATGGGAAGGGAAAGGGGAAGAGAAGCACTGCCAAGACAACTTTGAGCCCCCCTTGGCCTCGGCTTCAACTCCAGGCTGGTCTCGGAGCTCTCGGGGCTTTCTTGGAGAATCCTCGCCACCTCGGGCTTAGGGCCTCTCTTCAAGAGAGGCCTCGCTTGGGTTGTTGGGGACTTAGGGTCGTGAGGGGACGATGATTCCCCCAGCCTTGGCAAGCGTGGCCTTGTTCACCTGAGGCAACACTCTGAGATCAAAAACCGTCAGGTCAACAGTCAGAGGCACACCCAAGAAACCAAAGAGCGTCGAGCTAAACCAATTTTAAAACCCTGGAAGAGAGTCGCCGCCTGGAGGTAGTGGGTCGCATAGAGCGCGAAGGGCTCCCACACCACGAAGCGCCTCGGCCCAAGCTCGTCGGCCTCGAAGCTGTCGAAGCCTTCCTGCCGCCACTTGCTTGGTGCCTCCAAAGTCTTGCAGTGCAGGCTCGCAGGGCAATTTGTTGTTTTTTTTTTTTTGGGGGGGGGGGGGGGGGGGGAGGGTGCGGGGGGGAGCTTTAAAGTGAAAACGTTGCTTTTCTGCTTCTCAGCCTGCTTGTTCTTCTTGTTGCCCCCGCCGGGCCACTTGGCAGTACAGGTGCTCAGAGAGAATGCAAAGCCAATGAGAAGATGGGCCGTTCCTTCTTTCACCCTCGCTGTGCCCAAGCTCTGAATGTTCGCGGCCGTGAGACGGTGCACCTCCCCAGCGGTTCCAGGCTCAGGGGGTGTAGACCCTAGGATTAAAACCACATGGTCAGCTCTCTGACTTACAGTCCCATGTTTTCAGGAACGCAGTGTAGTCGTGACCCCCAAAAAAGGGGACGAGCTGTGTCAAAGAAAGAAGCGACAAAGGCAGCAACATATCAGCAAACACTTCACCGGGCCTGGATTCCACCAAGGGTTGCTTCCTTCCTGAACTTGCCCAGTTGCGAGAATCCTCAACAGAAAGTCATTTCAAAAAAAAAACCTTGTAAGCACGAAGATTCTCAAACACACGAATACTCGAATCATAATCATCATCATCATCACCATCATCATCATCATCACCATCATCATCACCATCATCATCATCATCATCACCATTGGCATCATCAACATCATCGTCATCATCATCATCATCATCATCACCACCAGAATGCGTTTCTCGGCCTTCCTGGCTGCCCAGGGCTATGGCATGCAGGTACTTCGGATACTAAGGAGTCTGGGAATGCTGCTGCACCACAACAATTCAGCAGGATGTGAGTCCTTTGTGTGCATCTTTGACGGCGGCTCCCTCCAGCACGTGAAAGATGGGAAGCAGCTTCTCCTGGAAGCTGGCCCGTTGCCACTCTGACTTGCGCTCCTCAGCATCTCCAGCCAAACCCAGCTGTCGCATGCGACATTCAATATCTCATCAGTAACTGAGCTGTGGACCGATTGCTCCTTGAACTTGTGCAGCAAGGCCTGCTTCGACCCATGAAAACGAGCGTTGATCTCGAGCGACAGCTCAGTTGGGTGCATCTCCTGCGATACTGCAAGGAGCAGGGCATATGCTTGCAAGTAAAGTGATATATAAAGACGCAACGCCAGCAGAGCCAGACGGCTCCTCGATCAGCTTCTCCAGGGAGCTCAAGATACGAAGGCCCGTGATGGGCTGGCTCGGGTCATCCATGCACCTCTGTGTCTCTTCCATCGCAGCTGTGAGTCTGTCGCCACTGCATGACGGACACTCATCCGGCACACCTTCTTTGCAAATCTTGAGGCTGAAGGAGTGGATGGACTTCTCACAAGTCCAGGTGATGGCTTTGTCGCAGCACACTTTCCTTGTCTCTGCACAATCAACCACGAGACGTCTGGATTGGCAGGCTTGCGCATTCCAGCACTCTGTCACACGCTTCTCCGTGCACTTTATGGTCGCCTTGCCATCCTCATAGTCCTGAAACTTCCGGCACGTTGCGGTAGCCATGTGTCCACAACGCAAAGGCTTCTCGAGCGTCACGGAGCAGTGGCCCTTCACCTCCTGCTGCTTCAAGAGCTGCACCAGCTGCTTGCAAGCGAACTCTGCGGAGTGGCCGCAAGGCCGCTCAACCTCCCACCCGCTTTCAGAGGGGACTCCGGAGAGAGGGAGGACATACATACATACAATACATACATACATACATACGCCACCTCGCTACTCCGTTGTGACTGGCCTGCACCGTCTGCTTGCAGCCCTTGATGGCGGTCATGAGCTGATCATCCAACTGCACCTGTGTTGGCTTCGCGTTCGCTGGCAGGATGCCCTTGGCCGTCAATGACTCCATGGCCTGCACCGAGGCAAGATGGCCCCTTTGATCTGCCAAGGAGAAGACTAGGAGAAGCAAGGACTCACGAATTTTCTTGGCCTGCTCAGCCCAGGGCTTCCAGTTCTGGAGGGCTGCTTTTGCATGGCACGGTATCCTGTTCAAATCTCCAAAGGCTCGGGTCGGCTTGGGGGGGCCTGGAGGAACCCTCGCTCAGCCAAGCCGCTTTATCTCATGGCCACAAAGAGGGCTTCGCACCGTGATGGATTCTTTGCAAGGTGGCAGAGCGGAAGACTTCAGGTTGCAGGCTGTCTTGTGCTTGTGGCCGCAGGCCCTGCTGATCACGACCTGAGAACACCCCCCTCTGCCTTGCAAGGCATTCGGCATGCTGTGGCAAAGTCACGCTGGCTCTGTCTCTCTGCCTCTCTGCCTCTCTGCCTCTCTGCCTCTCTCGCTCTCTCTCTCTCTCTCTCTCTCTCTCTCTCTCTCTCCTCTCTCTCTCCGTCTCTCGCTCTCTGTGTCTTTGTCTCTCCGACATGCCAAGGCACTTCCGTCGTGCATTTTAGGTCAGCCAGGGTCGGTGGGACTGGATCGATGCATCCTTCCGTCAGCTCGTCGAGCGCTTCGGCGGGTCGCGGCAGAGACTCCTGAAAATAGATGCGCTCGATTTGAACTGATTTGCCCAGTGCTCAGCTGCTTGACAAATCGACAGTGGGCAACAGAAAAAACACAGCGGCAGAGAGTGACAGAGAAAGTGCATGTGAGCAAAACCGTGACAAGAGTGGGAGACTGTGACTCTGCATCTGAAGCCAATCCGTGCGGCAACTGTACTTCTTTATCCAAGCGGGACACTTACGCATAAAACGGTTCCTTGCATGGCGCGGTCGTAGCTTTTTAATTTGTGAAGCGCAGAGGTGGGGAGGGAGTGCTGCGAGGGAACACAGGGAAGGGGCGACTCCAGGGTCAGGGCGACTTAAGACCGATATCTCCTAAGGCCGAAAGAAATGGAAAGAAATGCGCATAACAGGCTCAACCGCCTCCATCTCTACGGCAAGTTTCCAGCTGGCGCGCGCGGTAGCAGGAGACACGAACATCATGGCCACACTGAGGATGACGAGTTGATACCTGGCACTACCATCTCACATACATGACGCATCTAAGCTTCCCCATTGCCTTGGCCCTAAGTGGATTCGGCCTTCTCCTGGCAGTGCGAATCGAGCTTGGCCAGGTCAAAGGCCCTTCCACATTCCACCTGCTCTTCATGGCCACATCTTCCTTTGCGAAGCCAAGGGAGATTGAAGAAGATAGCTTATCTGCAACTGCAACTCGGAAGGGGCACATTCTCACTGCAGGAAAGCTTCGCACGAAGGTGACCTTCTCGCGGCAGACCCTGTCCTCAGATGCGAACAGCCAGTGCTGAGACCAGTAGCGGAAGACTCTTCACGCGTCCAACAGCAAAGGCTGAACCGTTGCAAACCACTTCCACCGAGGTTCCAGTGTGCCGTACTCCACACCTGCATCCCAGCTTACCAAAACACAACAACCATGGAATGAAAGCCTGGTACTGAGCACTGCCACAGATACTCCACACCTTCGCGTACAATGTCCTGCTCTGCACAGCGACCTCCCAGACAGTCATTCTTTGGAAATTGTCACTACATTCCCAAGAATCCTTTACGAATTGGACCCCTGCCTCCCTGCCAGATTTGCAGCTGGATGTTCTCTGCGCAGGACACCTCAGGGAGGCACTTGAGCTTTGCCCAGCTATGGCGCTATGGATTCACCAGTAAACGACGGCCTTGGCCGCATGGCTGCATCTGGGTAGTTTGACGTCCAGCTTCATCGGGCAAACGAACTGCGCGGCACTGTCGCGCTGGTAGGCTTGCTTCAGCCAGCACTTCACCCGAGTCATGTGCTCACAGGCAGGCACGTAGTCCACCATCTGTTCACACTTCGGCACCTCCACCGCACCCCGAACAAAGTGCAGCACGGGAAGAACGACCGAAAGACCAACCCGCAGCACTCAACAAGAACCACAAGACTCGGGAGCAAAAAATCGATGCTGGCAAGCAAAACTGCGATTTATAGTAGTTGCCTGACAACGTCCATTGTTGTATTCACCGAGCATGTAGCATTTGACATCCATGGTGTGTTTGCAATCGGGGTAAACGTACCTGAGGACCCAGGGCAGCTAAAAGGGCAACTAAAGCTTCAGCTGCTACTTCTAGCATACTTGCATGGTTCACATTGTCACATGGTCTGCTGTCCAGGGACGGAGTGTGAGACATCTCCTCACACCGTGGCCAGCTCTTCTGGCCACTCTGAATATCCTCCTCATCTTGACATGACATTTCCTTCTCGTGGGTGCAAGGCAGCATTACGTTCACTTTGACAGGACATCGATATGTTCGCAATGCTTCATCGATTGTCTCATGCTTGGTTGCCTCACCTTGGCTGAACACTCACGTAGACGTGAAGGCTCGGCATCACGGGCCGTGGATGCAAACAAATCGACTAGCATCCACACAAAGTCTGCTAAACAGAACGACTAGCATCCACACAAAGTCGGCTACGTTAACGAGTCACATTCAGCTAATGCATCAAAGCTGCTGTTGGCAAAAACGCTTTCGCAAGTGATGTCAGCTTCATGGCGGGCGCACGGAGATGCGACCATGGCAACACACTTCTTGTTGTGCTTCTCCTGAGGCCAGTGGCACTTCAGACCACACGGATGATTGCACGGTAGCCGGACTTGACACGTTATGCCACAGAAGCCAAGTTGCAGCTCCTTGGCTCTTTCCGCGTCGAAAGTCGATTCTGGATGCTGCGGACAACAAAGTGGCAGCTTCGGACCCACTCGGGGTTTGTCGAAGGTCTCCACACGCTTGTCAGCATTGTCTGTGGACGCGGGTGGCTCCTGCAGCAAGGTAAATGTCCTCTGCCAATGCTTGATCTCCTGGCGGGAGTTCTCGAAGTAGCCTGTGTTGCCCAAGATGTACATGCCTAGCCTCGCGCGGGAAAGCAGAACGATCATCCGGTTGACCAGCTTCACGAATGGTGTGCGAGAGTACTCGTCTACGACCAAGGACGCGATCACAATGTCAGCCTCGTCACCTTGGAAGCGATCCACCGTTGAAAGCCTGATCTGGTTTGTGTCATCATCTCGGGACAATAGTCTCTCGGCAGATTGGTCAGAAACAGAATCTTCCGCATGAGCATCAGCTGGCCTTTGTACGGTGTCAGGATCACAATCGAGGTCTTTGGCACGCCACACTGCACCAAGTAGTACGCCAACCAAATCGCCATATCGGCTTCTTGGCGATTCACCTTCGACATTCCAACATCCGCCTTCCCTTGACTTCCCGAGTGCGTCCACAAGAAGATGTGAGACTGGACTCCAGGAACCTCCCGACCCTTGTAGGTGCTCTGCTTCGCCAGATGACCTGGAATCGTTCTCGTTGAACAGACGTCATGGTCTTCGATTGCCACGATGCTCTCATAGTACTCCCGGGTCAGGTCACAGATGTGTGATCGCATGCGTCGCTGCACCTTGAGCACGGCCGAAGGCACCCGGTGCTCGTCCGGCGCGCGGATGAGGCGCTCGAACATCGAGACCTGAGTCTGCGAAGTGTTCTAGAGTTCACGGAGCATGAATGACCATGAACAACACCTGAATGGCCATGGCCACATGACCCAAATCACGAGGGGCCGTTGGCGTTGGGCTTGAGGATGTTGGGACCTTTATGGCATCTTACGGCACCTCCTCAGCCCTTTGCATGCTAAGCCGGGCGGCGTTGACGCTGTTGAGCCTTTCAAAAGCGAACTTCTGCATGATCGACGGCTGAAGTTGGAGGTGGTCACCAATCATCTCCAACTTCAGGGTGCTCTGGCAAAAGCAAGAGAATAGCAGCGGCTCCAGAACTTCTGAGGCCTCCTCGACTACAATGGCAAATGGGTTCGTGGATCGGATCGCCTCGAGGCGAGAGATGCACCCCACAATGGTGCCGCCGATGACACTCTTGTTTTCGTAGACCCTGGCGCTTGCTCGAACTTCGGCCTCGTGCAACCTCTTCCTCTTGAAATACGTCTGATACTTGATCTTGTCAATGAGCTGCAGAAGCAGGTCCCTCTGCCGCGCCATCAGGCTTTCGCAAGCCGCCCAGCGCTGCTCTGGAGTCAGCTCCCACGTCCAGTGCTTCGAATCGAGGAGGTAAGGCAGATTGGGGTCGTCCATTTCGGCTGAGATGGGAACTTCCTCCTCGGCCTGACCTGCCTCGGAGCTGGAGTCGTCCTCACTGATGCCTTCGAAGTCATAGACCTCTCGTAAGTGCTGGATGTTGTCGGCTTCCTCCACCTCGTCTGGGTTGTCGTACCTGCCTGCCGGCTCATTCTCCTGAGGAACATCGTCATCGGACTGCCCACCGGCAGAAGCGAACTCAGCATCCTCGGAGGGACGTTGCAGGCTTCGGCGGGATGCAGGGAACAATGGATGAACATGTGTCACATAACGAGTAATGAATGAACACACCGTGCATGGAAACGGTAAGCTGGACAAGGGTGGTCCTCGTGAAAGGCAGCCTCCGCCTCTGTCTTTGACTCTCCCATCTCCACCTTGTCGGCCGGCTTCATGTCCTGTTTAATGGGGGAGTTGGGGGGTCCGGCTGATTTTCGCACATGTGAGTTTGTGTTGGGAGTTTTGGAAATGCAAACGCAAGGCAATCTGAGGCAAGTTTTAGTAGGTGCCCGTTTTTCTCTCTCCTGGCCTCGGAGGTGTTCTGTGAGATCTCTGGCGCATCGAGGGCTGGTGGGGCGTGCGACTCTGGCGGAGCATGAGCGTGGCAGAACTGCGAGCCTGGCATTGCCATGGATTGGCACTTCTTGCCTTTGCGATTAACACCAGCGCAGTAAAGAGAGGTCTTCGTTCTCGATGGGTTCTCCTTCACATCTCCTAAGCTGCAAGATGTTGGGGCGACCCCGGAGCGACCGTGACCGCAGGCACAAACACGCGCAGTGGGTGCTGCTGAAAGCTGGCATGACGTGGCATGATACGCAGCTCCTTTCAGTAAGTCCCGATCCGTCTGGCTCTTCCGCGCGGGCCTCGTCGAAAGCCCATCCATCGTACGAGTAGTAGCTGGAGCTCTGCATATGACGAGCGCAATACATGTGGCCGAAAATGGCCGGCTGGCGACAAGACCAGGGCCACCAAGAGTACTGGCACTGCTTCACATCATGCTTTTCACAAACATCTTTGCCAGGAAGAGCAAACTCGTTGCATTGATAGCAAAGTGCATGCTCGAAGCACACGTTCCGGGGTGGGTCATCGGTGGCCGATGGCGACACCTGTCCCAGCGACACACACCGAAAGCATGCGTGGACTTCGCAGAAATGCTGTGGAGCTGGAAGCTTTCTCCTGCCAAGTTGAGAGTGGAGACAGACATGCACGAATGCGTGAACAGCATGCGCACGTTGCCAACAAGAACCTGCTGAATGCGTCCAGCCTCTCACAGTTCTCGATCTGGCACGCATGCTCCACGCATGCTAGTCGCCCAGGGAGTATTGGCTTGCGACACCACGATCCATCTTCGACTTGCATGGAGCAGCTGTGCGGAACCTTGACACCAGCCAGCGTGGCTAGCAAGTGCCGGACCACAACTGACATAAACTGGTAGCACAATGCACAGGGGCTCGTGAACATGCAACTGGGGCGCACAGAAATCTGAATCGTGGGAAAAAGCCAAGTTGTCACACTGGGCATACTCGTACTTGCACATAGGCAGCGGCCGGTCTCCACGAAGAAACATGTACAGCACTTCACCTACAAGCGCACACAAAGGATGCAGAACTGCAGAGAATGCTGCCATGAACCAACATTTCCTCAAGCGCTCCCCTGTCATGTCTGTCATGTCAGCACACCTTTGATGCAAGGCTTTCGAGAGTCAATGGGGACTCAAACACGGAGAGTGAGGGGAGACCATGGAGACCATGACCAGTCCCTGCCCATGTGCTCCGGGGACTGGTACACTGAGGCTCGAAATGGTCATCGAGGATCTGCCCCGGCAGAGCGGAAACAAGATCTCGAGTCAAACTGAGAGACGACATTGGAACTCGAGTGCTCCACGCGCGCTGCGCAGAAAACATTCTGTACCTGCAGGTTGCCCTTTCCTGCGTCGCGCATTGGACGGCGGCTCAAAGCTTTTAAGGGCCTCCAACGGCCCTGCAACTTCAGGTGGGCGTCGCAACTTTCAAACATCGCAAGAGAGCTTTTTGTCGGGAGCAACAGTACCGGTCGACGAGTCAGAACGCGCAGAACAGGCCACCAAAAGAAGCGAAGCAATGGGTTTTGAGGTCGGAACTTGGATCCGAAAGCCCAGTATGCCCCAGCTCCACATAGTGAGCAATTCCAGACTGAAGTTGGTGAACTTCTGCGAAAATCTGCGACGGGTGGAGAGACCTCTGCGTCCAGCGTCTTCGAGGATCATTCAGATCTTCTCGGATAAAGTCCACGTCTTGGAACAAGCTGGCGTCGTCACTGTCATGATACTCATCGTCAAGACTCTTGGCTCTCGTCAAGCGGTGGATGCACACCAAGCTGGCCTCAGGACATATGACATCAGGTATGGCCGGTATGGCCAGCAACACGAGCAGGATTACACCAATAAGTACACCAGTAAGTAGCCAACCAGGAGCATTTCGGTCGCATCGTAGGCACTTCTGTTGCCTCGAGTTCCGGCATGTCACAGCCAGCTGGATTCACATCGAAAGGCTGCAGGCTCGATCATGCCAAGCGTCGCTTCTTCTGCGCCACTGTCGGGTCATCGTTCGAATGCTGCGCCAGCATGTCAGCCTGCACGATTCTCCATCGCGCACATGCGGGATTAGCCCCAACTAACCCACCAAATACATAGCTCTTCATTAGGAAGAGATTTCACGGCAATTGTTGAAGGAAGAAAGTCGCGGCAGTGGCGGACGCAGAAGCTGCGGGGGCAAGAGCCCAAATGACATCAGCTGAGGCACCTGATATCCTCCAAAGCTCTTCGTGCGGCTGCACAACGTTTTGCATGCCGAGCCCAGGTCATGGAGCCACTGGACTGTTGACTTCAGAGACGTCACCTGATCAGGGCTCATCCTCCGATACTCTGCGAAGCTACAGTAAGCATTCGTGCTGGAACCTAAACAGTCCTGCCTCTTGAAGTTCTATTTCCCAAACCCACGCCTCATAGTCCTGTCGACCCAACGTCCTTTCTGAGAAAGCCCCAAGACGCTGGTCCAGCGAAGCGCCGCCACCGATGCGGATGAGTCCGGATGACTGGTTCAGCCGCCTTTCAGCCTTGATCAGATCAATCAAAAACTCGTCAATGGCATGATTCTTGTAGCTGAGAACGAGGATAGGTGGAGTGCCGACGGATTCATCCACCTTGACCCAGAACTTGCGAACAATCATCAGCGCACGCACCATGACCACGCCAAGGTAAGACTTTCCTGTCCCAGGTGGTCCTTGAGTCAAGTGCACTGGGCTCTTCAGGCCATCGATGAAGCTCCGCAACTGTCCCTCGTCCAGGGTGGTTTCTTTCAGAAGCACCACCAAATCTTCGCACATCCTGCTGAGCAGATATGTGGCAAAGCATAGTGGCCTATTTCGCATCTAAAGCTCGTCTCAAGGCACTGCCGGACTAAAGCGCGAGCCACGTGAGGGCCAAGCAATGCCAAGCGGCTTCTCCGACAGAACAGGATCTCGGCGGACAGCCATGATTGGGAGCAAGTTGCTCTCTTCCACCATGGACTCCACCAAAAGGCGATAGTTGCTGAGATCTGCATCGGGATCCAGCAAGTTGCCAAGGTCTGGTCTGTGCCAAGAACAAAGATTCAGCAGAGCTCCATCCTCAGCATAGTGAAACAATGTGAGACACTTCGCTTGCTCCGGCACCCACTTGAGCACGCACGAGACTATGACGCGTGCACTGGCCTCAAATGGCATCTGCCCCTGCCTCTGCTTCTCAAGCGCCTTCGAGGCTGCGGGGCATAAGTCGTACCATATCGTACCATTCCTACCCTGACTATGCTTGACTATGCTTCCTTGTGCTTTCTTTGATAAGTGTGACCATTCCCCTTTCCTGTCGTTGTGGTGATGCAGGTGTAACTCTGGGTTGCATTCAACATTCCAATACTCAGGGTCAGGCCTTCAAGACGGGAATGTACTCAGGGACGAAGGTCATGCAGTCGATAATGGCAGTGGAATCCCCCTCCGTGAATGCATCCTCCTCGAACCCGGCAATGGACGACACGTTCACGGCCAGATAGCCGTTCTCTCTGTTGCGAGCTTCGTCCTGGGGTTTTCCTCCATGAGGAGGGTGGTGGGAAACCTCTCCCCAGTAGATGCGATCGGATGACTTGAGCGCCGCACCTGGCAGGCGCATCTGACGGTAAGCTTCATCGAATGCTTGGCCCACATCGCATGAAGCCACAGAGTAGTTGGGGCCTAGCGCATGTGGGGCCTTTAGGCCACTGTGGCTTCAACAATGCGCACAGGCGCCTTGTTCTGTGAGCCTCACAAGAGCAACAAGGTTCGGGCTCTGCAAACGTCTCGTCGTTCGCCAGTGGATATTCATTTGCGGCGGACTGCGCGATTCCAGGTTCTCGAAGTACAGTCTGGCGTCAAGATGGTATCAAAGTCTCAAAGGCCGCATTCGACTACAAAGACCTTGCCCAAACTCCGCCTTCCATCAAATCCAACACGGCTCAGAACACAATCATAGACGTGGGTGGAGGCTCTTGGACCTCATCAGGGCTGTCTCACAAAAACACTTCTCGGCCCCACAAATGCCCCACCTTTACGACCCAGAAGTTGCTGCGTGTTGTCCGCAGCACATTTCTTGCACATGCCCGAGTCGTGCTTGTTGTTGCTGCATGCCAAGACGACGGGCCGCGAACAGCCGCCTTTGATCCAAGAGAAAACCAAAAAGATGAGCCACGAAATCCGAAACAAGAACCGGGAACACCTAAACTGCCGCAGTGCCCTGCGTGCCGAGCGTAGCTTGAAAACACCGCACAACAATCTGCGACAAGTCGCGTGTCCGGCAGTGAAGACCCATGGGTTCAGGTATCGGCCAAAGAGTAGAGCCACAATCCTGCAAGCAGGACAAAAGCTTTGCAAATGGCAGTCGGAATCACAACTTAGCTCAACATGAGTCGCGAAATGCCCAACCCAATCCTTGACCCAACATCGCGGGGAAATGGCAGCATTTCCGTCGCTGAAAGTCATGCCAACCATCAGCTTTTCAATTGTGTCCATGTACTCTTCGCGCGTGGCCTCAGCAAAGTCAGCAAACCTGCACTTTGTGCCACTCGAACACAGAAATGATGCATTTGATTGGCAAAAGAAAGTCCCAGACATAGACTCCACGCTGCTTGGACTTGGCAGTCTGCATCTTCGGAAGTGTTGCCGGGCAGAACATCTCGGGCCGGGAAAGCCATCCCACTGTGGCATGGCGCCAATTGCTGAAGATCTCCTTCCTGTCTTGCCCCTCTCTCTCCTGCAACGACAATTTCATCTTTCCGCGCTTGCCGCGCTTTCTGCTTTCCGTGCTTCCTGTGGTTTCGATGCTGCCGGTGCTTTCGATGCTTTCGGTGCTCTCGCGTGCTTTGACAACCCCAAACGCCGGCTCGAAAGCTCTCCTCAGCATTCTCTGCCGTGTTTCCAGCTGTCGGCTTCAGTTTGATGCACCAGGGCTTCTCAAGCTCGTCCATGATGTCCATAATCCTTTCAAAACATTTCAAATCTCAAATCCACTTGGCATTCCAAAAATCCTCCACATCACACGCGTACAACTAAGGTGAATAGAATGCTGAAGAGAACAGTCTGTCCTTTTGTTGGCTTCCTTGTGGTCCTCTCACATTGACACACCCATGTCCAGAAAGCTTACAACAACGCGGTCTGCTCTCTCAGCATTTGGGTGATGAGACACGCCGTCATCCTTGTGACGGATCTGCAAGCAACCGCTTGCCTGGTGCTGGAGTCTGCGGGCTTTGGGGTTTCAATTTCGCATCAGCTATGGCTGCATTGCAGACAACGCGTTCAATTGCTCAGAGGCCGCGGCATCTTCCAGAATGCTGAGCAGGGAATCCCTGACCTGACAATGGGGCTCAAGCTGAACAAGACTATAGCTCAGTACGAGTACATTGCCAAAAGTGCTCAGTCAGGCGGATGAGAGCGCACGCCAATATGGCTCCCACTGCTGACAACACTAGCTGATTATTCAATATTTGACCGGGACTGATTGCTGAAGAGGTGAGGGAGCCTGCCATCCCATAAGCTGCCTGGAATGCTCTGGGTCCCCTGTGCCTCATCCTGAGACACGTCCCACTCCAGCGTGAGCAGCTTTCTCACGGCATTGATGACCACCTTCCCAGGCACTTGAAAGCTAGCTTGAAGGGAGCGGGACAGGGCCTGCAAAGAGGGACCAGGCTGTTGCGAGAGAGCCAGAGAGCGAGGCAACATGAGGCAACTTTCGATTGAATCTCGACAGATGCGCCTCCACAGCAGCCACAGCATCTTCTGGCAAACCTGCAAGTTGTCCCGTGCTATCCAGAAGGTCTGGTCTGAAAAACAACTGCCCAAAAAATGGAAATCAGACGAATGAAATCACGACCAAGTCTGAGCGACCTCCCTTCTCCGCGTCGAGGAACCGCTTCACTGCCGCTTGGCCTCACACACACACACACACACACACAGACCGCGGCCCACTCGCAAAAAAGGTGGCTGCACGGCTGCATGCACAAAACTTCCTTGTCAGACACACAAAACCCCGACAGAGCTTGCACATTCCATCATGAGTTGCAGCCGGTGGTCACGCCCCTGCTGGGGGCGGCGGAGGAGAAGCCGATGGTGGAATCTTGCAAAGAATCATCACGAGGCTTTTCACCGCCTTCAAAGTTCATGCTCTCTCTACGGGTTCAATAGCACCAGCACCTGAAACAACTACACGAGCTTGAGAAACAACAATGCCCTCCTCTGGCCGCAAATCGGCAGCAGCACCCCAGCATTGCTGCCACTGGTCTTTGCATTCAAGAATCTGTCGCGTCAACTGGTCACCTTTCAATCGGACGTCGAAAGAAGCTTTCATCTCTAACTCAGTTCTCGGTGCAGCTGTGCCACCCTTGCTTTGAGAGAGCTTTTGGATGAACCGTCGGCTGTCATCAGTGTTGCTGCTATTGTTGGAAGAAGCCCATCGTGAACTTGGAGCTGATCGGCTGTACCCATTGTAGCCGTAGCCACCGGTGTGTCCATTGTAGCCATTGTTGTAGCCATTCTTGTAGCCATTGTTGTAGCCGGAAGAACCTCGAACAACAGCACACATGCGAACCTGTGTGGCATGACTACGACTACAGCACGTCTCCTATTGGCCTCCACTCCCGGCCCCCTTGCTTGCGTAGCTTTTGCCTGCCGGGCAGAAACAACCCCTTCGGATCCGTGGCCAGCACACATTGCAGCTGATTTAGGCTGAGCTGCCTTTTGTACTTTTGCCCTTGTTTTTGCCCTTGCCCCCAGCGCCCATGCTTCGCTCAGCACGGCGCGCGAGGCAACAAATGCTACTGCTAGCTGGAACCCAAACGACAGTCATGCCATGATGTCCATGTGCAAGGATTTGGTCTTGTGGCCACACTTTGACATCGGAATTGCATGGCCATCCGAACATAAACATACACATCTCTTTAAACTGCTTCACACTAGGGCCGCTGGTCGGCGCTGGTTTTCCACGGAACACACCACGAGAATGGGTTGCAGGATGACATCGGTCCCTGCTATATTCTCATGCTTGCATTCAAGATACATGAATACAACGATGTTGCGATTTGGCAATCAAAGCAAAAAGTGTAGCCATCCATTGTTTCGTTCACCAGCTGGTCATTTAAAGAATCACGTGCTTCACACCCAAAACACTACATGCAAGTTGCCTCAAAAAACTCACCAGTTTAGGCAGCGTTTCGGTTTGTGATCGTCAGTTCATGCTGTTTCTATGCTTGCTGGGCAAACAAGATCCTTTGCTCAATGTGCTTTGCTGCGGCTTGAACTCCTTCACTGGGTTGTTACGGTAGCTGGTCCTTTTCAATCCTTAAGATTGAAAGTCATCCAAAATCTGCCCATCTAGCCTTCACAACCACATCCTCTGCCGTCTCTTGCGTATGTGGCACCTGCGATCCACCTGCACATGGCTACACACCCATGTAAAGATTTTCCAAAAAGCAAAAACCCTCTAGCACCTCATCTGCTTAAGACGTGTAACAAATAGATGCCAACTTCAAGATTGATCTCGCCTTTCAAATCGTTTTCTTATTGATTGTTTGCCACTGCCGTCTAGAACAACATGTCATATGAATATATAAAACTGCTCTTTTGAACAAACAGCACGAGACTGAACAAAACGAAGTGGCAATCTAGCTCTCGACGAGCCCCTCTCACCCCTTTCCACTCGAAGAGTTGACCATGACCTGGTGCTTTTTGAAATGTCCACAGATTCGCCAGAAAAACTTTTCCCCCCGTGACATAGCTCCCACAAGCTGATGCAAAATTTCTCATCCATCGAAAACCTGGGCAACCTATCTTTCTGATTCTATGTTCCCCCAGCTGCGTTCCTCTGAGTTTCCCGACCGCTTGCGCCGGTCCCTGCCGTTGAGCGGCGCCGCTTCATCTCGTCGTGGAAGCCTCGTAGCTGGTTCTGGTGGCCCGGGCGGGTGGTGCGCACTTTTGCATGGTCAAAAACGGGAGGTCTCAGGTCTAATCGGCAACCACAAAAAGTCTCATGATTTGTTTGATTACATTGGATGTCTTAGCCACGGTGGTCTACGGCAAGTCGACTTCCAGTAATCGACTGCAGGAACATAATCGCACATCACATGTGACTTGACAAGACCTCCACCTGTCAGACTCCGCTGTAAAAAGATAGTGGAATCTGGAAACCTCCAATCGATCCCACGACTGTCTTTCAAGATTTTCTTCCCTCGAAGACGATTCAGTTTTTTCGACGCCACTTCATTCCACTACTATTCCACTTCATTCCACTTCCCTCGTCCGCTGAGCTACGACTTCGATTCCTAGCTCTGACGCAATCGACTTCAACTAAGAGGTCGTGCCGGAGCACAAAATCAAGGGAGTCGACACCTGCCGCAGAAACGTTCTGCAGTTCTTGGGTCGCGTTGGATTTCCCTCAGCCTCAGGAGGTCCGAAACATTCTGCGACCTCCGACTTTTCCAGGAAAACTTTGGAACCCGTTCACGAATCATACACAAGGAACCGCCCCTAAAAACCGTACCATCATGAGTCTTTCAATGTCAGGTTCAGTATAACCACCACAAGACTCATGAACTTGCCCATGAATCCGCCCAAGTAAATTTTAACTGGGCTTTTCTTCATTCACTTCATTCTTTTCTTCTTCATTCTAATTCACTTTACGTTATTACCAGAATTACGGCGCGCTTATCATTGCCCATAATAATATTAACAAAGCATGTGAATGATATGAATGAAGAAGGAAGTGAACTAGCTTTTGGTATCTTCCCGTGCTCCTTTACTAATACCAAGCGAAAGACTTCGAAAGGTTTTCTGGCAGGAAAAAGGCAACAAGGAGCTTACCTTTGCAATCTGTTGAGAGGAAAGCTCTGATGAAATCCAAAGAACCCTTACCCGGCAGGTCGGCAACCGCCCACAACTTGCAAAACGAACCACTGGACGGCAAGAAAGGTTTACAAACTGGTTCCATTTGAAACACGTAAGCCCCGCAAGCAAGCCCCCGCAAACAAGCCCCCGCAACTCTAAACCCTTAATTGCCACTTCAAAGCCGAACACTTCCTTAGCCTTGGAGCTCTTGCGTGAAAAAACGAAGGTCCCTCTGGTACCTTTTCCCTTGAAAGCACGAACCCTGACCTCTCACACAAGTGCGGACAGCTCTCTCTTTTTCACAGTCAGAGCCACTTGAGCCAAAAGTCACGAAGTGCACAAACTAAACGAATTCTCTCTTGTGAGCTTAAACTCAGCTTCAGAACGAAGTTCCTACACACTGCACACTCACTTTAAATAGCGTATTGGGCAAAAACACACTCGTATGATTTCCTTGGAAATCAACGAGGCATAAACCATCGAGGATGGGATCACACGGATTCCCAATCACTCCGAAGCAAAACAAACCTATACAAGCTGATCCAAAACATGACAAAAACATCAATGATCAGCCACAATCTTCCACCCCCCGCATTTTGCTGAGGGTTCATGTCAAAGATCTGAAGTCCAAGCCCAGCTCGGCACTTCAACACTAAGGGGATGCCCTGGCCACATTCCCTTGGTGCGTACTCGCCACCAAACGAAACAAACAACACACCAGTCGATCTCTGACATCAAACTTAAAACTCATGCAAGATCCCACCATCAGGCAGGTTGTCCTGGGTCCACATCACTGGTAACCCAAGAGTTCGTTGTCCAAACACGTGAAAAACGAATTAAACTTGCATCCACCTGCACTGGGGCAGGGTTGTCTTGGAACGAATCCAAGAGTTCGTGGTGACAAACACGTGAAAACGAATTAATGCAAGCTTCAGATGTTTCCCACTCAGCACTCGACCTTGTCGTGGTACTCCTCCTCAGTCTCGCATCTTCCAGGTCACCAAACTCACCAACTAGCATCGGCTAGCTGATCCTTCAGGAAAAGATTGGCTTCATAGTTTCGCTTCTTCCAGCGTACCATCAGCCAAAAACGTCTTCAGAGGTGGCAATCAGACGCCTTGCAGAAGGGGCTATAGAGTCCCTCGTTGAGTTTCATCATCATTTTGCCTCCTCTTTGCAAACTTCTCATGCACTGAAACAAGGGCTCACACTAACCAGAAAAATCGCGGGCGCTCCATGGCGGCAACGCGGCCATGGCTTCCAAAAAATGGCTGCGGGTTTCACTCACCCACCCAACCACTGAGATCACTTAGCATCTCAGTTCATTCTTCATCCTCTTCGCCCTTCTTCTCGCCAGCTCCAGTTGACTCCATCAACTTGGCGCGGCGCTCCTTGGCGGCTTCCTTCATCTCCGCCAACTCAGCCGTCCTCTTTTCCATCACCACATCCTGCGAAGATCGGCTAGGCTCAGCTGGCGTCTCCGCAGGCCTCTCAGTTGGCTGGTCTCCAACCTTTCTCTTCTTCTCTTCCAACATCAGCTCCAAATCGGCAACACTAAAGCTTGCCTTCACACGCTCAGCAATCTGCGCGATAGCTGCTGCATCCAACTCAGATGGTACAACTGACACAGGCGAGCGAACCGCTTCGCCTTCCAGCTTTGCTCTCTTAGCAGCTTCTTCCTCGGCAGCTGACAGGTCGGCGATGCGCTTGCGCTTTCGCTCAGCTTCCTCGAACTCTCGGTCTTGCTGTTCCGCTGCAGCCTTGAGGATCCGCTTCAGGTCCTTTTCCTCCTTCTCGAGTTTCCCAACATTCTCACCCATGATCCCAAAGGCTTGCTGCCACATGTCGGCAGGCAACGTCAAGTTGAACCTCACCACATAGTCGGTCGGCAAGTGCCACTTACACTTGCAGATCCACACAACACCGCTTCGAGTCTCACTCGCAACCACCTTCTTCCAGCTTGCCGCCCTCTGCGTGTCGGTGATCTCCTCTTTCTTTTTCTCCAGGTCCTCCAAGAATCCTGCAACAGACTCCATCACGGATCTGTAGTGGCTGTAGGCCACAAACGACCACTTGGGGACTGGTCTCTCCCTCAGCTCCGGCTCGTGAATCCGAAGTGTATCACACGACAACATCGAAATCACTCGCACTCGCTCCACCAGTTCCTTAAACACCAAGGATCCTTCCTTTGCACTTCTCTTCCAGCGCAACACCCATGGGGGATAATACGAGCTCTCAGCTTCATCCTCCATGATCCTCTCTGCTCCCAAAATGGGTAGCATGCACAACAGATCCACCATCCGCAAGACTCCGAGGTCCTGGTGCTCACCCAGAAGCAAAACAGGGATTATCCCTTTTCTCTTCAAGTACCTCACGAAGCTCAACATCGCCAGGCCACACGTTCCCGGCGGCACTTCCATGTACAGTCCTCCTTCATTCACTGCCATCTCCCAGATGATGGCCTTGCCACCAATCTGTCCACGGACATCCAAGATTCCGAAGATCTTCGTGGGTTTCTCCTGTAGCTCACACACCTCCTGGATGGGCTTCACCAGCTTCTCGTATGAGCTTTGATAGCGCAACATATCCTTGTCGGATAGCGTGCCTATCACGTCCTTGAGCTCTAGCTCATCCACTGGAGTTCCGCGCCGGCAGATACTCCATGACACATCACCGAACCACTTCGGCGGCTCTGGATCCGCC